TTTGAGCTACATTATAGGATTAAAAAATAAGCTGGGAGTAATGACTGGGAGGAAATGAAAATGTATCAGCGTGACAAAAGTACGGTTTGGTGGTCTGGTGATTTGGTAAGATTATCTTTACAAATTTTGAAAATTCATGCATGTATCATATTCATTCATTAAATTAAATCATTAAATTTTGAGTTTCATCTTTTCTTTTGTGAGCTAAATACCATTTTCTACGATGATTTATTTATTGTGAGAACTGCGTCGTAAATAAATCTGATTTCAGGAGAGATAATTTTACACTCACTCCTTTAAAGGAAGGAAAAGGAAGCCAAATGAACGTCTGAATCTGACAGGCTAAATTTGCTCTCCTCTGTTATGTAAACGGACTAAATATACTTGGTAAATTCTTCGCTTGGCGTTAGGGACACGAATAAAATTTCAATTTGGCTGCTGCTGTTCTCCTTAAAGGGAAAATTACGCCTTTAATTGGTGTGTAATTTAATTTCAGTTGATTATCAGTTAGTCGGTTAGATTTAGGAGATCTATTTTCCACCAAGAATATCTTTCCCTCGGTGTGTAAGGGGTTAAATTTAACAACAAGTGAAAGCATGGTGGTTCCATTTTGGAGCCTATTTTTGGGCCGAATTTATATTCCGAGGCTGACCCAGCAGCAGATTGCGAGGAGGACGGAAGGTGGATCAAAGGCTGTGAAGTGGAACGTGCTGCGTTTCTTTCTTCCCTCGCCCCTCGTGCTTTCTTCTCCACATTCCCAAATCTTTTCACCAAAGTGAACTATAAAATTGCCTCCATGCTTTCACTCTCTCTGTTCATTTCGGTCAAGTGGAAAGATTTGAGGAGATAAAATTGAGTCGTAAAGAGTTTCCTTGTAAATATTCAGAGTAAATTGTGAAATTAATTGGAGGGCGTCGACTTTTCAGGGCTTTTTGTGATCCATCTTTCTCAGAGGGAGTGAGGTGCAAAGGTTGCATCTCTCTCTTTGTATTGTGTCTCACTTTTTGGAGAGTGGACATCATTAAAGAAAAGGCACGAACGTGAAAAAGCTGAATTTAATAATAAAAAAAACTTGACTAAAAGTGGAAACTTTCTTTTCCCCGTGTCACGTGGGGGAGCAAATTCTAATTATGGAAACCTTGTACATACGTTTATGCTAATTTAATCAGGCAACTCAAATGTGGGTGTATTTAGTGTATGCAAAAGGTGTACAAATCTCAGATTTCGTGGGACAAGAAGATTTCAAAAGTTATGTCACCATTCGTTCGTCTGGGGATGAATAGTCGTTGTCGAAAGTCAAATAAATTGGGTTTGAGCATACTTTATAGTTTACAGTTTGCTCAGAAATTGCAGCGCTGCAGACTCAATTATGTTGTAATGACTTTACACAGGCGGATTCAATCATTGGATTTTTGAAGATTGAAACCTATTCATTAACTTCTTAGTGGGAAATTGCTTCGTAACAATTGAGCAATTAATTAGATTGAATGGAAAGTTTGTTAATTTCCTGGGACACTTATGTAATCATTGCTTGTACAGAATCGCCATCTGCTTCATCGCACTGAAATATAATGGAGAAAGTTTTACGTGTACTGGGTTAATTTGTAAGTATGAGGGCAATTTTGCTCCAGGTTGAAATTATGCTGAAATGGAATGTGTTTTGGTTTAATAATTAGCGAGATAACGACGAAATAATAATAACAAAGTGAGAAACAATACGGCCAATAATAGTTAAGTCAGTCGGTGAAAGTGGTGGATTTTGTCGTGCTTGTAAAGGGTTTCTTAATGCGATGTAAATTTGGTTGCAGCAGCAGCAACAACTCTTCGTCTCTTCTCAGCCCAAGTTTAAAGTAGGGCAGGCTTTACAGAAAAGGTTCGTGTTTTGGGCTTTGGATGGATTGATGCGTGTGTATTCTTATTTCTTCTTTCTACATTTTCTCTGTCACCCTCATTTCTCTTGATTTTCTCCCTTTCTCTCAGGCGGAACTGAAAGTGCACTCACTGCCACCGCCGCCTCTGCTCATGAATGAATGGGGTGTAAATTATTGGGAAGGAAGGAGAAAGTGACAGAGACAGAGAAAGGTCTCCGCCGAGTGGTGGGTGGAGAAATGTGGCCGTATCGTCATCTCACACTGCTTTTCCTCTCCCTCAACCTTCTCCAGTGAACCACTAACACAAATATTAGTTATTTTTTGGCACGCACGCCACTCGATTCAATCCAATCCGTCCAATTGAGAAATAATACATCTCCAATTCCAATAAGGTATTGATTTTATGCGGCTTTTTTCCTATCAGAGTGAAAGTTATCGATGGGAGAAGAAAATAAATATCGACGGCCTAATTATTTTGAGGCGCAGGGACATAATTTTATTAAAGAGCAATGAAACCAGGCAGGGGGCCACCCACGACATTTGTACGTAAGGAGGAAGATGAAGGGCATGCGATACGTACGTATGTACAGCTGGTCCATTCCATTGTCATTTCTTTAGAGGCATGCTTCTTGTCGTTTGCTTTCTCCATTTTCTTCTGTTGTTCCCTCGTGCTCGTCATCCTAGTCTTTCTAAACCCTTTCTTTCTGAGGACAAACCAAGCCGTGGTTGGGGCAACTTACCAACACAAACTTTCCGAGATGGAAGGAAGGAAAGTTGGCCTTTCTGGTTTGAGCTTGACTCTCTCTCTGCTCGTAAAGTTTTTATGAATTCTCTGCTTCCCTTCTAATCATGGAAATCTTGGCTAATTTCATTTATTAATCCCTTCATCCTCCCATCACATTAATGTGATGGCTAAATATATATATCTAGACAATTTCTCCCAAGGAAGGAGCAGCTGTCGTCCATCATTCTGATCTCGGTGCCTCCTTCTTCTACTACGCTGGCAGCTTTTCTTCTACTACGTATTCCTGTCATCACATTGTCTTATTTTTCCGCGTGAAATTATAAGGTTTTTTTTCATCCGATTTACACATTAAAATTTCATGGGAACAAGTTTGTCTATATTTTTGGCTGGATGGCACCTTTGAGATTTGCCGGAGAGAAAGTATGTCGACGTTTGGTGGAATTTCTTTGTTCACGGTTTCCTCTCTCTCTCCTTCGTTTCTCTAACTTCCACTCTAATTTTCGTCGTCGCCCACGATACGAGGACGACACCACCGAAAGTGGTGCGTGCAGCGTGATGTGTTGCGTATGTACATGTATGCCTGTCTTGTTAGGAGAGAAAATAATGCAGAATTTATTCCAACGACTTCTCCAGGTGGACATGAATTAAAAAATAAATTATTGATGAATTCTCTCTTCTGCCCCTTATATTTCTTTCCTCTCACTCCCACTTTTCCTCTCTGGATGGAAATACAAGACAAATTTCCCCCAGCATGGAGCCTGTTTCCTGGAAAGTTTTTAAGAAAAGTTGACCCAGTCCTTCATCTCCTCGAGATACGTGGATGGATACAACTTGAAACTTAGTAGTCGCTCTCGACCATCCATCCATCCATCCTCGGTCCCATTCCGCTCGTCCATCTATAAAAGTTTGCAAATTATTGTGCAAACGGGAGAAGAGTGAGGTCCAGGGAGGAAGGGTGGATGTAGAAATTTTTGTTTTATGGGCTCAAAACTTTTCAGAATTGCTCCGCTGGGATGGAGATTATCTTACGAGTCTTCTCCTCCGTAGGAGTACGCGTACGTGATGGGGAACCATCAACAAGAATTTTTTATCACATGCGTCCCATTTTGTGAGAGAAACATTACACATCACAAAGTTTTCTGGCAGCAAATTAAGATGAAATCGCGAAAGCAACAGATTAAAATTGTTTCCCGGAATGAGAATATCATCATGAGATCTTATCCTGTGCATATTCCGCTACAAAATTAAGTAAGATGAAACAAAAAAAAATTCTGGAAATAGTTAAGCCGTGAAGAAGAGTAAACTTTGTGTAAGCTCTCGTATCCACTTCTTCATCATTCTATTCTGCGTACTACTTTCATTCATGAATTTATTTATTTGCTTATTATTCGCAACGAGAACGAGCAGATGGGGTAACAAGGAGAAAAAAGAGAGAAAGAAAAGGCAGAATTATCTAGTGTTGTGTCACATTACGTAAGTTAGACTTGGTTGCCCAACAGGCCGACATACATTTTTTTAAGAGAGAGAGAGCTACTTACTTATCTAAAATACGAGCGAGATTCTTGATTCTGGAGGAGTAAGCACATCGCATCGTGAACACGAACCAAGTTCACGTCGTGTCTCCTACATACTCGGTTTCTCGTGATAAAGAAAAGTAGGCGGATGAGGGGTAGGAGAAAGTCATTCATATTTAAAACCTACAAGTGCACCCGCAGTGCAGGCAATAATACGTGTGTATTATGCATGTAGAGGAATCTAGTAATTTATTTCCTCGTCCTGATCCTCCCCCATTTTTCAAAGATTCGCGAGGAAAATATTTGGAATATTGTATTCTTTTTGGGCAAAAACGAAATGTCATTTGCTCCTGTGTAGGTGGATACAGCGAAGACAAATGAAGTGAACGGTTGTTTAAGGAGTTTTGGTTGAGCGAGAAATGTTATCCACTTCCCGATCGAAAAGACTTTAGGAATAAGTGCAACATTATTAATGGACTTTTATGAATCCTCCAAGGCAGCGAGAGGAGGAAGAAGGAGAGGAAAACGCAAAACTGGATGGATGGATATGTAGAGGACTTAATATTAAGTTAAATATTAAGAGAGATGACTGACTGAATTTTTATGGAGGATGAGCTTATGGTGAGAGAAGGAGCAAATAATCTCATCATTCTCGTCTCCCTCTCTGCTACTTATATACTCACCAACCTGCTCTTCTTGCTACATTTTATCGCGTCTTCTTCAGGATAAGAAGACTTGATTATTGAAGAGAGAAAATAGTATTTTAAGTAGGCAGAAGATTGCCCCTTCTTTTCAGTGGAGGCACAAAGTGGCTTAGGTTTGCGCAGGATGAGACTAAAAGTTATGAAGAATGCGAATTTTTTGACTTACTTGCGTGTTCCTTCAGTGAGTGAAGGTTAGTTGATGCTCCTTCTTTTTTATTCAGGAAGAAGAGTATTTTATTATTTTGAGATTAGTTCGTAATGGGTTCGAATTAAGTCTGTTAATTTGTGTGCGTAATGATTACTTTTCTGCAGAATAGAATCCCACAAGAGGCAAGAATACTTTTTGTAGTGTGGGTTTGAATGTTTCTTTTTGCAAATTTTTTCCCTGGTTTTAAACTATGTATCAACTCTGCTCGAAATAATTTCACAATAACCAATTTGTACAAGTCGATATTTATTTAGGGCCAAGTTACTTTTTCGCAAGTTTTGTTGGCATGTCGTGCAGAAAGAAGAAGCCGGTACGTTCTCCTCCTCCTTTTCCCACCGTTGCTGAAAGTGAGTGAGTGAGTGAGTGAGAGAGAGAGAAAGTTTTTGTCGGGTAGGATAGAATACCCGGGTAATAGGACCAGTGGTGGTGTAGGCTTGTGTGCTCTGCTTTAGTTGGACTGGTTGAGATCGACTGACACCAAGACCATGGTGCAGCGCCTTTTATCCCGGCCTTTGCACGAGAGTAAAGTGAAGAATTTTTACCAGAAGCCAACCCAACCTCGCGTACATGCAGCAGCTAGTTGCACATACACGTACGAACGAACGCTACACCGTTCTGGTGTTAATCTCAATGCCGATGTGCCAGCGGTGGTATGGTCTCTTGTGCAAATTAAGTGCATCGTACTCCTCTATTAAACGGCTACCACAGAAGTAGTTAATTTAATTAATTGCATTTGTGCATTCTTCGAGTGTATGAAGAGGAGGAAACATTCCATGTGTGGATATCTCAAGTACAGTTTCCACTATTACTTATCCGTCTTTTGTACATTTGGTGGTTGGTTTGCTTTGGCATCATTGAAGGGATTGATAACTTAGTAAAATACTATTTAACGAGGAGGAGGAGGAGGATAAATCTTTAACAATTATCGGGATGTCATTCCTCATCCGAGGGTGGCTGATTTGATGGCCGTCGTCAAAGCGGCCGTTCCAACGTTCATGACTGCACCCATCGCCATTTTTCCTCCATATTTCATCCCAGTTCCGATCAGGGAGCCGCCCACGGTCTTTCGAACGGATCCCATCGCCGTGTGTGCTGCGTCGATACCTTTACCAATCGTGGTAAAGATCCGCCAACCTTCCGGCTGAGAGAAATTGAGACCATTTATTAGATTGAAAAAATATGAGGGGAAAAATTTGAAAAAAATTGCTGCTGCAAAAATTAATAAACTGTGTGTTCTAGTCACCCTTTCCTCCTCCTCGGTGTCAGTCTCTTTGTTATTTCTCCCGTCGCTGCTACTCCTTTCGGCCTCCTCTTCAACAAAGGGATTCATGCTTTTGGCCCGGTGAACGAGATCCTTAACTCTGGTCCAGTAAAAGTCACGCAATCTCCCTGCTCCGCCGAGAAGTGAGTTTCCACCTTCGTAATGATGATGCCTTCCTTTGTGATCGTCGTCGTCATCAACGATGTGCAGATTTTCAAACTCTTCTGCGTCCACGTGATACGTTGGGTTGTGCTGGATATTGTAGGGGAACGTTTTATGATTCCCCTTTTTGAGCTAAGGAAGAGTTGATTGAAAAATGTGGAGAACTTTGTTTCGTTTGATGACCATACACGTATGCAAATAATTAATGTTAGATACCTGTTCTTTCACATCAATCTGCTTCTTGTACCAGGCGTTCCAACTTTTCCAGAACTTTGCTTGGTCCTCCTTGTCGGGGTGAGGAGAGGATGAGACGGACTTATACTTTTTGTGGCGTTGGTGGTGGTCCGGCCATTTCCAGCCGGCCTCTTCACGACTCATTTCCTCCTCTTCGTCCCTATAATCGCGCATATTGTGGGCCCGAGGTCGTCGACGGTTTTGATCTCTGCCACCACCACCACCATTATACCTTAAAAATAGAAAATGAATGGGCCCAAGTGATTGATGAACTCGGAACAAGTATTGATTTTAAAAGAACACACACACGCACCGATTATGACGTCTATTCTGCCTCCGACCCGACTTATTTGGTCGATTGGAATTCCTTCTCATTTTCCCCGGTGACCAGTACGAGTCCCTTTGCCGACTTGGTCTCCGATGTTCCCGAGAAATTTCTCGGTCATGACTTTGTGGAATGCGGTGCCACACGTTGCGATTAGCACTGCCCCGCTTGTCGAAAGGGGGTCCGTGTTTCCTAGGGTCGAACTTTACTCCCCACCTGTTCTGCCCGCGTGGGTCGGGATACGGAGGTCCGGGCATGAAGGGAAGGTCCAACTGGGCAGTGGTGGGGTTCCCTCCAAATATTAGACAAATTAGTGCCGCCGACGCCACGGCAAGGATCACACCGATGGCGTCGGAATGTTTCTTTTTTAACTCCATGAGATGACCACTCTCACTAAAAATATATAACTACAAACTACAAACTATACCTCACTCGTCGTCGACACACACCACCACCACAGCAGCCAACTGCAAACTATGAGGTTGAGCATGGGATGCAATTTCATTTATTAATTTGCAAAAGAGAGAGAGTTAGTTACGGCATAAATAAGTGGCATCATAATGGTGAAAAACGCGTGCAAATAAATAGCCCCAATGGACATGGAGGGAATGAATGGTAGCTTTATTATTACGTGTACAATTTGTTTTACTTGGTTAGTAGGAGCAAAGAACTGCATCGTGCCAAGTTATGTACTACGTTACTCTGCATTTTTTCCCCCATTCATGCATTGGTGTACATATTGCGAATAAGCCAGCAGCAGCGTAAAGATAAGTTATTATATGACGACTTGCATTTATTTATTGTACGACTTGCACCCACCCAACAACATCAGAATCAGAATCAAACAGCACGCATTCAGACGACGAGGAATGATCATAATCATCTCGCCTCTTATTCTACACACACGAAGAAATCAATCACGGAAGGAAATAAACCAGTTTTATTCATCTTTTTCATCCAAGTTTTCTTTGTACTTCAAATTGACTTGACATTCGACTTGAATTGATAATAATAAGTGCTGTAATGTAATAATAAATTGGTAAAATTCTCGTTTTATGATTATAAAGAAATTCTGTCGTCTCAATTTCCCTAAACTCCTACACCGTGCAATATTGGATGGATGTTTTTCACCATTTTCGAAAAATAAGGGACTATTAATCAGATAAATGCATTTATCCATATCGCAATAATAATCCCTCTTACTTATTTTAATTGATTGACCTGTGTGCCTAGTAATTTGATGAGGGTGAGAGAAATAATATATTATTATTGACTCTGGGTGGTACATATGATCGTCGTCGTCGTCGTAACTTCCTTCCGGTTTCCACCCTTCCTTTCTTTCCCACAGACGAAGCAGCATCACCAAATCCTGAGCGTATTAATATGACATTTTTCCTACTTAAAGTGATTGATGAACGACTAATGCGAGATGATACGCACCACAGGAAAAAAATGGCATTTTAATTAATTGTGGCAAACATACGAACGAATCCCATCAAGTAATTGGTTCATGCATTATCTATGGATAAGTCTTGGACGAAGTGGATTAAGCAATCTTTTTTTCTTTTTCTCTGCCAGATGTTGTAAAAGTACGAATAATTTCAAATGAAGGAGAAGTAGTTAATAATTATTTCTTGTCTTGTGAATTCTAATTTTTTAATAATTATACTGCAACCTGGTGACGATAGACCAACTCAACAATTCCATTACCACTTTCTTTATGTGATTGCTGCTCGAGCACAGATGCAAACGAGTCGAATTATGATTTTCATGTTTACCAAATTTTATTTGGTGTTTAACTTGTTGGTAGATTTCTATAGAAAATGTGGCGTCTCTCTCTTATTAATCTTGGCTAGATTTGAGTCGTAACATGTGCGCCACGACGTCCACTGCAACTATTTTCTTGGTGGCTGTTCTGTGGTGGTGGTGGCGATAGGTATTTTATCAACTTGACTTCTGACTGACTGAAGAGATGAGATGTGCATGCATTTCCGGTTTCCCTCTTACCGCACCGCATCAGCTACACTACTTACTTCGCACTAAATGGACACACAGTTTGCTAACGAGTTACCACTTTTTTGCCTCTTTTTTTAGTATTGTTGTTGTGGTGTTTGCTGCTGCATTGCGTGGTTTGGTTTGGTCAGACGATGATGATGATGGCCTCATCGTCTTCCCAAGTAATAAGTGAAACTCTACGGAAATGCAATTTCATAATAATTTGATATGCAAGTTGGAATAAAGTGGTTGGATAACAGCTTATCATGCAACTATTTTATTTGGTTAGATGATACGATTTTTGTAGAAATCCTCTCCTTCGAGGCCACCCTATTTGCTATGCCATGCGCTAAAAAAAGTACGGATAAAGCGCAGTGAAATACATAGGCGAGAAAGAGAGAGAGAGTTTTCGGAGAGAAAGTGGAGATGAAAACCCGGGTAGTTGGGAGAACAGTCAGTCGCTTGGTAGAACTTGGTGGAGAAAGGCCCACCATTTTTTCGGTCGAAAAAGTTGGACAAGATTTCGCGTAGGAGAGTCGATAGAGTAGAAATCTCACATTTTTGCGACCGTACTTAAGGTTTCTGGAAATCGTCGTGGGGACGTGGCGCTGGACGAGATTTACTGACGGTAGTTTTAGGGTGGGAGGGGTTAAGGTCATATTCCTTCAAAATGGTGAGTTTCCTAAGATTTATTTGATTTTTAAGTGGAAACTTTGGAAAATTTTATGTTTCAATTGTATTTTGCAGTACGGGTTTGTTAACTACGCTTTGGAGTTGTTGGTCCTTCGCAACTTTGGGGAAGAGACTTGGGATGAGATAAAGTAAGATTATTTCCACTCTATTTGCATGCAGGAGTGCAGTTTGAGAGAAATGTTGGTGCATGCATTTTAGTCGTTTCCCTCTTGCTGATTTATTATTAGAAATGAAACGAAGCGATTTTTCTGGCTATCGTAAATATGTATTCATTGTGTGCTTGTAATAAATTGCAACTTTGAGTGCAATATGCATAATATTGGCATGGTCAACGTTCATCGTCCCAATCGCAGAAAGAAACTGGTTATTCAGCAGGTATGAACGGAGTAGTAATTGCCTTTCGACTATATAATAAGTAATGGTCACAAATCTTCAGCGACACATATGCAGCGAACAAATGTTTTGTATATGTATGCACATGAAATGATCATAAAGTTTTATGAAGCGGAGGTGGGTCCAGGTTTTGCAGTGTTTTTTGCGAATGCATGCTAAATTTTTTGCACATTCTGATTTCCCATCTCTAACCGAATATTACATGGACAAGTAAGTACACACGCACATGGACAACGAATAACATTTCAAGTTGGTTTAATGATTATTCATTTTGTCAATTTTTCATTTTTACAAACGGCACTCCCTGCAAATATTAGCAATTTAGTGGTATACATTCGACCATAAAATCTGTCAGGTGGAGGCCAATCCCATAAAATAAAATATATCATAACTCAATAACAGCATTTCTTCTTTCGATCTTCATAAAATATTATAAAGTTTAACCGAACAAAATAAAAGATAAGAACAGCTCTCGGTAGTAGAGCTGTTCTTATCTTATTTCTTATTGTGTTAAGTACCGAGTCGGTACTTAACAAAAGTCTAAAAAGTCATGAGATTGTCGATCCAAAAATAATAAAATCTATTAAATCAGTCCAAATCCCAATATTTGTAGTCAAATAGAAATACTTCATCCACTTTACAAGACCAATAAATCTTCAACCCTCCATTAATCCATGATCGATTGTTGTCACAATTATTGTTACGATTGTTGTCGAACAGAAGTTCCAAGTAGCAAATTGTGGGCTTTTTTTAAATGTCGGTGGAGAGTACACTTTGTTTTGAATCTTTTAGTCCCGACGTGGCAATAATCACATGACAATATTTTTTCCTCGCTGTGCACGGTTTGATGTCTGAAAAAACAATAAAATGATATGAAATATGGAATTTGTAACGACCCAAAAGATGCACACGGTCAATTATCTCACCTACCGTTCGAATAGTGTCCGATCCCAAAACATTTTCTCGCAAGTTGGACACGCCTGTCGAAACCCGCGATGACCATTTTCGCTGACATCTTCTTCTTCCCGTCCCTTGTGTGAATTTTCATGCCGAACTCGTGAAGCCTGAGTCGACAGAGGTTTTAAACATATGCGACAAACGTACTTGGTATTCCCTTCTTGATGCCGTTTCCAGTGCCGCTTGAGACTTTGGAGATGTTTCAATACTTTGTGGCAGATGTGGCACTTGTGACCTTCTTCCAGGATTGGAGATTCTAAAATCACAAAAATTTGAGGATTAATACCCTGATTTTTTTATTTACTACTAATTTTAAATTGTTCACCTGGTGTGAGAGACCCATCGCTGCTACTGCCCCCATAGTCACTGGTCGGTGAGTCGGGGTAAAATGGGGCAGTGCAAAAGTTCAGGGTGCCAGGTCGCTGAAGGTTTTGTGGGTGTACTGGGAGAACGGGGGAGTGACCTTGCATCTCATACATGCACCGTAGCAGGTCTTCCACGGGGGAAGCAGTGTTGGTAGCGTGCATTGGGACGACATCGAAAACTATGTCTTCTGTCCTTGAAACACAACTGCCGATATCGGTCGAGTGACGTGGCGAACTTGTGCCGTCGTCACTGTCCGACGACGAAGTAGGAGGAGACGGACTGTCGAGGAAGAATAAACCAAAGTCGATATTGTCCATAGTGCAATCCACCACAATTGACCTGAAAAAAATTGAATTTTTATTTTCGCAAAAATCAAGGCTACCGACATTTTATAAAATCTTACGACTACTGTTTAATGAGAACAATTCAATTAAAAACTTACCAAATCCCGTTGTTCAGTAGTCAAAACTTAAGTCCGACTCACCAACCGAACCCACCAGAACAACTGACAGTCGAATGAACGAATCCACTCGCAGTTCTGAATTGATAAGCAAATTTTGCAATTTTGCATCACAAAGTCGAACACGTTCTGCTTGAGCGGAAAATCTCCATGATTTTAGAATATTTTCGGATTTGCATGCTTCAACAAGCTCAACTTGCATAGAAGATTTTTGAGATATGAATGGAATTTAAAATTTCTACGAAAGGTAGAGGCCATCACCATGTTACAGGAAAATGGTTTCTCATAAACTCAAAAAGTCTTAGCGAATCTGAAAATACCACTCATTCAGATCATGTTTAAACAAAAATGAAGAAAATCCATCTAGGATTGGTAAAATCCCAGCTATTCGAAAAATTATAAGTAGGTACATCAATAAATTGAATTATTTGCACTGAAACTGGGCCGAAACAATGACAGTCTTTGTTCACAGCATCAAGGTCTAAAACATACAGAAAATTATTCGGAAAATTTCACTTAAAACCATTTTCCCATAACATGGTGATCTCTACCTTAACTTGCATGAAAAACAACTCTCCATCAACGTTCTTCCCTGAGCTAGATAATTCTTATTTCATTTCATTTGCAAATTAGGAAGGAAGCCGACGTCGTGATGGATGGACAATTTCTCGTCCGACAGATTTATGAGGATGAAATCACTTACAACATTGTCGGGGCTGCTGAAAAAGTTTTGAGTATGCAAAATCATAGAAAATAAAATAATGCAAAGTTCAAAGCTATATGAATAATTTTTTTTGCAGAAATACCAGCCAACGCAATTTTAGAACTGTTTGGCAAAATGTTTTTCGATTTCTGCGTGGAATCCGGGTATGACCGCATTCTCCAAGTGTTGGGGGCCACACCGAGAGATTTCCTTCAGGTGCATATTTAAGCAAAAAGATAGCTAATTGAATATCCATAATTTTGTAAATTACTTCCAGAATCTCGACGCTTTGCATGATCACTTGGCCACAATCTACCCTGGGATGCGAGCACCCTCTTTCCGCTGTACGGTCCGACCTGAAGACGGTGCCCTGGTTTTGCACTACTACTCTGACCGACCCGGTTTGGAGTCAATTGTCATCGGAATTGTGAAGGTGCTAGTAATGACCACTGTCTTAGCCATGATTTACTAATTGATGTGGCATAATTTCCGTAATAAGTAGGCCGTCGCCAGTAAACTGCACGAGACGGAGGTCGAAGTTTCCGTCATGGCGGACAAGGAAGTTGCCAAAGATCACGTACAATTCCTCATCACGGAGAAGAAGGTGGGAGCTCAGCTGGATAAGATGAAAATGGCGACGGATGACAGCTCAGCGTCCAATTTCTCATTCCTGTCCCCAGGTAAAAAAGAATTACTAATAGATTGAGAACAAACAACAAAGTAGATAATTACGAAAATTGGTCCATTTCATGCATAATGGAAAATGAAATAAAGTGGGGAGAGTGAGAGAGGGAAAGAGTGCGTATCAAATTTCTGATAAGTAATATAATCCGGTAATGATAACATCAAAGTCTGCACATGGAACACTCAAGATGATGATGATGATGGATTAATGTAGATAGATGATGATGATGAAAAGTACTGTTGTTACTGCCCTAATTGGGTTTAAGTTAAGGCCAAGTACGTAGACGAGCCGAGTACGCTATGAACATAAATATAAGTAAACAAAGAAAAATATCAAATTTTTATTGACGATGATGACGGTGAAAAATGAGACTGTTTGGATAAAATGTTTGGATAAATAAGACAAAGTTCGGAAATAGAGCAGTCGTCAGTCTAATGTATTATCAGAAATATTAGTTAATTGGGTAGTGACATGAAATGAAATATACTGTCTGACTTTTCATAACTTAAAAGAGCTCATTACTCGATTTTGAGTTTCAATTTTGCCGTGTTATTGTAATATTCTATGATTTTTGTCCAAAATATTTCATGTGTCCTCTCAAGTTTCGCGTTTTTACCTGAAATTTATTTCCCCACTCGCTCAAATGCATAAAGCAAATTTTACTCACATCCATAACTTCTTCTTCCATAAAATCTAGAACTTTTGCTTTCCCTCAGATGACGTGGTGTCATAGTGGGCATCGCAGAGTTCACGCTAATAAATATATTTTCAGATCCATTTCACTTTCACTTTCCGACTTCGAAGTATCTAGAACCATCGATTCTAAATATTCCGTTTCCAGAACAAAAGTTTGCGAGATGCGTCTTTGATTTCATGCTTTTTTGAAAAACTTTTGTTTTTTGCCCAAAGTGATTCTGAACTGTAAGCTATGAAAATTTTTTCAGAAACTTCAGCTTTGCATAAGAAAAAGTGATGATCAAACTAGAAGTATAATTTTATGGATGAATAACTAAATCTCTTTGGTTTTTTGTTGCTTTTTTGGGTGGGGAAATTTATATGTAACTATCCAAATTCTCATAAAGTTTCCACAGGAGATTTACTTTTGAAGAAATTTGTTATTTTTCATAAATACCTAGAAGAGTGGATCAGTATACGCGATCATGCAAACTTCAATTTTTTATCGATGTTAAACAACATGCACACCAAAGTTTCAAATTTTCTTAAAAGATTAAAGAGTTTTGTTTTGAATTTGATTTCTGCAGAGCCCAAGATAAGCCCAGAGACCTTCTCAAAAGCTTTCCCATTTCATCTATTGTTCGACCGAGATTTGGTCATTCGACAAGCTGGGACCGCGATCAGTCGGGTGATGCCAGAAGTTCTGGAAAATTGCAGATTGACGGATATCGTGGAAATGGTATGAAAACTTGAAATAAAAAATAGACGTAAAACTTGAATAAATATTTCCCTTTGTCCTCTTAGGTGCGACCCCACATGGATTTTACCTTTGACCACATTCTCTCTCACATCAACACAATTTACGTATTACGAACTACAAACCCCGTCATTGCTGGGGAGTTTATGACCCCTGAGATTTTGGCTGCCGACCATTCCTTGATGAGACTCAAGGTACTATTAGCGTCAAGATCGATGAAGTAGCATGAAAAAAGTATGGCTGCATAATTACAAAGAATAATTTTGGCATTAGGGCGAGATGTTGTACATCCCGGATACGGATTGTATGTTGTTTCTGTGCTACCCTTCCGTCATGAATTTGGACGATCTGACAAAGTAATGCATATCACATAGCCTTGTCTGTTCATTTGCATAGCTTGACGCATTCGCGAAAGGCATAAAGTCTACTTATTTAATAAGGAAAGCCCGTAAAGCCGAAAATGGGCATTATGAGATTTATGCAAATGAACCGACACTGCTAGTTTAATTTGAGAATAATTACGAACTTATGCAAATTTAAACATATTCATGTACAGGCGAGGACTCTACATCAGCGACATCCCATTGCACGACGCTACTCGTGATCTCGTCCTGCTAAGTGAGCAGTTCGAAGCTGAATACAAGCTGACACAAAATCTGGAGATTTTGACGGACAAACTACAACAGACGCATCGGTAGCTTTTCACTAATTTTGATTAATTTCGTAATTTTTGCACACTTAGTACATTTTTCTCCGTAGTGAACTGGAAGCCGAAAAGGGGAAGACGGACAACCTCCTCTACTCGGTGCTTCCCATCTCCGTCGCCACCGAGCTGCGACATCAGCGTCCAGTCCCTGCCAAGAGGTTTGACACGGTCACCCTCCTCTTCTCAGGCATTGTGGGCTTCACCGACTACTGCGCCAGGAACTCGAACAACCCCATGAAAATTGTGCAGCTGCTGAACGCAATCTACACCACGTTTGATGTCCTCACGGATCCGAAGCAGAATCCCAACGTGTACAAGGTGAATTTTCATGTGGTTTCTGTTCTTGTCTGACGTGTAAGAATTTACTCGTTGGACTCAGGTTGAGACCGTGGGTGACAAGTACATGGCCGTGTCCGGACTACCTGAGACATGTTCATCGCATGCTAAATGCATGGCAAAACTAGCTCTCGATATGATGGACCTTGTGGATCAGATCACTTTTGAGGAGACGGAAGTGGTAATTTAAATCAAATTGAAACATCTTTTACCTCAACTTATGAGGTCTTGAAATTTACCGAAGTTATTGAAATATTAAAGAAAATTACCATCGGAATCCATTCCGGCGAAGTGGTCACTGGAGTCATTGGGCAACGCATGCCACGCTATTGTCTGTTTGGAAATACGGTAAATCTGACGAGCCGAACAGAGACGACAGGATCGCCAGGTCGGATCAATGTCTCAGAGGATGCGTACAGGTGCGTGCTCAGATTTAAAATTAATTAGAATTTAGTATTAAAATTCTGCATAAATTTCTTAGTTGGTTGCAAACTGAAGAAAATTTTGACCCCTCATTCACCTTCGAGTATCGAGGCCCAGTTCAAATGAAGGGGAAAGCAGAGCCGATGAATGTCTACTTTCTCTTGAGAAATACCGACAGTCCCAACAACATTGAGAGTTTGAGCACCGTGACGATGACGTCGGGAGGAGGGCGAGGAGGGGACAAGGAGATGCTGGTGGAGGCGTCGGATGTCAACGTGGACGTCGGAATGGACATGACCGTGACATCCGCCGAAACCGGGCATGCTGAACAGATATGACAAGAAAAGAAGAAGAAACGCAAGTCCAGAGATTGCGGTTCTTCCTCGTTATGCTCCCTTCTGTAGACCTCCATAGCTCGTAGTTGAGGGTCACGTGGTGTCACTTTTTGTTAAGTGGAAGGACCATCGATCGACACTCAATTTGATGACCACTGATCTCAAATCTGAATCATATACCCTGTAAAATTTTTGATTGTTATATATATTCCACAGTCTAACTCCTGATACATACATACTTGATGAAACCGCACATAAGTATTCCTGCTTTTTTGCTTCTTTAATATCTTATTGTTGTTGGTTAAACCTAATAAAAAATAAACCATTGATTTAATACGTGGCTGAATTCATTTTTATTGAAAGGTAATTCAACTGAGGATGTGAGCATGTTTTGTAATTCCATAAAGTATGCAGATGGCAAACTAGCATTAATACTTGCCCAATCCACCACAAAGCTCCTTAAGATATCTTGATTTGCTCTCAAACGTCCCCGGCCTGACATGTCGCCACTAGGTTATCCAAACGACAACTGTAGGATTACCAAAATATGATGTCCTTGATTATTCATCCTCAAGATATCCTATACCTGATGAATTGAGGTTGTCTTTTTTTACTCGTCTTACTGAGGTCTTGTTGACGTGTCGTCAGGTTAATCTCAAATTACGCGAGTATCAATGCGGCGGCAAATTTATTTCAACTCATATTTCTGCGTATTTCTGTGTAAAAACTTTGCCGTTTTTATACAAAATGCCAAAAGTTATTTCTAACTTAAGTAAACGTCAATTAAGACGCAAAATTAATCAACGAGTGACTAAAGTTTTACATTGTATGCGATACAATCAAGCACATCAAGTCGTCAATTCCCAAGTTTCTTTCAATTCACCGTCCCCATGTGAAGTGTACAATAATTTTGAAACCATTAGTGAATCTTCAAGATGTAAAAGAGCAAACGAACTTTACGATTCAAGTGATATTTTAAGCGGAAGTGAGGTAGACAATCTTAAAGAACGTTTAAAAATATGGTCCGTTACTAATAATATTTCACAAATTGCCACGAGTGAATTACTTAAATTGTTACAAGCTCATAAATGTTTTGAGAATTTTCCACTTGATTCAAGAGCTTTACTAAAAACAGTAAGAAGTTTCAAATATCGCACAGTCAAGCCAGGAAAGTACGTTCATCTGGGATTTGACATCGGATTGCAAACAGTGATTCAGAAACTTAATTTTATTCCCGACGAGATTGGAGTATTGATAAATATTGATGGTATTCCTGTCTCTAAAAGTAGCAAAAGTGAATTTTGGCCGATTCTATGTTGTTTAGAGTCGGGTGATGCAGCTAAGAAACCATTTTGTGTGGGAGTGTATCATGGGGGAGGAAAACCAGAGGATCAAAACGACTTTCTGAAAGATTTTGTGGCTGAGGTCAAAGCATTAGAGCGACATGGTTATTCCTATCATGGGGTAGTTATCAAATTTAAAGTGAAAGGATTTATTTGTGACGCTCCGGCTCGTGCATTCATAACTTGCACAAAATATCATTCTGGATTTTCGTCGTGCAGTAAGTGTACCCAAACCGGCGAAAGGTATGAAAATCGGGTTGTATTTTCAAGCAAAGTCGTCACGAAACGAAGTCAACAAAGTTTTCTGCAACAAAATGATGAAGACCATCATCGCGGAACTACAATTTTAACTGAAATTAACGTGGACTTGGTGAATGATGTCCCTTTTGAGTTTATGCATTTAATTTGCATCGGTGTTGTCAGGAAATTGTTGAATTTGTGGGTAAACGGCAAGCCAAAATACATGAAATTCAGCGGACTTACTATTACTAATTTATCACGGGATCTTGTTAAGCAAAGATTTAACTCCTGGCGATTTCAATAGGAAACCAAGATCGTTGGTTGAACTTCCTCGATGGAAAGCAACTGAATTCCGTCAGTTTGTACTTTATACGGGGCCGGTGGTTTTACAGGACAAAATTCCACAAACTTACTTGAATCACTTCAATTCTTTGCATCTCGCAGTATTTATTTTATCAAATAATGACTTAATCAGAAAACATGGAAGTTATGCTAACACTTTGCTGAAGTATTTTGTTGAGCAATTTTCATCATTATATGGAAAAGAAAACATATCATACAATGTGCATGGACTTTTACATGTGTGTGACGATGTGAAAGTATTTGGGAACTTAAATAATTACAGTGCATTTCCATTTGAAAATTATCTGGGGCAATTAAAAAATCTCATCAAGGGGGGAAATAGGAAATAGGAAAGTAATAGGACCGCTCGCTCAAGTCTGCCGTCGACTCTCCGAGCGGGACAAAATTCACTCAAGCCCAACAACGGAGGAAGCATGCCATACTGCAGGTCCACTCTTAGAAGACTTAAATTCTCCTCAATTTAATAAATACTATTTAAAATCCTCTTTCCTTACGTCTGATAACCGAAATTGTTATTGCAAATTACGAACTGGAGAAATTATAAAAGTTTTCAATTTTGCTACTAGAAAAAGTGATAAAAAGTTGTGTGTGATTGGAAAACCTTGCTGTGAATTAAGTGCACTCTATTCTATTCCTTTTGATTCCAGAGAATTTGGGATTTACAAATTCAAAACTCTGGGGGAATTAGATTATTGGGAGACAACAGAAATTTTGCATAAATTAATCGCGGTAGCTGCTAACGACTCTTCTATTGCTGTCTTTCCTCTTCATCAATAAAAATGGAATTCGCCGTGGTGGAATTTATGGTGACTAAAGAAGTTGCGACAGTGCCACTGACCTGGATATCTGAAAATGAAGAGGAAACCTGGTGGCCCCCATACAAAACTAACGATCGTATTTTAAAAGCAGTGAAAATTAAAGAGGGGGTGAATCCAATGTCATGGGCGAAGCACATTATTCGGGTCATTAAATTATATAGTAAGTGGAAGTATTTTTAAGTTAACAAAATTATAATGGTGAATGTAATTAGGAATTAAAATAAATTAGTCAATTAGAGTAAGAAATTTTAATAAAACACTTTATAATTTTACAGGAACTTTCGCCACAGCTGTGGAAAATGAGAAGAAAGCTGTGTACACTTCAAACCTGGAGTCGGAGGCAGAGTCTTCGGAGAAGAAAAAAGGAAATCGTCCAAGGCGAAAAACAACAAAATACAACCGTGATTCTGACACTAGCGAAGAAAATCATCGTCCTGTCACCTCGAGAAAAATTATTCCATGTCCGCCACAGCCTAATCTTTCACCGGTGTCGTCGTCCGAGCCATCTCCGCCTCCAAGGACATCAACTCCGACACAGTACTTTTCTCTGGCTCAGGGAAGTGGAACATTGGCTGCCCAACGTCAAGAATCCAACTTATCCAAAAAACAGTTTGTAGAAGGAAGTTCCAGCTCGGAGGATGAAGGAAGTCTTTCTGCTTTACAGAACAAATGTGAGCCATAATTAGATTACAAGCCTTAATAATTTAAAATCTTGAATATATTATACTAATTTGGTCTGTGGAATTAGTGGATGCCATTGGATCAAATTTTAAGGATGGAACTCAGGATAAGGAGCAAGAGGGTTGGATTTATAACATTTATTTAATATACGAGAACTTAAATATTAATTTGTGTCCAATAATATTATTATTTTTTGATTTAGGATCGTCGCCGATTAAATTTGAAGACTACGTCGTTCATTCACTGGAGCGACTCCATCAAAAGATCGACCTACAAGGATCAGTTTTAGTGAAATTGTGTAATTTCGTTATGGCACAAAATTCAAAAAATCCCATCATCTCAAAATCGCCAAGGCCGGAATTTAAATTTCCAGTGGAAAACTTTGAGGAACTTGCTGAATTGGAGAAAAAATTAATGACGTCTAAATTATTTTATAACCAATTGGTAATAATTATATAATTTAATTTACGTACATGATATATTAATTGATTATTACATAATAATAAAAAATTCTGTATTTCACTAGGTTGGCTTTCTAGCCATTATTGGCGGAAAGGATTACAAGGAGACGATAGCTGGCATTCTTCCGTACCTCTTCACGAACGAGTTGGCTGAAAAAATTGCCTGGGACGGAATTCGAAAAAAGAATCCAAAGAAGGCGTTCAAAACGCTCCGGATAAAACAGGTTTTGTTTGGTACGATCATAAAACTATCCTCGTGTTATATTATAATTGTATTACATAATATTTACACTTTAATAGATGCTGTCCGTCAGAATCCGCTTGTCAATCGTTCAGTGACCGACAAGGAAATGAAGGCAAAAGGAGCTTCATGGTTTCAGCACGCGACGGATAGAATTAAGGCAGCTGTAAGCCTTTAATTAAATATTTATAATTGCATAATTATAAAGGTTTGCAAGTCCACTAAAAGTAATTAATTATTAATTTTAGGCTTTAAAGCGGAACAAAGGATTGGAGGAAGAAGCTGAAGAGATTTAGTTAGAATTCATTTAATATTTTATGTTATTGTTATGCAATTTCTTATACAATCTTAATTTTGAGAATGAATTAAAATGACTTAAAATTTAAATAATTCAGTCTTGTGTTAATTTGTGAAGCACTAAACCCTGCGACCATAAAAATCATGTAAGGATGTCTGGAAGATATAATTCAGAGGAAGTCCCAAAGACGTCTTGGCAAGATATCAATGCGACATCCGAAAAGCGGACATTTGTTGTTCATAAGGATATCCTTATGACCACTGTCGTCCATGGAAAGATATCCTTAGGACCAATGAATTTCTTTCAAATGATGTCCTTAAGAGCAAAATAAGGACTTTGGTGGTGGATTGGGTGGTTAGTTGATTAATAGTTCATTGCCATGCATCTTTAATGAATTGGCTCAATGTGAATCACTTTACACTCGACAAATATGTATAAATGTCACTTACAAGTACATACAAGTCGTGTACGTGGTTTTGTTCAAAGAAAAGCACAACATTTATTGAGTGGACCTCGTCCCAAATAAATTTATCGGGCCTCTTTGACCCCAGCAGATTCCATACATCTTACAATTAGTCTGTCTGCAACATAATTAATACAACTCTGTATAATGAAATGTCCATATTAATTTGACCATGAACTGTATCTGATACTGTGATATAATCGCGAAAAGTTACGTTATTTAGTGCATGTGGTCGAAATGGAATTAAGACTACAGATAAATACATGCAAACTCACAAAAAAGATTGAGTCTTGTCTGTGGACAGTGGACATACATACATTTCTTTAACAGTGAATAAGTTTGTAATCATTTTATACAAGTCGAATTTTCCTCATAAGTTGGAAACTGGAAAACGTCTTTCCTAACGTTTTAACAAAAAGGTATTCACAAAGTTTTTCAAAACAATGCAAAATACATTTGTAATTATTTTACACAAATAGCAATGGAAAATGAGTTGCTAATTGAAAAAGCAACCGAAGATGACATCCCAATTTTGAATGAATTCATTAACGCGTGCTACATTGGAAATGATGATAATGGACCGGATACGTCGTCACCAGAATGGACTTCGGTGTCCAAGCTTATCGGTGGCCGTCGAACAACGCCGGAATTTTTACTGAAAGATATGCAAAATTTGGACATCACTATTTTTAAATGTACAGCAAAATCAGATCTTCAATTAGTCGCAAGTTGTCGAGCTCACAATACAGACGAGGATACGATTTATTCTGAAATGCTTTGCGTGTCTCCGACGTGTCAAGGAAAGGGGGTTGGGAAGCTAATGGTTGCCAAAGTGGAAGAACTTGGTCGAGAGTTAAAGTGCAAATATCATAAAATTCAGGTATTTTCTTGTCGAAAGGGTTTAATCGAGTGGTACGAGAAGTTGGGTTTCAAAGAGAACGGGAAGCAAATCCCACTGCCGGGACCTACCGAGAGGGCGTGGTTTATTAAAAGTGATGTCACAATTCTAATCGAAATGCAAAAAAGTTTGTGAATATCATGATTGTTAAAATACTTCGTTTTTGGTGTATAAATTAATTGTAAAACATCTGCAATTCTTAACGCGTCAAAGATAACAGATTTTATCATTGTTGTATTTTCAGTGAAATTATCGGACGAAATTCGATTCCATTTGACGTTTATTTATAAATCACTTTATTTTCTTTTTCGCTTTCGAAATAAAAATGATTTCTTCATTTATCACATCATTGATATTCAAGTTTAATAAATACTGTAAAGAAATTCCACTCATACATGTATTGTTAAGATATTAATAAGAGATTTAGATAATATTAATTTGGTTAATCTTTCATTCCATATTATGGAATCCATAATGATGAATTAGATATGCAAATATCTAGCTTCAAAACACAAGTCTGAGCCATGAAAGTACGACATGAAGAGATTGGATTTCTTTGTGTGATAAGAGAGGAATGCGCGCGAGCTCTCCGTCTTCAACTACTGATAAGCGATCGATGTACGATCTTGATTTTGACTATTCTTGTATCAATCACTGAAAATGAAACGTTTTCAATAGATGAATGTAGCATGTGAATGTCTGTGTTCCTTTCCCTTATCTCTTGATTTTCAAAGTTATCAATTCCAAATTCTCTAATTTTCCAATCATTCTTTTGCTGGACTCTTTCTCGTCAACATTATTTCCCCTGCTCCACGAACAGTTTAAAACTGCTGCACCAAGTTTTAAATCCACACCCACAAAATCGTCACCCCCTTCATCTCATTAACAATGGTGAAGTCCAACACCGGAAACTCTATTTCCTTGCTCCTCACTCCGACGGAATCATCTCGGAATGGGGCGAACCCTGCTTCTCCGGCGTCCACAGTAAACGTGTCGTCACCTCAAGGGTTTCAAACCCCTCCAGTCTTCAGCCCCAGTGACGAGTTCCCCGACTATCAAAGCAGTGGCAGGTCTCTCCTGTGGTCCTCGACTTGTGGTTCTACTTCCTCGTCATTAAATTGTAGTTGCCCAGGTTGTCGAAGAAGTGGTAGCAGCAGACCAAGTACCAACTCTGAATCATCATCATCAATCTTTTTCGGTGGGCCTCCTGCACCAATGCCGGTATTTCAACCAAGAAACGTGAACATGGTTCATGGACGAGGCCAAAGAGGTGCTCCTCCACCCCCACCTGGAATGGGGGCAGGTCAGCCAGGTCAGCAAAATGCACCACCCACAGGACCACCAAGCGTGATGCAATCAGGAGGAGGAGAAATCACCAACCACTTCTACACCAGTGCGGCTGCCATTACGGTCAATCTCCAGACTCCGGGGACCTACATGGTTGGTCTTATTGCGGACATCGCTATCGGTGATCGTGGATCAAGGGGACGACATCATCGCCATCGTCATCATCATCAGCCTGGTGACGCTGGTCATGTCGTTCCAGCAACTCAGGGGATAACAGGACATCATCATCAATAGCCATTTGGGATAAACAATGGAATCTTATAAGGCAAGCTTATTCTAGATTTTTTTAAATTAGCTTGAAAATTTTATATAAAAACTGAGTTATTATTAATACTTAACATGTGTATTTTTTCTTTTTGCAGAGTAACTTCACTCGTCGGCTAAAGGAAATCTTCTATCTATTCGAAATATTATCTACCATCTAATATCATCCACAACCCAGCTCAGTTCTACTTCTACTACCTCAGCTAAATTAAAATATGACTAACAGATACTAATTTTCAAGTAATTCTAAATATTTGTTAATTCGTCACATTACATACAATTTGTAATTTACAAATTATTTAGTTATTTAGACTATAAGTATTTTATTTCACAAAAAATTGTAGGAATATTTTTTTCCAACAGTAAAATTTTCAATGCTTATTCTTCAATAGCTGTTATAAAATGTACATATATTTCGTACACTGTTAGTTAACATGATAAACTGTTAAACACATTTTTTTCTTTAAAATTGATGAATAAATCTCAACTTTGTTGTAAAATGAGTACCCAAAAAATTCTTTCGCAGAAAATTTTGATGGGGATTGTGCATAATTTCATTTCAGTCAGATACACAGCACATGTAAGAATATTATAGGTAATATTTACAATTTTTTGTAGTGGGTGCACCGAAAGAAATAATTGTCATGATGAGAAAGTAAATTTAACGTTTCATAGTATAGTCTCGAGTTCAATTTTTGTAAAAAGTACACAACTGGATGGCACAACTTAATCACCGAAAAAAACTAAATGGACAAGTTGGGGGACGCCTTGTTGGTTACTTTTTTTGTTCCGTATTGGCTCGTGTTTTAATGCTGGGTTTACAGAAAGTGGCGTTGAAAAGTAAAATCAATAAATATTTCAAAGTACAAATCCAAAAAGTAACACTATTAAATATTTATGACTTGGTTATACGTAAGGGATCAAATAACAAAATTAAGCAAAGTTAAGTATAAGCTATTTACATGTGAGTAATATAAAAAGTACAAATGAACGACATGTATAGGAAATTGTCTACATTGTATAGCTATTTTAGCGGAGTTTACAATAATCAGTCTACATAATGGCGTTAACAGATTTTCAAAAATTTGAAGTCGACAAAATCAGACTTGTTATCGCTTCAACATGGGAATTATAGGCATATTAAAATTGTGGGTTCAATCAAATGGATACGGAAATTTGTTAACAAAACGAAAATATTATTTGGATCATAGTAGATTATACTTTATATAAAATCCACTGTTTTAGTATCCGTTTATCAAAAATGCGGCTTAAGTGAATTTGAAGAAAGCTGCAGTGTGTATTCACATATAAATTTCTGAGCATCAACAAAACACGCTAATCTTTCATTCGATAATGAATTAGATATGCAAATACAAGATTCAAACGACAAATTTGAGCCATATAAGAACGACGTGAAGAGCAGACTAGATGTCTTTGTGTGATAAGAGAGGAATGCGCGCGAGCTCTCCGTCTACAACTACTGATAAGCGACCGATGTACGATCTTGATTTTGACTATTCTTGTATCAATCACTGAAAATGAAACGTTTTCAATAGATGAATGTAGCATGTGAATGTCTGCGTTCCTTTCCCTTATCTCTTGATTGTCAAAGTTATCAATTCCAAATTCTCCAATTTTCCAACCATTCTTTTGTTGGACTCTTTCTCGTCAACACCATTTCCACGCTCATTCCCCTGCTCCACATACAGTTTACAACTGCTCCCCAAGTTTTAAAGTGCTATTAAGTCCACACCCACAAAATCGACACCCCCTTCAACTCGTTAACAATGGTGCACTTCAGCACTCCCATTTCTACTGTGATTCCCACTGAATCATCTCCGAACGGGGCACGTCGTCCATCTCCGACGTCAACAATAAACGTGTTCGCCCCCCAAGGGTTTCTTACCCCCCTGCTTGTCAACGCTGGGGACTTTCCGGAGTCTCCCAGGTCCACGTCATCTTCTGGAAGTTTATATGACTTGCGTTGTCCACATTGTGGGAGCAGTGATGTCCGAAGTTTAGCAAGTTCCAGCTCCAGCTCTGCTTCATCGCCCAACTGTTGTGGCGCACCTCCTCCCTCACCAATGCCGGCTTTTCAACCAAGAAACGTCAACATGGATCATGGACGAGGCCAAAGAGGTGTTCCTCCTCCCCCACCTGGAATGGGGGCAGGTCAGCCAAGTCAGCCAAATGCACCACCAGCAGGACCACCAAACGTGATGGGATTCCAGCCAGGAATCAACAACCATTTCTACGCCGGGGGTGCGGCCATTGCGCTCAATCTCCAGACTCCAGGGACCTACGTGGTTGGCCTAACTGCGGACATCGCTGTCGATGGTCGTGGAGCATGGGGACGAGCTCATCATCGACATCCTTATCATCAACACCCTGGTGATGCTGGTCATGTCGACCCAGCAACTCACGGGATAACAGGACATTATCATCAATAGCCAATTTGTTGGGAGAAACAATTGAATCCTATACTTATAAGGTAAGCTTATTCTAAATTTTTTGAAAATTAGAATGAAAATTCTATATAAAACTGAGTCGTTACTTAATTTGTGTATTGTTTCTTTTTGTAGAGTAACTTCACTCGTCGGCTAAAGGAAATCTTCTCTATTCTATTATCTACTATTTAAAATCATCATCCACAACCCAGCTCAATTCTACTTCTACTACCTCAGCTAAATTAAAATATGACTAACAGATACTAATTTTCAAGTAATTCTAAATATTTGTCACTTCGCCACATTCCAAATTATTTAGTTTATTTAAGTATTTCATAATTGGACGTGGTTCCATTATTTCATTAATCTTCATAAAAAATTGTAGTTTTTTTTTCAAAAGTAAAATTTTCAATGCTTATTCTTAGCTGTTATAAAATGTATATTTCGTACATTAGATTAAACTTTATAAAAATTTATAAAACTGGCTCTAATCATAAGTTGTCACGTTCATCAAAATTATTTTAAACAGACATTATGTGTTCTTTGACTTGAGAATTGGTGCATTTTCAGCATTAATTTTTAAACAAACTTGTCTCGACTTATTATCATATCATAATATGCAAATGCAAGTCAGCTAATGACTTATTATTTAATTGGAACTGCATGGAATAGAATTGCATAAACTGGACAAGCTGAGAAGCACTCGCTGTAAGCTGATGCTTGTTTACTTCACCTTATTTCTGCTGATTTGACAAAACCTATGAAATATTCCATTTATCTTATAATATGATAACCCAGCAGATCTAAAAAAATTAATAAAATGAATATCATCACAGTTTTGGTATTGAGTTCACTCACTCTGCAATTAAATTTGAGACAGGGAACATCTTTTAACAGAAACTAAAATTTTCTCACATCAAAAAGTGACATAAGTTTCATTAAAAAATATGTCGACGCTAAATTTCGCCAAGGCAGTTCTGATCATAGGACTGGTAACGAGCTTTGGGTCAACCCCAGTCCACGCTATGTCGTGGTGGGAACGATGGCGAAATTTCCTTTTGGAGTGGGATACAGATTCGATTGTTATTCGCCCTCATGAGAGTAAGATTTCAAACAACTGCTAAATACACCACTAATATTTTGCTTTGTAACATGTTGCATAAATTACCGCAGACCTCCGAGCCTCCCCAATTTTCCTGGACCGAGATGACATTCGTGATGTTCATTTTTACCTTTTTACTGACCCAGAGTAAGCATGTCCAACATGGTCGGGCGTTACTTCTTGCTCTGATTTTATAAAATAATCATAAATTGCACCGTTTATCTATTTAGGAACCCAGATTTTATGCAAGAAGTCCATATTGACGACCCCACTCAGTCATCATTAGAAGCTTGGGACCCATCCGTTCCAACCAAAATCATTGTGCACGGGTTCATCCAAAATATTAACGCGACATTTCCACAAAATGTGAAAAATGGTATAGTACTTTGATTAATATGTAAATCGTGCGTAGTTGGTAGTTGTGCAATGTTCTAATTTCCATTTTCCAGCCTACCTCAAGCGTTCCAAGGACACTGGTCAAAAATACAACATTCTCGTCGTAGACTGGGGTCGATTGGCCTACCAGTTGCAAGACGGGGTTCCAGTCTACACCCGGGCTGTCCGGAACGTTGAGAAGGTCGGAACTCGTATAGGGGAACTCGTCATGTACCTCCATTCACTTGACCTCGTGACCCCATCATCTCTTCACCTCATTGGGCAGTCCCTCGGGGCTCACGTCGTGGGTCAGGCGGGTCATTGGTTGCAAGAGCAGAAACCTACACCATTTCTCGTTGCCCGTATCACCGGCCTGGATCCGGCCGGACCCTTATTTTACACTGGGTTGGTGGGACGCCTTCTCAAAACGGAAGATGCTGCTTTTGTCGACGTCGTCCACTGCAATCCCGGCGGTCTTGGGGTGGTAGCACCAGCCATCGTAGGACCAAAGTTGGGAACGGTAGAGTTTTACGTCAACTGGGACCCCTTGACGCATCTCCAACCTCAGTGTGTAAGCCTTGGTCATGTCATCACGGAGAAGGAGGGGTGGATGTTGTGCAGTCATAACTATTGTCCCAAGTTCTTCGCTTGGTCGATTATTACAAAATTGGAGGCGAGACAGTGCTACGGGGTCAAGGTTCACCCGACAGGTTGTGTAGGACCTTATGCCAGGTTTGGGGAGGATCTTTCAACCAGGTTCGTACACTTATAAGATTACATTTTTAGTGTATTGTCTTGTTTCATGTATTTTTTGTCTTTTGTGCAGTGAACAAGGCATGTTTTTCATCAAAATTCAAAACAAATTGGACGATATGCAGCTCTTCATGCCATAAATTAGCATCTAACTGCATTAAGTTTGGTGAGAATTAACTTATTTAGTACCATTTAAATAAAAATAAGCATTTAAATACTTATGTATGTACAGCGTCACAAATTGTGACTCTGAAATTGAGATTGGATTTATAGCCATTTTATGAAATGAACTTTTAACCATTAACAAATTATTGCCGTTGAATAAATTCTACTCACTGCGTAATGTTCTATTATTCTATCCAGTCACTTTTTGCACCTTTAGCTTCACCCACGTCCCAATAAATGTTTGATTTCCTTGAATTTTACCAAGAATCGAAGCATCATAATAAAAATAAGCCTCATTCACTTCATTATAAATGAACATGTTGTCGTCCTGCTCCACTTTATAAGTTGCATGGTACGCGTAATACTTATATAAGTCAAGCTACATTAGGTAACCATACGTCCAGATTTATTGCGTCGATTCATAAGTAGCTAAAGTTTGCAGGGGCTTCGGACTTTTAGATCACTCCTAAAACCCCGGCTAGAAAAGTGGTCATTCATCGTACGGTCAAGTTCCAGCCCACCTGCAAAAATGGCCTGTTAACTGAAATGCATAACGAAAGCAGCACCTCTTCGGTTGGATTGTATTGAGAGAGGAATAATCGGAATTGATGTTTGTTTTGTGTTTGGTTAAAGACAACAATATGCGGTGGACTTGTTTTTCTAAATGCCTTCCTTCCAAACCTTCCCGATTATCGGCCTACTTCAAGAAATTTGTTCTTTAATACTACACGGTCGTAGCTTCCCCTCAAATTCATTTAGGCACTCGGTTCGACCACGACTGACTCGCTTGTGGACAACAATTGGTAAAAACGCCCACAAGCACAAACAAATACCTTTCATATTATAAACACATTGGTATTTTATGTTTCTTAATTATGCAATAATTTTTCTAGATTGATCCAGTTCCATTTTCCTTCGTCACTATGAAGTACCAAAACTCTGCAACCAGTGAAAATGCCACCACTCCCACGACGACCACGGCCCCATCCGTCATAGCACTTGCTCCATCACCCACGACACCGACAACCTCTCGACCTTCACCACCTCCACCTAATTATGACGCCACTGTGTTCAAAGTGCCCACCAAACGTCCCCCAAAACGGCGCATGGCAATCGACACGGAGTACGACGGTCGAACGGGGGCCAGTCGTTGGGAGAGCGTGCTTGGATTACCCATTAGAAATCTTCTACGACGACATCCAATTTTGGCGCAAGTGTCGAGCGGGACTTCGAGGAACACTTGGGGCTTCGCGTCCTCTTCCACGAAGAAAAACGATGCTGGCAGTCATCTCGAACTGATTTTGGGAATGAGGAAGAAAGTCTTCCCACCTTCGGTTAAATTCGTTCCGGTTTTGCGCACCGTGAAAGAAATCGAAGTCATTGGTCTGGTCATTACTTATTTATTTGCATATTTTTTTGTACAAATTGTGACTGTCTCGTGACTTTACAGACTTGGAGTCCACCAATGAAAATGAGAAGACCACCCCAAATTCAGCGCCGGGTGGCGACGGCAAGAAAACTAAGGGAGGAAAGAAGAACGCCGTCATGAAACCGGAAGCCACCACTTCAACCACGACTGCAGATGGCATTGCAACTACTTCCGTCTAAAAGTGAACCTTTTGTGGACTGCTTCTTCTCTCATTAATTAATTCATGTTACCATATTTAGTGTAAAATTTATTCAAAAATTATTATACTAAAAATGTAGGTGCAGTTATTTTGCATGACCAGTAGCAAGTATGTATAATAATAAGTAAATATGTACTTAGTATCGTGTACGTTCTTTCACACAACTTGTCTCTCTGTATCGTACACTCATTTATTATTCACAATTGTCCTGTCAGTCACAATTAGTTTGAATTAATCTAACTTGTCCATACCAGTTCTTACGACTTGTCCAACCAAACTGCTATCGTAGCACTTTAATACTTTAATATCTGTAGCTGCTTTGTTCTTTGTATCATTTTCCAATCTATTTCGCCCTTGTTCTATTAATCAATCATACATATTCAAAAATACCAGCGTGTCATCATCGCACCTGTTGATTTAACTATACACACATGTAAAAGGGGTGTATGTAAAGTCTACCTATGTGAAATCTTGTATCAGTGTACACAGAGGAAAAAAACATTGGTGAATTAAAAATTAACGATATTTTTTTGCTTCTAAGCAATCAGTGTACAGGGTGAGAGCACGTGATAACTGTTAGAAAATAGTTTTGAGCGTCGTCTCTATTTCGCATTTTACTTTGTTTTAACAACTACTTGTTCCTGTGTCTTCGTCTCAACGTCGTCGTTTTTAATTGCTCTTCGACATAAAAATCTCATCTTTTATGATCTCACTATTCCGCACCCTCCCTCAAAGTTAACAATTCTGGTGTAAAAGTCTTATTGGTCCTAAAGAAGGTTGTTTGAGGAGTGGAAGTAACAAGTGTACAAAAATTAGTGGGGAATTTTACACAATTTGCGTGCAATTTGTTTGTCACGATTCGCACGTTATGTTTCAACAGCAGGACTACAATAAAATACCACATGCACATATAAATATATGTCTGTGGACATGATAGTGATTTGCGTGGGTATGCACATGTACACTAAAGAGTGGAAAAGGAGATAATAATTGGTATTTAGTCGTCATTATTACTTTTTACTTGTTTTTGCTAATTGGATGGAGGACATTTCTGCGAATTTGTAGGAATTTGTATTCATGTAAATCAATCGATCCGTGTTGGAATTTGCACTCAAGTAAATTTATATTTATAGGAAAAACTCAATTGCTTCAAGTGACACAATTTTTTGAAGTGTGATGATACCAGGGGCTCTACATATACATTCAGACATGCAGTGCAAACTTATCCCATAATATTATGTAGTACTGATTACATTGCATTACACAAAGAATTCACTGTATGTACATACGTAGAGCGGATGATAAGTCACTTTCGATCACTGCTTAATTACACATACATAGAAATATTATCTGCACGCATGCAACTATGTACAACTTTCATTGTTATACAGAGAGCAGATGAGAGATTTGACGACTAAAGGTCCATACATGTGCATATTTATGTTTGGATGATTCAGAAAAGTGGTCAGTGGTGTTTGGTGGCTTATTGACTCGTGGTCGCAGAAAAAGTGTCTCGTTTCTCATTCCTTTCCAGGAATGAATGAGTGCGAAGTAGTGAATAAATAACAATAATGTGGTTGCAGACGCAAATATATAACATCATAAAAACATGAAAACTTGGTGAACGAAAGCGAGTCAAGGTATTCTGCTGACTCTCCTCCAGAAATAAGTACAATTTTGTAGTTTTATAAAATGAGTGAAGGTGAAACGAACCCCGGGTTTGTGCCCGATCTTAGCATCGGGATTGTGGAAGTGAAAGACATTAATGGTGATCTCACGATTAATAAAAAGGAGGATAACATCATCGGAAATGGGACAAAGATAACTGGCGAAGAAAAACCTGCAGCAGAAGATGCCGTCCAAAAATGGAATTTTAACCGAAGACAGTGGACATTTATTCTTATTTTTGGGGTGACCAATATTTTCAGAGCTGTCTCGATTTTGATAACCGGACCATTTTATCCACCAGAGGTGAGCGTTTAGTGCATTTCTCATCCGCAGTAAAAACATTGTATTTGTAAAAGTTGGTTTTTAAGCATTGATCGACTTGTATAGGCAAAAGATCGAGGTATTTCCGATACAAAGATCGGATTTGTCATGGGATCCTACGACTTTGCGACATTTGCTGTTGTTCTCCTTTTTGGAAAGTTGATTGTAACTTGTAAATCTTTTCTTTAATGAGTTTAATTTGAAATGTGAATTTGCTTAAGATTCAAATTTATATGTAATCATTGACAGATTCCCAAGTTTGGGCCAAGGGTCGTATTAAAATTGAGTATTCTTAACCTTGCTGTGTGCATGGTGCTGTTTGGGTATGGAAAATACTAGGGATTCAAAAGTTGGGAAATTCAGTTCTAACGCTATTTCTAATGAATTTCAGATGTTTAGACCTCACCGAAAATGCCACCGTTTTTCTCACCTTTTCCTTCCTGATTCGGATTCTTGCGGGCGCAGGTGACGCTGGCTTTTATCCGTCTGCATTTACCATATTTGCCCAAGAATTCGAAGGCAATGTGTCCACCGCGATTGTAAGTTACATATGTGCCATTTTAAATTTAATGATCAATTTAATCATGAACATGTATGTTTTCAGGGACTATTTGAGTTCTTATTCGGACTGGGGGCAATTCTTGGTCCAATCATTTTCGGATCTTTTATCGATGTAAGTAGTTCATCAACGTCAGCTTATTTTAAATTTTGCATAATCTCTGAATTTCCATTTTCCTCAGTTCACTGGATTCCTCTCTGTATACGCAATCGTGGGGTTTCTCCTCTTTTTCTGCGTTGGTTTAAACCACTTTTGTGTTCCGGGACCAGTGGTTCCGTACGGTGGTAAGAATGCCAGCAGTGTCGTCGAAGCTCCGGAGGAGGCTGTGCCCACTCCAGAAATTGACGTCGTGTCCAAGCCCATTAAGTCGAAAAAGTGGTTCGAACTCTTCTTCATTCCTTCCATCCTCGTCGTCATCATTAACCTTTTCACCACCGCGGTGAGCATCGGCTTTTTTACGGCGACTTTGGAGACGCATCTGGAGCAGGTGCCTATTGCTTTTTTATATCATTTATTCGCAACTTTCTTAACATGATTTGCACATATTTCAGTTTAACTTAACCACTTTCGAAACAAGTGTCGTATTCATCGTATCCAACATGATTTACATGTTGACCACACCAGTCTGGGGGAAGATGGGGGACATGTTGAAGGGCCAGTGGAGATATTTAATCATCTTCATTGGAGCGGGGCTTATCTTGGTGGGATTTTGCGTACTGGGGCCACTCCCGTTTTTGCATGATAGATCGTTAGTAGTGAATTATTTTATGCATCAAGTTAACTGAGAGGTCGTATTGGTCATAATCCTCTGAAATTGCTAATGTTTTATGCATAGAACTCTGTGGACCACTTTGATTGGGTTGACCTTGCATGGAATGGGGATTGGGGGCGCGGTCATGTCCGCCTTTCCTCACGCAACTGATTCCGCTATGTGAGCTTTTGCTAATTATTTTTTTACCAAAATTATGAGATTTCTGTATTTACAAATTTTTGATGAAATATTTCAGAGCGTCCGGATTCTCTGAGACTGAGAAGACCTTCAGCTTAATAGGTTCCGTGTATATTATGACATTCACGCTGGGAAATGCGGTTGGACCTTCGCTGTCAGGTCTGCTCGTGGACCAAGTACAATTTCAGAATGCGACACTGCTCGTCGTAGGCCTGTCTACTTTAGTGGTATGTACTTTGTGAAATGCATAATGCAAGAAAATCATGCCATTGTTTTGTTTTAATTACAGTTAATCTCGACCTTCGTTTTGGTCCTGTTTCAACGAGGAAGGAAGAAGCAAAGATGACGGCATATGCTAATTGTTTATTGAATAAATAAATCGAAATAATACTTAACTTTTGTGGTTGTTCTTTCATATTCTTGTTCTAAAATCTACATATTTACATTCTCAACTGACGTTATGTAGCCCTTCCTATTCCTAGTTTTTGTATGGTCTGCTTTAGAAATTAACATTTCCAACAACTCGGCGACAGTTCTCCTCAAAATGAAAATAGAATAATTTTCTCAACTGTTTGATCATTCTTATTGTCTATTAACCATAATTTTTGGATAGTAAACGAATAGCATTTTATTTACGTACACGCCCAACAAACTTTATGAACATTTGATCTAGGTATAGAGTTATCCAGTTAATTGTCTTCTAGCAGTTAAAATATAATCAATTTTGGTAATTTTTGCATAATGCATAATTTAATGTTTGTTAACAGTGCTACGTATTATTCGTTTTAAATCTAATTAAGGATGTGGCAATTACAACCCCAACGTGTCCCCATTTAAATGGCTGACCGACAAAACTTGATCCGGTCTATTACCTCCTGACCTGATAACCTTCCCCACCGCTGCCTGCACATCTTTCGGCAAACCCTTGATATTCCTGATCGCCTCCTTTTTTATCTTTTCTACCAAATCAAAATTTTCCTCAGCAAACTGTGTCAATGCTTCGGTCCGCATGTAGCTCAAGAGTGCGTCCGTCTCTCCCTGGTCCAATTCGTCGAGAATTAGTCGCGTCTTGCAAAATTGGCCCCACATGATGCACTCGTCTCCTCTCGAATAGCTCACAAGGACCGGAACAGGTTCAAGTTTGAATTTCTTAAAGCTACGAAGCATCGTTACCCGGGCGTCGCTACCAGTTTTAGACGACGAGAGTTGGATAATCCCCGTAATTCCGTATGTGACTTCACCACTGTTTAGAAATACGAGATGTTCTCGAATCGTGTTGATAAACTTGGAAGATGACGATAATAGTTTCGACTCTGCGGTGTGTTCCGTTTTCGGAATGAGACCTTGCAAATACCAGAAATCCACGAGGAGCTGGGCTTCTTGGATGGGGAGATTTTGAAGGATGGAGGATACTCCGATCGGTAGGTAGGTGGGATCTCCCAGGCGGGCGTAGACCTTCTCACCCAGCGCGACCTCGGACGTGTGAGGCGCGACATATTTAGTGAATGAGGAGATGAAAGCATGAGTCATCCAGAGTTTTAGGACCGTGGAAGTGTCGGGGGCTGTGTCACGGGCGGATGAAGAGGAGGGATTGGCAGGCAGCGTGTGGTGAATCGGGGTAGTGGCTGGAGAAGTGGTCGCGGTATCTTGAGAGTACTGCTCTTCTTGAGATGAGTATGACGACGAAGAGGCTGAGGTGGTGGTGGAGGGCAGATGAGAGGAAACTGTATAAGCCCTGGATTTGTAGTAGGTCTCAGTGACTTCAGGAGGGTGATAGTCAGGCAAACTTTGGGTGGTGATGACCTCATAATTCGAATTACCGGTATCCTCAGTCTGAGCATTACTACCCTTGGCGTAACTGTCCTCCTGTACTCCCTCCTCGTTCAAGGGGAGTGTCTTTGCTTGAAACACCTTTTTTCGTCAAACAAATTAGGATAAATATCTATGAGTATACGGTGTGAATAAAAGTTTCATTTTAGTTTTTTACCTCTTCTGACGCTTCGTCCGTATTGTAGACATTTGTCGTTTTATTCTCATCGGGATAATTAGTCGTCTTCTCCTCTGCAGGACAGCCTTAAAATGAAAATTTATTATTTCATGTTTCTCAATAAACAGTAAAGAACCCCACCCACAGTCATTCCACTTACTCAAGCTTCCCGTCCACACACAAATCCTCTTTTCTGGAAAGAACTGGGACGGAAATGGGCACTTGAACGGATATGCTCTCCCGTTTCTACAGAGGAAGTAGGTGTGGCAGTCTGCGAGATTGGGGTAAAATCCATTTCTGAAAGTACAGTCTGGTCTGTATGCCTGAAACTGGGGGAAAAGACGATGACTGAGCCTTCGCAAACGGGGAGACCCTGCTTTAAGTAATTAACAGATTTTGTGATAATAATAAACTTTGTGTCCCAACTTTGCCCCAAAACTTACGACGAGAGTGATCGATTCCTTGTGCTGCGTATCCCATGAACAGAAGGACCACACTGATTCGAAGCAATGACAAGTGACCCCTCATTTTCTAAGACGTATCTTTGTTATCTATTTATATTTGTTCGTACTAGAAGGTGTAGGTTGTGTCAGAGTCAGGAACAGTTGGAACCAGTGTGTGTACAATGCAAGTATGAAATCTCGGCTCAATATTGAGTCGTAGAATCGTTGGTTAGTCGTAGAAACGTTTGCATTTCCAAAGCTATCAAAATTAAGTGATGTGCTAGCATTTTATTCAAGCTGAACTTTTATTATGCTTATGACATTTGATTACTTTTTTATATAACGATATCCCTCCCAAAAAAATTCACCCATTTCATCCCATCTCGTTGTCTCGTAGAAAACAACTGAATTATCACGATTAGTTTGCACGGTGGATTAAAAAAACAAGAATTTGATGAATCTGCAGATTAGTTAACTTTATAGTTCATTCTATGTGAATATTGTGAATATGCTGTACGTGCTGAAATGATAATTAGATATCCGTCCGTACTGCTGATCTGTCTCATTTTTACACACATTCATTTTTAGGATAAGTCATGAAAATACGATTTATATTCGTCTTTTCAGCATTATTTTCCACTGGTAAATAAGTTGCCAAGTAAAGGCTTGTATTACATAATTAAATTAGATACGATTTCTACAATGGTGGATGGGAAACGAAACGTCAGATCAAAATGTTGGACGCACTAAAGAGACTTGTCACTTAAAAAGTGACAAGAATTTTCGTATTGTGAATTGCCAAGTATGTTAACTTTTATTCCCAATTAATTTTGAAACATAAATAGCACCTGCACAAATATGAAGGGTGATTAGATTGTGCATATTGCATCATTAATCATGATCATGCAGATTTTATTCTAAGAATAAGTATTATTGGATAAGTGCATATCAAATTCATGCATTTTTGCATAGAGAGATGAGTTTTTACGTTTCCCCAAAATCAGCGAAAGTCAAAACTACGGCTGATTTCTCCCAAGATCAGTCCCAACTCTTCACTCTTCTTTGAACTAAAAACTGTAATTGTTGAAATATCGCAATTTACGTGTAAAATTTTAAATTATCGACAATAATCATGGAAGCAACAGTCTCGCTGGAAACGGCTGAAGGAAACTTGTACACGTATGTCGTTGTGGGCGGTGGAATTGCAGGAGTTTCCTGCGTCGAGCAGGTAAACTATTAATTGGTAATTGTTATTTAGTTATTAATTAGTACTTCCTTAGTGTTGACAAAATTGTCTCTTTATGCAGATTTTAGAATATGACTCCAACGCCAAAATCATCCTAGTAAGTTCGTCATCTGTAGTGAAAGAGGCAAGGAGTGTGACTCGTTTGACGAAAACTCTTCAAGATTTTATCGTTGTGGAGTCCAGCTTGAAATCCTTCAAAGATGTTCATCAAAGCGTCGACGTAATTCACGACCACGTTGCCAGCTTGGACGTTGACAATCATGTAATTTTGAAATTTATGTTTCACTATGCTTATATGAAAGAAGCATGAAATTTTTTGGATTTTAAATATTCTTTTCAGATTCTGAAAACACTTTCCGGGAAAGAATTCAGATACAAGAAACTATCAATTTGCACCGGTGGCAGGCCAAAGAAGACTCCGTTCTGTCTAGATTCGCCGTTACTTCTTGGAATTCGTGACACTGAGTCGGTTCACAATTTGGCGAAACGGATTGAAAATGCTAAACGTGTCATTCTCATTGGAAATGGAGGAATTGCGACTGAATTTGTGTATGAAACTGGAATTTGAAACTATCTAATTAGTCCTTCCTAACTGAAGTATATAACAATATATAACATGATAATGATGATGATTTATACAGGCATGAAGTCAAAGGCATCGAAGTAATTTGGGTCATTAAAGACGACTCTATCTCATCTCATTACATGGATGCGGCAGCAGCTGAGTTTTTCGTGAAAAGTAAAATAAATTGTGAAAATGGAGAAGAAAAGGCTGAACCTCCTGAAAATAGCAACAATCCTGTCAAGCGACAACAATACACATTGTCTTCACCTAAATTAAGTATGCACACACAATTAATATTTTTTAAGTAATAGTAATAGAAGGTGTGGTGCACATTTTATTTGTATATTTTCATAAATTCCATAGCGGAGGAAAAAGTGGAAGGTTGTGTCGAACCAGGAAGTGCTCTTGGCCCAGATTGGCATCGTGATCTCAATCTTAAAGGACTACTGGGGAAGAAAAATGTAGAAATTATTTACGAAACAGAATGTTGTAACGTTACACTTCGAGGGTCTGAAGGTAAATGAAGAAGAAGAAAAGTTACATATTAGTTAAAATAATTTACAACTTTTGTAAATTGGATTTAGAACAAAAGCAGTGGCCAATTTATGCGAAGCTGTCAAACTCTCAAATCGTAGGAGCAGATCTAATAATTTTTGCTACCGGTGTCTTACCCAATTGCGACTGGGTAGATGGTTCTTTACGCCAAGAAGAAGGAAAAGGAATTTTTGTCAATGCCTCAATGCAAACGTCAGCCAATGATGTGTATGCTGCGGGTGATGTTTGTTGTGCAGACTGGAAATGGGCGAAACACTGGTTTCAGGTTTATACCGAAATAGAAAACATCAATTCTTTGAATGAATATGTAGATGATCTTGATTTCTTAGATGAGGTTATGGACCCAAGCAAGGCAGATGGGACTCATCGCTGGAAGATCAATGTATTTTTCTCACAAGAATACAGATGTAAATCATGAAGAGTCGGAGGAAGACGAGCCCGATTTCTGTTTTGAAATATTTTCTCATGTGACAAAGTTCTTTGGATTCAAAGTCGTCTTGTTAGGTTTGTGCTGCATTGATCCGCATATCACATTGATGGATTACTAATATATTATTATATATATTTGTTCCTTTAAAAATGAATCAATTTATTTAATACGAGACACTTGAAATATTTTGCTTTATAAACAGGACTTTATAACGGCCAAGGGTTGGACCCATGTAAACAACAGCTTACCCTTCGGTGCAAAAAGGGCGTTGAGTTTATTAAGATAGTCATGGTGGATGGTCGGCTGCAAGGAGCAATTCTAATTGGGGAAACAGGACTTGAAGAAACATTTGAAAACTTGATTTTGAATCAACTTGATCTCTCTGAAATCGGTGGTGCAAACTTGCTCGATCCGGATGTGGATATCGAAGATTACTTTGACTAGTTTATGGACTTCGTAATGTTGTCATCTTGTTACAGTCATAAACCAGTTATATCTAAATATTACTATTCCGACCATTCTGTGATACTATTTGCCTGCCAATCTTTTATGAAATGTTAAAATGAGTTTTAAAATTATAATGAATCAACAAAATTATAACAATGATATTGTAACCTTGAAGAATCTCAAACTCAATAATTATTTTTTAAACATTACATATTATGTGTGTATCCATGTTTTTTATTCATTCTTATTATCATGCGTATAATAGTAAAGTGCACAATAAAATATCACTCCAATAGTCCGATCAATTTCCCATCAGCGACAACAAAATAGTAGAAATCTATGCACCTAATACTTAATTCTAGTAACATACTAGTTAGATATCTGCAGTTGTAATTTGTACCAATGGGTATATATTTAATAGCGACAATTAAAAATGCGAATTCAGTTCAAATTTTAACTTCCCTTACACAAAGTCAACTTCCAAACGAAAGTAAACAAGGAAATCTTTGGCAAATGAGAAACCCCTGAAAATTAAAAACTGATATTAACGACATTAAAATCAAACTCCAATTAAAATAATACCATTAAGTATATAGTCGTTGCTGATCAATTTTTGCATTTTAATATTATGATGCGTGTTTCTTCATCGTCTCGAGAACATTAAATACTCACGAATATTCGTAACCCGTGGAGGATGTAGTGATTAATTAACACAGCTGGACAATGATGATAACGAATTAGTCAGATGATGAATAATTAAAGAGCTACAGTAATTAAAATTAGCATAACTAGAGCGAGTCGATAGCTAGAAATAATTATCAATACAATAAAAAAAACTCTCGAAAGAGGCCATCGTGGTTACATACATTGAGTCTAATTAAGTCTCTACTTTTACAAAATCAAGATCTATAGCTGTCTGTCCATTGTTGGTTTGTCAATTTCTAAGAATGCGATTCGTGGATCATGATTATAAACCTTATAATAATTAATTAAATTTCTATTACAACTTTAAGTAGTTAGTTATTCGAAAGTTTAGGATAAAACTTAAGAATAATTGTTTTGGACTTTTAAAAATATCATCATTGACAACACGACGGCGTAATTGAACTTGCAGCTCCTCCGGGCGATTGTTGCGTCATTCCTCTCGCCGATAAACTGACCGTTTGACCATTGTATGGTTTATCTATCCGACTACTACTTGAATCCATCTTTATCCACTTTTCCACGGCGGATTGAAATGCGAAAATTACATTCGTAGCTTCTTTTGCACTGGTTTCAATGTAGGGCAGATTTCCATTTGCAGCACACCAGTCCAGTACTGTTTCTTTCGCTATGACCCTCTTTTCCGGTTCTAAGTCAACCTTGTTTCCTGTACATAGAGCAAGAGTTATAATCATAATCATAATCATCATTCATCAAGCAATTTACGACTGAATTGTAGATTAAAATGACATTCCTACCTATAACGAGAAAAGGAAAGTTGGTTTTATCACTAATGTCTGCATAATAGAGAAATTCCTCCCTCCAATTAGCCAAATTTTGGAAACTCATTTTATCATCCAGCGAAAATGTTAAGAGGCACATATCTGATCCACGATAGAAGGGTGTCCTCAAGCTTTTGAACCTCTCTTGTCCTGCATTGTGAAATAATTGATAAAGGTTGGTTTTTAGTGATATAAATTGCAATTGTCTATACCAGCGGTATCCCAAATTTGGCAAGTAAAAAGCTGGCCACCAACTACGATGTCTTTATTTAGGAATTCCACTCCTATCGTATGGAATGATGTAGGATCGAAACGATTGGACACAAAGCGGTTCATGAGACAGGATTTCCCTACGCCACCGTCTCCTAATAAAATAGCTTTGAGAAGGGTAGACTTTCCTCCTGGATGAGATGGACTTCCTCTGTTTGCCATTATTTAAGAGAAATGGAGGACGATGATGTATCGGAATGTGAAGAATTTAATGCCTTATTTTTTTAATTAGAAGATTGTCAAATGTACTTCTCGCATCGTATAGTGTATGCTTTGAATACCTATAACACACAAATAGAAAAAAATGCATTTTGAACAAAATTATCAAGATAATCTCTTAATATGTACATGTATTGCTAAAACCTTACCACAAATCAGGGACAGTTTTAAGAACACAGTAGATTTCCTTTCCGATAAGCTCCGTCTTCTAGAAAGTTATCCTCTGCATCAGTGTTATCTCACCAATGTCAGCATTCTCAATTATTTTCAATACTTTACATCCGAGAAGTAAATGTCCACGGAACTTTCCACCTAAAGTGTAAACCCAAAATTAAAACGCAACCTAAAAGAAGTTACAAGCCACATTATAAACTATATACTTTCTATCTGTATGTTCTTCTTATCAACAACCACCTTATCTGTCACCCTCCTTACAACCTCTCTCGCTTCGTTCTCTCTTTTCAAAACAATTGGATTTTTAGGATAACACACTAATGCAGTGCAGTAGCAAAAACAAATGAACATCTTATCGTTCCCAGACACCACACGTTCAAACATTGAACTTTGATCATTATTAATATTGAGAAAGAAGACGAAGTTATAAAGATTAAACAAATACTGGGCGTTATTAATATTGTCGTACGTACTTAACTATTCGTGAATCCGACTACAAACTAAACCAATCCAATTTTGCAACGAATGCTAATAAAATCAACTAGAAACTGTCAAAAATAAGGATGAATGGACTATAACATTTGGTTCTTTAGTTAGAAATTGCTGATAAATCGTATTTATGTAGCAGATGTCTATATTGGCACATTTATTACTGGTCTTTGTGTGATTTCAGCAACGAAACCAGTAAATTAATAACTCAATTCCACTATAAAAAGTGAAACTAAAGGAGGACAAGCTGACCTCTAACAGACTCAAAAAGCTTTGGTGGTGGTGGTGCACAGACTGTTGTTTTATTAACTTTATGTACTAACTGACAAGTCACCCACTTAAATATTGTTTTAATAAAAAACTGTAAAAAATAGTCAAAATCTGCGGTTTATGCAATTAAAGGATAACTCCCTGGGATTTTTTAAGCAAATTAAGCATATCTTTTTACCTATTATGTTGGGAAGATTTGCAATGACGACGATAAGTAAATATGGGACAACACTGACGATGACGATGACACCAGACAGATCATGCAGCTGCTATTGACGAATACTAAAATGTTGAACTTCTTCCCACTATTACGTGTTCCAGCTGGGTGTTATTGATCTGGTTGAGTGATGATGCTGCATACACAAAGGAGTGAATTAAACATTGTATGAATGCATGTGCTATCTGCGTAACACTATTTGGAATATGTAGCTTATGTATTCTAATATGAAGATATATAAACCAACTAGTCCCATGAAAACGAACAAAATATACCCAATTTCGGTTTTGATTTTTTTTATTTTACAAAGTTCAGTTTTTAATTCATTATTATTATTATCCGTAGAATGATAAAGTTCATTATAAAATATTAACTTGTCGTCGGCCAAGCTTCTTATCTTACTTCGCTACAACTCCTTCCTCTACTTTTGCCTCCCCTTCTTCTTCAACTTTCACCGCGGCTTCTTCCATTACTTTTTCTATTACTTCAGCTACCGCTTCCTTTTCCACTCCTTCAGCTGCCGCTTGTTTTTCTATTACTTCAGCTACCGCTTCCTTTTCCACTCCTTCAGCTGCCGCTTGTTTTTCTATTACTTCAGCTACCGCTTCCTTTTCCACTCCTTCAGCTACCGCTTCCTTTTCCACTCCTTCAGCTGCCGCTTCTTCTTCCACCACTTTACCCACCGCTTCTTTCATTAGGTTCCCCACTTCTTCTGTTTTCATCATCATGGTTGCTTCCTGTGTCGGCTTATCGTATTCACCTTTCTCAATTGCTTCTTCCTCCTTCTGTTGAGGCTTTTTTGCTTCCTGTACAGCTTGAGATTCTTTCTTATTTTTAGCTTCTTCCAACTGTTTTCTTTCTTCTTCCTTCTGTCGCATTACTGCAACAATGGAGAGTTCATAGAGCTTGCTTACGTTATGCTTGACTGGGACGGGAGCCACATTCACGTTGGCCAGTTCCCGACTTCTTTGGGAAATCTGTAATAATTTGTCATTTATATTTTTGCTAGCCGTTTTAAACCGTTAGTAGCCAGTACCTCTGACTAGTAATAACCAGAATGGAGGAAAAGCTCACAAAATCAACAACTTTTTTGTTACGATACAGAAAAAAATAAGGGTTTAATAATTTTCGTAACAATAATGCCACATGGTTTCACAAAAAAAATCATGTAAAAACTTGGATTTTGGATGAAATTCCCTAAACGTATACATTTCTCGCATAGTTCCGATCACTATTTTTGCAATTTTAGACCAGCATTATTCAATGATTATTTTAGAAACGATGTGCCATTATTATAGTTGTTAAATTATTGCACCCTTATTTTAGTCTGTAGCGTAATAAAAAAAAGTCGTTGATTTTCAGAATTTATCATGGGCTTTTCCACTCTAGATAGTATTATTAGATACTCAAAGATAAGTAGCAGTCTCTTAAATAACTTACCTTCCTACCAAATCCAGTCAAATTGGCAAGCAGCGAATTAGTGGCGGCCTTCATTCTATCCTGTGATCTTCTCAAGTCCAAACTTGCAGCCCTTACGTTTCCATCCATACTGTCCTTCCACTCTTGTTGTGCTGTCTTGGACAAGATGCTCAACTTCGACGAGATTCCCGTCACCATACTTAACAGTTGATCATTCGTAATGGGCTTGTCATACGTCTTATTTGAAGCTTTCTGAGCCTCTGCAATTCAGAGTTGAAAGTTAAATTAGTAAAAAAAACTTTCCTCGATACAAAGTACTAAAAAATAACTACAGAATGATGACCACATCTGATTAAAACCTATTTAGATCTAGTTCCAAAAGATTTTTAGTCTTACCAGCCAGCTCTTCCTTCAACGTCAGAGGCTTCTTCTTTGGCGCAGTTTGAGCCGCCCCACTAGGCTGCGACCTATAACGAATATCTGCCGACTGGAAGTAGCCCTCCCCAGCCCCCCTTTCAACTTTCTTGTTTTCTCCACTCATTCTTAGGCAACTAACGTGTTTGGTAGATAAAAAAAACTATTGGGAATAAAATAAAAGCTTGAAATTTCCAAAAAGGAATATTTCTGGCTGAGAGTTGAGAGTGGACAAGGTGCTCGTTCGAGTAGAAGATGGAAAATGGAGGCTGGGAGCACGCCGCCCGGTGCCATGCAGTCTGCGAGGCAAGGCAGATAGGCTGCCCTCTAACCCACCACCTTCACCTACGTCACTCACCAACAAAGACATCTCCATGAAAATGCAAATCTGGCGTCCTCAAACTAATCTGGACTGAAAAAGTTCAGTCAGCCTGACTTTGTCAAGTATCCGCCTCACATTTCGTTCAGTGGGCATTGCCTTTAAATTAAACGAAGCGAAATTCAACAAAAGGAAAAACATGGTCAAAATTAAATTTAATACAACCAAGATTACATGACAAATGACATTTAAAAAAAACAGTTGAAATTGAAAACTAAATTTAATCCGTGTCCGTCATTATTGCAGGTTTTTAAATTTCATGGAGCTTGGAGATTTCAATTACATTTCTTGCACACTTGTCAATCATATCACTCATTTATAGGGATAAGCAGGATGCCGGTAGATACGATGTGAATAAATGCAAGAAAAAAACACCTAGTTCAGATATCCGTCTTCTGTGGGATATTTTTAGAACGGATCGGCTCACTTGAGTGTCTTTTGAGAAGAAAGTTCGCAGATTTTTAGTTGTTGTGTTGCTTCCGTTTAGTGAACAAGACCGTGTTCAAAATACTTAGAGAACGGGAATTAAAATTGCAAAATTAAATCGGTGACATTTTCAGTTTAAAAGAATTACAGACATTTTTTCCTCATGGCGAGCGGAGTGACGAGAGTTATCGAACGGTGTGATAATGCCGTTGAGTCGGAATATTTGGGTGGGTTACAAGTATTGGAATAATTTTAGAAACCTGCATAATCAAGATTTTTAATAGACTTGTCAGAATGTGAGCTCATGAATATGCCTGATGCGGTATTTCACCTCATGAGGAACACGGTTATTCGAGGGTGTAACCTTTCTCACAATGTAATCACTAAAATTCCGGCCAAACTTCCACTCAAGTTTTCAATTATAACAGGTAATCATTGCATCGTTGTAATTATGTAAAGAGTTAATAATTTGTTACTTACACATGCGCAGAACTAAACTTGTCGCATAATCGTCTTGGAAAACTACCAGATGAGCTTAAAGAGTTGCACAGTTTGGAAAAATTGAACATTTCTCACAATGCATTTCTTTCAATGCCGAATGCAATTTATCAACTTGCACAATTGAAGGAATTAAATGCGGAAAAGAACTTTATCGAGGGTACAAAAGAAACAAATTCATATCAAAAGCAATCTGAAGAATGTGATTAAATTATGAAATTTCTAATTACTTAGATGTCGACCTGAACCGATTAAAAGGACAACAAACCTTGGAAAGCGTGGACTTGAGAGAAAATCCTTTAATTCGCCAAATTCGTTCATCCCTTGAAGGAATCACATCGGTTAGAATTCTAGTCAGCCCCATTGTTACAGAGGAATGGGAACTAATTCCAGGAGGGGAGGAATCGTAGCAAGTTATAATTAGTTAGTTAATTAAATATAACTGCATAGTTGCGTAATGGAATTAAATAGTTATATAAGGATTCAACTGAATCGTTTTTATTATGTATATTAGCTGTTTTAAGGATTATTGGAATCACTGGTAAATAAATTAAAATTGTTACATTTACAAGGTGGATTTTTTATGTGTTGTCTAATATTAATATATCCCATCATCCTTATTTCCCTTTGTTGACAACCCATTTTTCATCGCTTTTATCAAAGGATACCTTCCATGGCCACACTTGTTATTAAAATCATCAAAATCAAGGGCCCACGCCATTGCGCCGCCAAGACCGAGTTGCTTCACGTAGGCCATCTTCGTCTTGATGAAGTCCACATCGTCGTAGGACACCCACTGGTCTCCTTTCACGAGAAATGGACCCATCCGCCCTTCCGGATCATCGACACGATCGGGCCATGTATCACTGCAGATTTCATAGTAGGCCAAAATCCCCCCTAGAAATGAAACCACATTTTTATTTATGCATAAGTCATGATTATTAATATACAGATAAACTTTAATTAGTGGTTCGCACCTTGTCTCGAAAATTTTCCAGGCGTTCCAGGCCCTCTTGCTGGCGCGTTGAGGTGCTTGCTGGCGGAGTCCTGCAAGGTGAACGCTTGGCCGTACAAGGGCACACCCATCACCAGTTTTGATGGAGGAGCCCCCTTCTCAATCCAGTGGTGAATGGAATAGTTCACATTCAAGTAGTCCTTTGTGTCGTCGGGGTGGTGGTAGAGGGGTGCGATGTGACCTGTCTGCTTCTCCCACGAGCCATGGATATCGTAATCCTAATGAATACATATATTTAAGAATTGTACTAGACCATTTAAAAAAAGTTTAATATTAATTTTAACCATGACGCCAATCCAGTTGAGAGTTTCAGCCATGGTCAAGACGTCGTAGGCTGTATACGAAGGATTTGTTATTAGATGAGAAAGAAAGCTTCTCTGCAGTAATTAATGCGTGCAAATTGAATACCTTTATCAATAATTTCTCTATTGGCCGAAACAGCGGCTGAAATGAGAGAGCCCGGTGGTAACGCAGCTCTCAAACCCTTCACCAAGATTGTAAACCCGTTACGGTCCGTTTTGAAATCATCGTGACATTCCCCATGAGGACAAACGGGGTACTCGTAATCCAAGTCGATCCCGTCAAAGTCATGCGTCTTGCAAAACTCGACGACAGAATTTATCAAGGACTGAATTTTTGCGGGGTCTCTGTAACCACGAGCAAAATTAGTATTTTTAATACGATTTTGAAAACTTTTTATTTTGCTACGCACCGTAACAGAAGAGAATATTTTTGTCCCTCGGAGTCATTCCAGCCACCCAGCGCAATGCTCACTTTTCTCCCTTGTGCCTTCAAAGCTGTCATTTGCGAGTAGAATTTGTTGTCAATATCGACCCAAGAATCGGCTGGTTTTATTGTCCATGTATTGGAATCCAGGACAGCGAAGGCGTAAACGTAATGGGTGCAAAGATCAGGGATGACGTTCTGAGGTCCAAATTTGCCCTCTCCTGGACGATACCAAGACCATCCGGTGTAGTAGCAAACAACTTTGTAGTCTGAGAACATGCATAGAATAATTATTGATTGGCAAGATTTTCAGAAACGTGAGAAATTTTAGAATGCTTTAAATCCTTGTATTTAGTCTCACCTGGGTCAGGAATATTCACGTCCGAATCAAACTCTGGATCTGAATCTGATGGTCCCGTGATGATCCCAACAATCGTAGAGTCGCCACCTTCACCACTTCCCTGCGTGGTTGTGGTTGGTCTTGGTGGTCGAGTTGGGGGTGGTGCTGGTGGACCTCCACCAGTCTCTTCTTCCGGGGGTGGGGCGGGTGGTCCGACGGTGGAGGGTGTAACCCAGGCTGGTGACAAGGTGCTGGTCGTTGGTGGTGGGATTGGACCACTTCCCCCTCCGTCTGACGAGCAAGAAGGCACATTTCCTGGCCAGTCGCACGAATTTATCTTTGGATTCCATACAAGCGGTTGGGTACACTTCATCTCCAAAAGTGAACCATGGTTGCACACGTAATAACTCGAACAGTCGGATTCGTGAGGACGAAATTCTAGCTCGTTGCAAGAATCGTCTGCCGAAACTGGAAAGTAAATCTCAGTCATGTTTTTTTTTATCTAAAATCGTCTCATTTTTCCCACTCACCTCGATCCAGCAGAGTTTCTCCATGGATCGAATTATCGTGATGGTCACCGATGCTCACACATCTCGCATTCCGTGTCCAGTCGCACGTTTGGATGCGTTGATTCCAGTGGAGACCTCTCGGACAGCGTTGCAGGACAGGGGCACCGTAGTCGCAAACCAGAAAAGACCCACAATCTTCGGGGTGGGAGCGGAATCGCCAAGTGCATTCATCCCCGAGGACGGTGAGGAAGAGGGCGAGGGTGAGAAAGAGGGAGCAAAATGTGATCCAGGACATTTTACGTTCTACTTTACCAGTCGATTACTGATCTCGACCAAGGACCAAGAGTGACTAAGGACTGGGGAGAGTGAGCCCTTGAACTTGAACCACTTTTCAGAAGGGCACACACACAGAAAGTCCCGTTAAATTGTGAGGAATCCCTTTTTTATTTACAGCACAATAAAAACCAAATGCCACAACGATGCACCAACTCGAGACTCGAGTTGAACTTTACTTTTCTGTGGTTCAACAATGAGTTTCTCGCTGCAAAGTGGCGTCAAGTGTTTATAAATTCCATGTTTATATATATCAAGTATAGATGAATATATTATTACAAGTTTACATAAATCTGTTTGAAATTCTGAAGAGGTTTTTCGCTCGGTTATCGCATAAAGGTTTATCATAGATTCATATTTTTTCCTGGGATTTCCAGCAATTAGTGACTTTCTGTAAGAAAACAGTCGAACTGTTTTGTTAGAAATGTACATATTTACGTTGTAAATCTGTCGTAAATCCAGACAAGTTTCGATCTAGATCTCCAAATCCGTGAGGATTTCTGAATCTGCATTCTAAACGAGATTATTTCTCTTCCAGTGCACTCGTCTCAGCTTCTCAGCTTCTCAGCTAACTTTAACCTAAAGTAGGATGCCCCAACAATCCTATGCATACCACAATGCACCCTTTCTTCCCACATTGGTAGCCTCCTCCATCCTCGGATGAATTCATTTGAGTCATGTTTTCATTCCTTCGTCACATTCACGTGGAAATCACCCCAAAACCAAAACCCGGGTTGCGTACGTAGATATGTGAAGAATCTCACCCTCCTCTCTTCAACGATTCTCGTACCAAGTGAAGCTCGTGTACATAAGCATGCCCATGGAATAAGCATAAGATAAGTGTGCACGATACCCGGGTTTCTTCTTAGCCCACCTTTTCCTTCCGTGACTGACTTGTGCTCAAAACTCGCCACACAGAGAGAGAGGCATGTACTGCAATCATATTGTGGATTTGCTGTAAAGGAATATAAGCGCAAGCGTCTATCGATCTGGACTAAGTGGAGGGGACGGAAACAACTTTTGTCGTAAAGTGACACTGATTATGACGATGACTAAATTACGGAATTTAATCGGATTTGATCTTTTGTACCTAAATTTGGACAGATTTCCAGCACAAAGGGTTCTTTGCCCTGACAAGTTACATGGATTTTAGGACATTGCTTTGTATTTTTAATGAAAATGTTTGTCAATCTGTCAACATAATTTAATTTCGCTAATTTTCATGATCTTTGGCCCTCACAAAGCATTCCATGCCTTGACCACTTTATGGATGGATGCATACTTTCTCTCTTACTCGTAAAAGGAAAGTTGGTTTCCTTTCCTCCACTCCGACCTGAAGAAACACACGAGTATTCGGGCATCCAGCAGGCGAAATAATCCCGAAATCGTCATCATCTCCCCTTCTGCCCGAATTTCAAAATTTCTTCTGCCAGGCAGGCAGTCAACAGAATCTTTTCCTCTCATCATATCTCTTTTAGCTTGTAGCTTGAGGAAGAAAGTTGACGTGAATTGTGGCAAACAAGCACAAACATTGAACCAATTCTGAGCAATAATATTCCATGATTTGTGAGATTATTTTTAGTCGTGAAAGTGAAAGTAAAGTTGTAAAAAAATCGTATTAAAAGTTTTGCAAAATTCCAGTATTTATAAACTTGCGGATATTTTCGGATAAAATATGCTCATATTTTGATAGCATAAGGACGGTGATAATCTCTGTAGCCTTGGTTAATTCGGTGTGTGATGTGGGTACTCAAATAGCAAATAAGGTGTCTGCTTCTCTTGTCACTTTGTGAAACATTTTGATGGGTAAGTCCGCATTTTTTCACTTTTGTCTCGTCCCCACGTCACGTTTACTTTCAAACAGACGCCACTCCATTCCATTTCTAAGACATCCATCATCCCAATTTTCTTTGGTTCTCTATTACACCCGTCCATCCATCCGCCTTTGACGATATTTGCCCACCCATAAATTCATAAAACTTGAACTCACAGAATGCAACCTTTACTTCTTTGATTCCACAAAAACCACAATCTTTTTGACGAAATGACCAAAAAAGCTTTAAAAAAAGTCTAAAAAGTTAAAGGTATGAATTGCTCTTGCGGTTTTATTTTTAAAGCCGGGTTGGTTCAATGCACCTTATAACCCCATCATTGTCAAACAGTAGCAGCAGCAGTAAATGGGGATTTAAAGCAGTACATACAAAAGACAGGAGCCTACACCACAGTCGCAGCAACTCGAGTCCAAATGTACGCTAATCTCACAAAGGGAATTAGAATAACTGTAAATACGAAAACGTAGCTTTTTTGTAAATCAATACTACTGAAAAATCAATTAGGAGCAGGAAGGAACCGAGTCAAACATCTCGTCAAGATTTCCTCAACCAGAATCCTTTCATCTTTATTCTTAAAGAACTCGTGAAAAGTAAACGTTAGCATTTTCTATTCATTCGTATGCGAACAGAGCCTCTCTCCAAGCAACAATGTCGACACACGTAATTATCTCACAGACATAATTAACTCCAAAGCTAATTAAAAACATATCCCTTTAAACTTGCAAATATCAGCGTGTGAAAAAAAAAATCTTTTCAAACAGAACTTAATTTTATCCCAAGTATGAAATTCATCTGCGTCTTGTTCATCATGCTAAATAAATACCAATCTATGTAAAAGTATGAAAGCACTAATCCAACCTAAACTGCAACTCCCCGTATTCACACCCAACTTTATTTTATCTGCATTACGTCTGCCTGTGTCTGTCGGTGGTTTTCAGTTTGCCAGGTTTCAGACACAACAGATCTATAGTTTTGCTACGTATCCATTTGTTGGTTGAGTTGCATGGTTAAAAGTTATTTGCTGCTGCATTGTGTTGTGTGTATCAAGCCGGAGGGTTTTAGCTGGCTCGCAATTCTTCTCAGTCTCTTTTATTCTCTGACAAACTCCACTTTTTGCATGGATACTGTGGAGGAAATCACGGCGTTGAGTGGGATGAGATGCGAATAAGTAAAACATACCTTGCAATGATATGTACCACTTGTGTAGCATTATATATTCCCTCTCACACCACGTCGCTGATTTGGTTTGGTTTGGTTATACACTTAAGTAAGTTGCATGTAATGTTAAGCCCAGTTAAATCATCTCATCATCATCTGTTTCCTTCCCCGGTGGAGAGATGTACGTATGTATGTACACACTTATTCGATGGGTGGGTGGGATTGGGATTGCAAAAGTCGGAAAAGTTATCATGATGGCAAATTCGCTGTTATTTGCTCTTGACCAATTCTCGGGAATAGTTGTTCCGGTGGAGGTGGAGGTAAATAGGAAAAGGAATTTAGGGTTGACTCGTTCTTAAAACTGTTTGCTTATTACTAAAAAAAACCATCGGCGTAAGAATTAAGCCTTAAAGGAAATACCGTAATAAATAGTTATGTTTAACAAGGAATTATTTATTAACCCAGTGTTTGTATTAACCAAAGCTGTAAAACTGGTCTAGTTTCATAACAACCATTTATTTTATGAGATGGAGAAGCACAATTACGTATAGTGTTTGACATGCAGTTTTACTTTACATACATGGAATTCGTTTGACACTCGCTGCCTTGCCGGTTAGCACATTAATATAACAAGTATACGTTAAAAATCAATTAAACTAATATACCCTTTCCTAACTACACTGGACTGAATGGAAGCATTTCTTACTAATAAGGTAAATAACTATTAAAACCATTAATTTCTTAGCCATTCACTAACAATAATCCAATCATTGAGACAGAAAATAGCGTATTTTGTAGTTAGTTGGAATTATCTCGTTTTAAAAGTTTCTCCAGCTAAAACACTGAACATTCCTCATTTGTAAACAATTAGTCAAAATATTGGTCAATAATCGGCTGATTGAAACATAATAATAATAATCTATCCATTCCACATTTGGTCATCAATTATTGCCTAATTTTGATACGTACATGTACATACACATATCAGACGAGTAGGAAATGTCACTACGTGTACTTATTCATACCTGGAAAATAGTGCGCATATATTGATTTTAATCAAACACCACACCACGTACAACAATGGGAATGTGTCATTCATGTCTAATTTTTTTTTGTAAAAATGTGAACATTTTCCACACAAAAAATCCCGAGTTTTGATTTCTGACGCATGTTTTACTTTTATCCATCCATACTTACTCCTCTATCCTTGACCTCAACAAGGCACACACACACAAACATACAAGAAAATGCCACTGCTGACTGATATGAGTAGGGACAGAAAAAAATTAAAGAATGACATGAAGAACATGAACAATTTGCCCATATTTGGAACACAATTTTCCATTTAGCATGTGTGTTCCTCATTCATCACGATTATGCGTCTAGGATCGACGAGATGAATATCGATACGAGTAAATAAATTGGGTATCAATGTTTTAAAATAATATTTCATATTTGGTCGTGCCACTTGCAAAAAGTGGGCATTGAACAAACATAATTATCCAAAACATATATAAATCGTTAATTAATTTATTATTGATACGTATCCATCCGTGCGACACCACAATAAAACTAAGGCTTGTACAAACACGTAGTGAAATTGATGATGATTATATTATTAAAAGATAGGAGGATTTTGATTCTACATTTTCATACACACTCGTCCATCACACTTGAACAATCCTTGACTTTGAATTGTCTTCCTTGTTAAACAAATATCGAGCTTGGTTATTCGACTCCTGATCCAAGTCTTATCTAATATTCTCACATACTTGATTCCACTCCATTCATTGTCACAAAAGAACGAGTAGCTAAAGCATGTGCATAGAATCCCATTGTCTCTCGTGCCAGTCAGTGGACATAGTTTACCACTCTTTGCAGCATAATAATGATGGATTGTTGTTCAAAATTTATATATTTTTTCACCCAGTGAGGTGTCAAATACAATTATTGCGTATATTTATTTATCCTCGTACGAACGTATGAGAACAACAGCGTTTTTTTAAAGCCCTCGTCGTCGTCGTCATCGTCAGAATCAAAATTGAAATTGAATCTGGTAGAATTACTTTGAATGAATTATATTTTTTACGATAGCCTCCAGCATGACTGCACATCCAGCATCTCAATCAGGTTGAGGAGGACTTGCATTATGTAAAATTCGTACGTGGTCAAGTGCTGGTTACAAGGGAAATATTATGTAGTTATTTATGAGTGGAGGTATCCTTACTATGCGACTTGCCTCGTTTTAATCGAGTATAATAATTAATCGAACATTAAAATTCATGTAGTGGATGTAACTTGAGAGTTGGAATTGACAGGTGGAAGAGTTGCAGTGGACGTGGTCCGTCAACAAGAATTTGTTCAAGAAGTTGGTCTTTCCTTGATTTTGATATGATCTCTTTTCCTGATCCAGTTTTCAGCTGGGAATTCTGGACGCACGGCTAGAACGAGGAGGGTGATTGAGTGACAATTAATTAATGAGAGCTATTGTGTTACAAGCAGAATGCGTGCGTAAGGCTGCTTTGATAAGGAGCTCAAGTTGGTTATTGAGGCGAACATGACACAACAATTATCAAGTTGACGACTTGTTGTTGCATTCTTTGCAAAAAAATTTTGACGTGCTAATCCGAAGTATCAAAGTTGGATAATTTAAATAATTAATTCGAGCAAGTTTTAACCTAATCTTGAAAAATCTTTTTTTATATTTCTACACTTTTAATTATTATGCAAAAATCATATCTTATGTATAAATCTTAGTTAATACTCAATTTTAAATTTAATGATGATGACGATAAATTTCTCATTTAAATAATATTTGCATAGGACAATTTTTCATGTCACTAATTTCTCTAGAAGTTTAAAGATGAAAACTCGTTTAAGAATCTTGACATGAGGAATGAGAATTAATGTGGTAAATAAGTAGAGGTGGAATGTGGTCGCTTATTGGGTTGCCTGCCTGGCTGGCTGGTAAATATTTTAAGCGATTGGTCAGTTTCTCCTCGTGTTGACTTTACAATTTTTAAATGGAATCAATTGCCATTCATTCATCCCAACGTTTTGTTGGAGGTGAAGAAGATGACTGTTTCATACGTGTATTTATGTGTATAAATATGTATCTAAGTGGCTGCTTGTAAGGTGTGTAATTCAACAATGAGAGATGAGATTGAACCTTAAAATTCATGTGCGAGAACGTATGTACAGTATTATTATCTAAATATTCCAGTTTTCCATTAGTTTTATGCCTGTCTCATTATGCAAATTGATACTGGTGGTGCATATGCTTGTTCTTATGCTGTGCTATGCTGGTTAACTGGTTTGTTTGGGGAAATAATAAATAAATAATTACGTGTAATTGAGAGAAAGATTGCAATTACGCACATGGATCTTGAAGAAATTCTAATGTTATGCGGATTTTAAAGTGATTTGGGATTTCTTATCAGAAGAAATCATCACATGCAAAATGCGCAATTTTAGACATTATCACAACTGCGGTGATGAAAGTTCTTACGTAAAGTACACCATTTGGATTTATAAGGTAGTCACGTTTTCCAAGGATCAATCAAAATATTTTCCTTCCAGTTAATGTGTCGGCTTTAAATTAGAAAGTAGTAATTACTGAGGGCAAGATGCGAAGTTTTTATGGCAGAAATATTTCTCACATTCATTAAAGTTATGCCAAATGCCAGGAACTTTTATGATGTTTTTTTATTAAGCATATATATTCGTATTACAATTTCATCCATGAAGGTCACATGGTTTAATATTGTTCTGTTTTTATTATAAATTAATTTAGCGGCCTGAATTACATGTGGGAATTTGGTTACTCTGGATCCAATCCCCTTGCCAATTAGCCTAGTTAGTTGTGTCAGTATTGATAAGAACAAACGCTAACTAACCGGAACTTGAGTTTGTGCTAACTAATAATGAAAATTGCTTCATTACCGGCATTTGTTTCTCCATTGTTTAGCAAGGGCTTAATTTTAATTCTAGTCTTGTCCAGGCAATGCATGCACTCTTTAATTAATAAAGTACCCTGCTGGTCGGCAGAGTTTTTTATTGTGCTCTCTGATCCATCCCCACCCAGTAAAAATCAGACTTATGTATGAGGTATGATTAATATACAGCTGAAATCTGCGCAGTTATCGACATGCTTTTTTTCATCTCATCTCATCTCATCCACCTTCAACTTGATCCATGCCTTCATAAATACATCAAAAATTTGTAAATTGGTTCAAATTATTTCGTCTCAAAACCATTTAATAATCTAGTCAGTCAGCAATCAAGTAAAATTATTTGTAAACATTTTTCCGTTTTTTTCTCTCTTCATTTCGCCAAATTCACCCAGCCAAATCCATCCATCCAGGACCAATCAATCAATACGCATGCAATGCAATGCAATATCAATCTCTGAACCACCACTGCACCGCTTGGTTGTAAATCACTGTCCTTTTCAAATTCAGTCCCACTGTGCGATGCGATTATGAATTTAGCATATCAACTTGTTGTATTGAAACGAGGAACAATTAGTTAAAGTGAAACCATGCAAGTTATAGTGTTGCAGGCATTATGTTAGCTCTCAACCAGTTAAAGTTAAAGTCTCTGGTGAATTGGTGCTGGTAATGCATATGCATTGTGTTCGGTGAACATTATTACCGTCGTCGTCGTCGTACCAGTCAGAACAACTAAACAGAAGTTGAGAGAGGCATTACCCATTGTAATTTGCATGCATTCAAGCATGCCTGCCTGCCATACACATGTATGTAAGTACTTACTTACTGCTACATATTCGCAACCTCCAACGGTTGGCAAAATAAGTTTGCAAAAAGTTGTACTTAGTTAGCTCCAGCAGACATTTGTTTTGCTGTATTGTTGGTACTACATAGCGTCGTCCTGTGCTTCGTCGAGTCGTGGTCCCAGAGGTCCATGAATGACAACTCTCTCTCTCTCGCCTTTCATCCATTCCACTCGTTCTTGCAACTCCTGGAAGGAAAGTCGTCTAGTTCTTGCACCGTATGCAAATTTGGCCACATTTTGAAACTCAATTAGTTTACAGACTTTGGTTAGAATTTGGCGTCGTGTGTTAAACATACACGATGAAAACCAAACGATCTGTTTAATTCCAGTGAAAACAAATAAGGAAGTGTTGACTTAACTGTGAAGAGGTTAAAACGTGTCATTTTTACGGAACAGTTATGTATGTGGAAGGCGGTTTGGAAGTGTTGGCTTAGTTGCATACCTTGAGTCGAAGGATAGTGTTCGATGAGAGAACAGTGACGAGAAACTTTGGAGAAAGTGAGACCGGTGATTCATTTCAGTTAAATTCATCGGAATGTCTCACACATGACCGACGGTGGAAACATGACTAATTAAAAGTTATCTATCAAATAGTTTCTTTTTTTATCGAGAAGCATTCAACACTGCACAAGTGCATTTGCATACACAAATTGGGTAAATTGACACTTGAATGAAATATGTGTTACGTTTTTACGTCTGCTCCTCTCGAACGGCTGGATGGGACCAAGACTAGTGATTTGTGTTAATGAATACTTGACTGATCAGTTCTATTGACTGATAACAGAAATAGAGTCGTTATCAATGAACAAGGTGTTGTAAAATTCCATAAATTGCAAAGTATTTGCATATTCGCTCTCAAACGGGGAAGATATGATGCTGGCCATTTACTTTGAAAGGGTAATTCCCATTTTTCTAAGATACATTAAAAAATGTTTCATAATATTCCGTCCAGATCATCGCTTCGATTTCATGTGATTATGTGTCGCACTGCACATTTCCATGCGTCAGGGCCAACGTGTTTATCCGCTGGACCAACAAATAAACTCGTTGTTTCTGGCTGGTTATCATCAATCAGACTCATTGGAAACAATTAAGTGCACCCTTGCAGTTGGCTTAGCAGGCTGGTGTCGATGAGAGATAAGCTGTATGCGCTCCTGATCACGATAACATAATAAATAAAACGCTTACATAAACGGAGGTGGTGGGGTAAATGAGGCAAGTTACGGATAAGCGGATGAGGTGTCCGTATTTCATACGAGATTGAATAATAATACGGTCATTGAATTTTGTGGTGATGAATCTCCCCTCAAAAAATGTATTGTTTATTTTCCTGACAATCCACCACTTTATCAGGAAATTGTGTGTTTATTAAACAACAAAAGTAGTTGCATATTGTTGCGAAGTGAGTAAAGTGCGACACGAGGCGTTTGATTTTTCAGTGATAATGACTCAATCTCTTTTGACCTTTAATTTCTACGCAGTTGTGGTAGACAAATTTAAATAGGTGTAAAAAATACTACTTTTTTTAATGAGACTTCTAAAAATAATGTCGCAAAAATTTGCCCTCATTTCTAAAATCGATTCGGCGGAGAAAGTAGAACTAGGACTGGGTCAACGTTGTTGGTCAACTCATTTAATATTTATGCACGGACCGGTATATCACCATGAAGGTACGGATCCATGCAGTCTGTCATAGATAAATGTATACCATGCATGGGAAATGTATGGATGCATGCACACATTGAGTACATGCGAGTAAAATTGGACTTGCCAATATTGTCAGGGTCCAATATTGATTCTCGCTGTTCTAATTACCAGAAATGAATATAGGTCTCCACACTGTCTGTCCTATTTTATGGAAATGCTATTCCCCGGCTGGAGGGAGACACAATTTCGCAATACGATTTTCTGGGTCAAAGGATCCTCCCACACGGCATAACACGCATGCATGCCCTTAACTTGAGTCATGTCATGCACCCTCTTAACCATTTTCAGGGTGATAGTTATGCAAAAACGTATTGTTCAACTTTCACTAGGGAGCCGGACTGCATGGTTATTGTTCTCCGAGTCTGACCTCCTTTTCTTTAATTGTTCTTTAACCGGTAGCAGAAATATCCGGTTTTTCACTTAAGCTTATATTCGCCTAATACATATATTCTTAATTCACTATTGGACGAATAAGCTGGACAAAAAGAAAGCTTTCACTTTTTCCTGCCTTAAACGAACTCTCTCCATATAAGGAGTTAATTACCATCACCCCATCAAACAAAAAGTCAGGCTAAAGGTAGTCCATCCAGCCACGAGAATGATGGACCGCATACCTGCACCACTTTTATTCTTATGCAGATATTCATTCCTCCTCGTCTCAACTTACACAACAATAAAGCCGACCGCATAAACACATGCATCATTATAACTGCAAAACATCGTTTCTTATTGCTTACATCACTTAACTTTATTAAGTCATTCAATAACGTCTCATTTCTTCCCATCGCATCGCATCAAGTCATGTTTTTTCTTGGGCAAAATCGTTACATATCAATTTACCACGACGTGCTGAGTAATTCGTCCATATTTGGAGAGACAAGGGCAAGTCTCTCTTCTCTCTCTGCATTCTTGTTCTTGTCTCCTCCTTTTGCTTTTACTTTGCTCAGCCACATCGTCATCATCCATTTCCCCGTTCCGCATCTTCCTCCTTTTCTTTAAAAAAATACACACGACAGGAGTGAACGATGAGTGATGCAATCTTTTCATCTCTCTGATTCGCAATGGTTGTCAGTCAGTGCCAATTTTATAAAAAATCATAGTAGCAAATTCGCACAAGAGATAATGTGCACCAAAGTGTAAATATCTGTATGTTGGTATTTTTAGCGTCATTCTCACTAACAAGCAAGAACAATATGTAATAGTTCCTGTTCTTTCCTCAATTCTATTATTATTGTGTCGAATAGTGGAATGGAATTAAAGGTAAATGTGGAACTCACGTTAAGATTGCACAATGAGCAAAAAAATGTAAAGGGGATTATTAGATTCAAGTTCATTTCACACCATCATCATCCATCGCCAACAATCTTCCTTTATTTCTGCTCTTGAGGAGAGATCGCTCGAGTGGAAAACGGAAACGTGGTTGGTCATGGGAAACGTGACGAATGAATTGTCCAAAAATTCCAAGTATCCATTTTCATCTTTTCACGATGGAGGAGGAGGAGGTGGAGGAAATTCGCAATTTTTTTTGCAAATTGTATACAAGGGGCGAGGAAGAGTAGGAACATGGGACGATGATGACTGAAATTGAGGTCACTTTTCTCGTAGAAACTATCTTTACTATCTATCATTACTATTAGTGACTTTTTGTGGTCGGTCAGTTAACGCGTATGGAAATCCAGTCGCAGAATGTGTGTAATTCATTTATTTTATGGCTTCTGTTCCGTTCGCACTAATGGTGGTGAAGCCCATTCAAACATAATTATTGTGGCAGGGTGATTAGTTAGAGGAGGCAGTACGAATTAAATTAAGTGCAGTAGCCTCCACCATTAAAGACATACCAGCCAATGGTGCAAAATTTGTACTACAAATGTGTGTATGTAGGCATATTCTATGAGTGTGAGAGAAGTATGCAAAATAATTTTTGTGTCACTACTACAACTATGAATGACATTGCAATATTTTGGCAGTAATTGAGACAATTTTTCAATCCAGACTGTTGTGTCGAGTTGCAAATTTTTTCTGCACAATTCTTGACTGACACGATGTGTGTGTGAAGGGAAAGAAAAAAATCAAATATTTGCACACCATTTACAATATCGTGTTTCAAAGAGGCCGTGAAACTAAATCTTAAAAATAATTTTCAGCCACATAATAATTAATCGAAGCTAAACGATTGCCTAATTCTATTTCTCACTCTCGTCAACTCTGTCACTTTTCGTGTCTTTAACCCCGATTTTATTACCCCAACCGCAAACAGAGGTGCATGGATTGCAATTTTATTTTGGACTAGTTAGCAACAATGGTAGGAAGAAGTCATTGGTCGTGGAATAATACTTCTCAAAACGAATATCCACCCAGCGCCCACCCGGTTGTGAAAATCCAGTCGCTCATCAAATCTCAAGTGGTGGTGGTGTTGTTTATTATTACGATTCTTTTTTTATTATTCTCGTAAATTTACGGGGAGGTTGGACTAACTAATCTGTAAAACCACGCGGTGTCACTGATCTGGACAATAATAGATTTTTTTAGTAATCGCATATCTACGAAATTAAATTAGTTTTATGCTCCTCTTCTTCTTCTTTCCGGATGAGCAATAATATTGACGTCTCATGAATCATTTTAGTCTTATTCTAGTATTTATTCTATTAGAGACACAACAATAACAAAGGCATTAACATATTTGCATGTTTGTCCATTTGCATGTTATCCGTATGTATTTACACTAAATAAGGACAATAATGCCATATTTTTATTGCGTTGGTTATCATTTCATTTCGTGGAAGGGGAAAATAAAGTAGTAATTACAGGATTTATTGGTTATACACATTATGCGATGTAAGTAATTGTGTCTGTTTTCGATATATTGTTTCTGTGCCTGTGGCTGTATTGTACATATTTTGTGCCGTATTTTTGACCACCTCTGGACCCGAGAAGAATCAATCGATTCATATTTTTTATTACTAACACGATTACGAATTCAATTCTGTTTATTTTATTCATTTGCATATTTATTATCGTCTGTTTGTTTGCTGGTGGCAAGTGTGTCCATATGCACATATATTTATTTATATGCTATAGAAGGATTAATATAGCTCTGGGGTCTGGCTGGGTCCATTCTTTTCTTTGTTGTGCCTCTTTATGCAATTGTTCCTTTTTGAGTGATGATAGCAACCTGTGAAGTAACGACTTTCGAGGGATAAGTCACCTTGAAATGTGTTTGATTTGGTTCAAAATTTAAAATTTGAACGTTCGTGACATTCACATTGAAATCTTGAAAAGATCGAAGAGCTCCTCTTGCCATGCAAATGTGTACGATGCGGATTTAAGCCAGGGAATAATGTGGAATAAACGTGACCATTCCATTATCAAGTAGCACCCACTAACAAAGGATAAGAAATACGGCAAAAATAGTGCTGCATGATTATGCGATGATGTCACTCGTCATATTTTTGTAGCTGATTTTCGAACCAATGCTTAAACACGACTCCACTTGTATTGACATGTTAATAGCAAAACACATGTACTGAGAAGGGTTATGCTAAAAATGGTAGAAATGCGGATATGTATTCCACATTAAGACAAAATGCAGCGAATACTTATTTATTATATGGATACATTTTAGTTAACGACTTTTTAACGATTTATTACGTATGTCTGTTAAATCAGTCACAGATAATATCGTCATCCTGAGTTGAATATGAATTAAGACAGTGTTTGTTATCATTCACTAGTTGTTAGATAACCTCAACCCCTAAAAAAGCGAGGTACATACCACGCTATGATAACAAGAGATAGCTTTTTTATGCTACGCTCACCCTTATGGCGTCTCTAAGCATGACTGGTTAAACGCGCAATCGGTAGATGGATCTTTTAGCTAGTTGATCAACTCTTTGTTCATTCTGGTTGCAAAATAAATACTCTTTTTTTCCCGTACACACGAGTTAACTCTGACTAAAATTAAAAAAGATGATGCTGATGACGATGGAACAATGGGCTCTCTGCTCTGAGACGAATCCTATCCAATTATCTCCAATAGCTGGTGACTGAAGATTTAGTTTTTGATTTATGGCTGAGCACGCATTTATTCCGTCCGTGATTTAATTGGCTCTGGATGAGACGAGAGATGTGCATGGCGTGTATTCATATTCAGGGAGTGAAGACTACCAATCTAAGATATTGTTATCATGAGATGATGAAAGAGACACATGCAAATTTGTTGGGAAGAGCATTGTTGTGCTTTTCAGGACGGTATGTTCATGAAACAATAGAGATGCAGTTAGTGGCATAAAGTAAATATGTAAGCGTGCTTCGTCCTGTTCATAATTTGGTTGCAATAAATAAGTAGTTTTAGTTATGGATCAGTGTGTGTGTGTGATTATCGATTAATACAAAGTATCGATTTTTACCTGATGGATTTTTAGTTTATCTTTATCCTGCTTCATTAGTGAGTGGCTAACGACTCGGAGTGTGTGAGTTCAAGAAAGTGTGGTTTTCTTAGTTCTTTTGGGGGTTTAGATTTGTTACATTTAATATTTTTGTTCTATTTCGCAAAGTTTGAAGTTTTAGATGAAAATTGAGTGCGTTTTAAGGTCAACAACAAATAATTATTTTAATCTTATACATACATCTTATCAAAACGTATTTCCTTCCTTTTGGATAAGAAGTTATCATCTTGTTGTCATGCATCTTTGAAATTTCTCTCTTGTATCTCTGATATTTTGGACGTGTATGCAAACGCATTGTTAGTTACAAACTGAACATGAAGCATTTGGTCGATTTTCGGTGAATTTTGACCCCTACCCCCTGAAGTGACCTCTATGCCCCACGTTAAAATTAGCATAGAAAGGATAGGAGTCTTGACCCCTACCCCCACCCTCAAATCGATCACACACTTTCTGCACAGTCCCTTTCACCTTTGTACATACAATGTTTTTGCACGTGCGATTTCGCAAGTTTATAGGAAATCTTATATATTTTTATACCCGTTACAATCTAATCAAAGAACCTTTTGTTTTTCTGTCACAAATAAAGATATCGTGGACATGCAAATATTTTCATCGTTTGAATAAGTACTTCAGCAAAGAAACAACGACATTCCCAACTTATCCTTATCCATTGATAACATTTAGTGCTACTCATTGATTATAATGACACACATAGTTTGTTTATCGTACATCCCAAACCGTCCATCACTGATGGATGGATAAATAAATCCCAATAATTAATTGTCATCAGGTTGAAATCAGTCGTGTGGTGCCCAACACGCGTTGCACAGTGTTTCACCAAATCTTGAACGAAAGTTTCTAATTTTCTCCCCTCTCTTTTGTGAATTTGTAGCAAATTTCTGGCGGAAGCGGCTCCTCCTCGTCCCGTCGTTCCAGCCTGCTGACAAGCACACCCAAGAAGAGAATGTCCGCGGATGCGGGTGGGGGTGGTCCGGCGAGCTTGAGTCTGCTTCTGCTCAACAATAATGAGATTGCCTATCTCAAAGAGAGCAACAACAGTATTGGGAGTGGGAGTGGAGGCTGCTCGTCCCTCCCACCGATGGACACGGTCACCCGACCGCCACTTAGCTGCTCAATCTGTAGGGATAAGTACAAAAATCCTAAGGTAATTAAGCCTAGAGCATAATAATAACACTGACTTTAACCCACACCCATCACGTTTCTGTCATCGAATCCTTGTAATCTAGGTTTGGTTTTAATCAGTGGTTTCACTTAATTGTCGTCATGAATTGCGACGAGGGGAAGATAATAAATTTTCATGGTGGGTGATGAAAGAGGCAAAATGAGACATGGCAATTTCACCTTTTTACTGAGTCTTGCTGAGATTGTTGTAATGAATTTTTCATGTATTTTTGCTTCCAAGTCTTACGCAAGTCTTGATATTATGTAAACCGTGCCGATATTTGATTTCGTGACATAAACCTTATTCCTTAATTAGTTGTGCCGACACACGTTCAGTATGTGTGTAGTCGGTATTTACATCACTTGCACTTCTGTTCAGCCATTCGTTCTCCTCCCGAACTTTCAATTGTCTTCTCTCTCTCTGTATTCCATTTATGTATAAATGGTAATTGTCACCTACTGCATGACTTCTGAGGTGGTCACCTTGTAATAATAATTAATTAATTAGCACCACTTACCACTGATTTTTAAGCCTCTATTTCCAATTCATTTCTCATCAATGACAGGTAAACGTCATAGCAAAATAATACAAAGTAAGCACTGCCAACTAACCAACCAACTCCCGGAAATACGGTGATTAAGTCGAGCCAATAGAATAATGATGGCATTTGAAACTGCTAACTAACAAAGTCCATTCTCCTGCATACTTAATGTGCATGTGGCTGACTGAGGAGGGGAGCTTGCGAGGTTGATAATAACAGATCTTGATGCCCTTTGGATATGTGGTAGGGACCCATGAGTGTACTAAAACCCTGAAGTGGTTTGACTCCATGGCCACATTTGCGCCCGCCACACCCACTCAAAAATGCTCAAAAAACGCTTTCACTCCAGTTTTCACTCACTCAAATCCACGCCAAAAATCCAATTTTACTCGGATTTTGAAATTTCTTTCGCCATTATACTCCCAGATAGTTGCTTTCTTCCATCCAGTATCAAACTCAATTTTTTCGAAATTTTTAGTATTTTTAAAATTTAAAATTCTGAATGAGCATTGTTGTAGTAATCAACAACGCAAATTATGTCTGCGAAATAATCATCAGCAAAATTGAGTTTGACATTGGATTGAAGAAAGCAACTATCTGGGAGTGTAATGGTGAAAGAAATTTCAAAATCCGAGTAAAATTGGATTTTTGGCGTGGATTTGAGTGAGTGAAAACTGGAGTGAAAGCGTTTTTTGAGCATTTTTGAGTGGGTGTGGCGGGCGCAAATGTGGCCATGGAGTCAAACCACTTCAAGGTTTTAGTACACTCATAGGACCCTACCACATATCCAAAGGGCATCAAGATCTGTTATTATCAACCTCACAAGCTCCCCTCCTGAGTGATGATCTGAGTTGTCAGACCTTATTCATTAAACCAAACTCGGCTACTCTTCTTCTCGTCGTAAATTCTTTTTTAAAGGAAATGCACAACTATTATGTAGTTATTTAGTTAGTTAGTTGATGGTGCAAGCCTACAAAGTATGTAATGAAGCGAGTATGGCATGGATCATGGCATTATTTGTTGCACACACTAAAATGTAATATGGTTTGGGAAAGGTTATAACTAATTGCGACGACGACGACGAAGTTGGGATCATCACCTTTGGCTGCATTTATCCACTTCATTTCATGGTTTCACTACCACACTTCTGTCCCAATATTATACGCGCAATATAGTTTTTATTAGTGGGATGGGTTTACTTGGTCCGTAATCGGAGAAGGTATTTAGCGACGAGGGAATTTGCAAAAACAATCAGTTCCTTTCAGCAGTCATGTCTCGGCTCATTGGCTGCTGCCGATTCTGCTGGTCGTGTCGTGGTCATTTGTTTTTCTCATGCACTTATCCATGTGAGAAGGAATACGGCAACTTGTTTTTGCATGAGCGGAACTGAGGTCAAATAAAGTAAAACAGAGTAACCGGAAAGTGTCCAGATCATTGTCCTGAATAATTCGCGCATAACATTCTCAAGGTAGGAAGGTAGAAATACTAAAAGTTTCTTAAAATAGTACGAAAGAAATCTGAAATTATTGGTATGCATCTGTTTGCATGTGACATTTCACAAAACGCATGTAGCCTTGTCCTTGCTCGGTATATTTGACCATGGTGTTTTGTGTGTACAGCATGCATTTAAACGAGACTGAGATTGTGTTACATGGAAAAGGTTGTCTGCATTTCCATTTTTTTCTATTTCAATTATTAATGAATATTCATATTAATAAATTTAAATTGGTGTTGTAAGGTCCTCATTAATTCAAGGGTTGTGGTTGGAAATGCTAAACTGCATGGCACAAATAAGCTAAATATTCTCTTATGTTCTATCACAAGTAGAATATTTAGTTGATTAAGTGAAAAAATGGTGGAAAATAGATTATTGGGTTTGTAAACAGACTACGCAGAAAGCAAGAATGTCCCGGAAATGGCACAGAAACGAAATTAGTTGTGATTCTTTCCATCAAAAGTTACTGCGTGCATCCTACGTACGAATGTGTGTCCTATGCAATTTTCATGTCAATCACCCATCATTGCAATTTCTATCTTTCTCACTCTAACCGTACAAAAACACTGATTTGATTTATCCCCTCGTAGGTGTTACCCTGTCTCCACACCTTTTGTGAGGGCTGCCTGATCGACTATCTGCCTCAAGAGTCCCTCTCCCTCACTTGTCCAGAGTGTCGACAACAGTCCATTCTCCCAGAACGAGGAGTTTCCGACCTCCAGACTAACTTTTGTGTGTCCTCCCTCTCCATGGAACTCGTCCGCGGGTGCGGCTACTGCGACAAGGGGGCCGCCTCGTTCAAATGCCATGACTGCGATGTGGACATGTGCGCGACATGCTCCAAGACGCATCCCTCAAAACAGGTAAGAAATCTTCAATTGCGTCACGAGGTGTAGATTTTCGACTAATCTGGAACATTTCATTGCAGGATGGAAAGCCAGAATCCTCGTGCCATCAGATTTCCCCCTTGCACCCCGTCGACTCCAACAGTAATGAAAACGTGGGCATGAAGAAAGATGGTTCCTCCAACTCCCTGACAAATACAGGAAATAAGACGAATGGTCATCAAGACGAGACTGCTGCTGCTGCAGGAAGATATCTTTACTGTCCCAGTCATGCTGGTGAGTTTTGCTTGTCAAGTTTCCATTTAATGGAAATGTAAAATTTGAAAAATAATAATTTTACAAAATCCTCAGGACAAACGCTCCGTTTCTTCTGTCGAGACTGCGACACTGCGGTTTGTTCCAGTTGTACGGACATTGAGCACGGACGTCACTCCACGATTCGCGTTCTTGACGCTGTGGCCGAGGAGAAATTAAGGCTGCAACAATTACTGGATGGTATTACGGAGAAAGTGAAGAAATTAGAGGATGCCGTCCAACTCGCGGAGACTGCGGCGGAGGAACTGGCTTCGAATAAGGTTGTGGGAGAAGCACAGATTTCAGCGGCTTTCGACCAACTAGTTACACGCTTGAAGGAGCGGAGATCCAATCTCTTGGACGAGTTGGATCTTCAGTATAATGTCAAATTGGATCTAATTCGTGAGACAATAATGAAACTACAATTTATACCAAAATTTATGTAGTGGTGCAACAATTTCCCTAAATTTTCTTTGTTTATTTTTCACAGATAAATCTCGAACAGTTTTAAGAAATCATTTAAAAGATGTCCAGGAGTGTTGCCTACTCACGGAGAAAGCACTCAGCCATGAGAACGAGACGGAAATATTATTCGTTAAGAAACAAATTGGAGAAAGGTTGGAAGACTACGCGAAAATGGAAGTGGACCATGTCAACATTCAGCAGCAGTTAGACCATTCATTGGAGTAAGTTAATCACTAATTAACAATTACATATGACCTGAAATAGTTCATGTACTTATATTTCAATTTTTTTATTGCAGATTTGAGCATCTAACGATCGAACGTCTCGATCTGAATGGCCTGGGTCGTGTCGTTTCTTCTCTCCACAAAGGTTGGGCTGTTTCCGGTGACGTGATAGAATCCCGATGCGTTCCGATCGGGAGACGCCATTTTCTTCGCCTTTATGCCCCCATGACCCCACCGGGTGGAGACCTTTGCCTTGACGACATTCACGTGTCCGCATCCACGAAAGATGTCGTCTACTCGCTCGAGCAGCCGAGAGAGTCTGACTCGCGTTGTTACATTATTCGGTTCCTCGTCTCTAGAATTGGCTCCTTCAATTTATCTGTGGCCGTGAAAAATCAGCACATTTGCGGAAGTCCGTTTCAAGTAGGGCTATAAATCCATTGACAGTTTACACTGTTTGTAAATATATTCACATTCATAAATATCGTTCATGTTTACAGTTCCACGCATACGAAGGAGAAGACAGATCCACAAATTCGAGCCCAGGACCGTTTTACAACGGTGGAGGAACACCACACGGTCACTCCGTGTCTGCCACGGCCTCTCCCACGGGATCAAATTCCCTGTCCCGCATCCCCCGTGCGAACGGTGCTTCTCCATATTCCCCCCGCTCAAGAATGTCCACACCCACGAACAGATTCTACAGTAATGGACACATCTCCTCGAATAAGCAAGCTGCCGTTAACAATGGACATCACCACGGTATAAATATTTGCACATTGTTACTATAGTTTATCCACCAGTTAAGTATCTATATCTTAAAAGCTCTCCAATATTTTATGTCAGGATCATTCCACGCTGGTTCAAGCTCTCGCCGTTCCGCCACCCTGGAGGACGACCTCATCCTAAAAATTGGATCCCGAGGTCGGAACCGTGGAGAATTTACGAATCCTCAAGCCGTCGCTGCCTCGGCGAATGGACGCGTCGTTGTCACCGATTCGAATAATCAATGCATCCAAGTTTTTGATAATACGGGCGAGTTCAAGCTCCGTTTCGGTGTACGGGGAAGAACAGTAGGACAACTGCAGCGACCCGTTGGGGTGGCCATTCTCCCAACCACGGGCAACATTGCTGTGGCGGATTACGATAACAAATGGATCTCAATCTTTGACCCGAATGGCAAGTTTATGAGCCGAATCGGTCATGGAAAGCTGTTGGGGCCGAAGGGGATCACAGTTGACGGAAGCGGACTCCTCTACGTCGTGGACAACAAGGCGTCCGCCATCCTCATTTTCCAGCAGAATGGGAAACTGGTGAATAAATTTGGATCCAGGGGGAATGACGAGGGCCAATTCGCTGGTCCACATTTTATCGCTGTGAACTCGAAGGGAAACATTATCGTTACTGATTTTCACAACCATTGTGTTAAAGTGAGTGAGAGTACATCTACAATTCCATGAAAAAATTCATAGTATTCAACCAAGTAATTTTAAAAATTCCAGGTATTTGACCACGAGGGTGACTATCTCTACAGCTTTGGTTCCAATGGTGAGGGCAACGGACAGTTTAACGCGCCCACAGGAATTGCCGTGGACAAAAATGACAACATTTTGGTCGGTGATTGGGGAAATAGTCGCATTCAGGTTAGTTAATAAGTCAAACAATAACTTAACCAATTGTTAAATAATGGTTCAATTTCCTGCAGATATTTGACTCGCAAGGATCATTCCAGTCGTACGTGAGTACATCCGTAGAACCGTTGTACGGACCTCAAGGACTCACCGTGACGCCGGATGGCTACGTTGCCATCGCCGATTCCGGAAATCATTGTGTTAAACTTTACAAATATGCATGAATCATAAGAAAAAAGCCTGTCAATCAATACTTTCCAATCTGCTGCATCCCATGCATCACCACCGTTTAGAATGAAGAGCAATCTCATAAAACCAATTCCATTTACCTAAATAGATCAATATTTAACTAAAGTTATTCCTTATAAAGCCACCTTTAATATTTTTATTGTCTTATATTTTCAACCGTAAAGTTCTACGAAGGATGTGGTCAGTTCGAAATGCCAAATGTGTAAAAACAATCAATTTTTTGATGCGTTAATTTTCTTCTTGACACAAAAATGTAGGCATCTGCAAACTATATGCATAATTATGTAACCCAACCACGCATCGCAAAGTTTTATTTCTCTTACAGAATGGACTGCTATCATTTAGTATTAGTATTATTAAGTTAATCATTATATTAGTTTTACTGGAAATTTTACTAACTCTAATCAAGTCAAATATACATATAAAATAATAAAAGTCGGGAAAAACATGAAACTAATCCAACCAGCAAAATGTCTGTGGTGTATGTAAGTACTACATATTAAAAATTCTAAATAAAGTTACCAATTGCGAAAATAACTGAATTTTTGACGAATTAAAAAGACGGTTAAAATAAAAGCATACTAAATTTTAAAATTGAGGGAAATTGTTGTCAACATTTATTATGCATTCATGAGATTGTATCATTTCCACAGCTTTCTTTCCACAATTTGAATTCATAAACTCGTGAAAACTTTGCACGTTTGCTAGTCAAAGATAAAAAATAACTTTAAAAAAAAAAAAAAAAAAACAAAAAAAACAGGCTGAAGAAACTTTTGCAAAAAGTGCAAAAATTGTTACTGCGATAACGGAGAATCGAACTCCGATCGGCTGTGTGGAAAACAGCCATGCTAACCATTACACCATTATCGCATCTTGCACATACCCTTGAGGAGAACGGAGTGGATTTATTTTTGAATTATTTCGAAACTTTACGACTCAATGCCCATTGTTCAGAATTATCGGCACAGAAAATGCTCAAGTCAATCCTTTAAAGTCCGGGTGTATGTATCTAATAAAACCTGTTGTGTGTGTCAAATTGTTCTTTTTTACATGGAGAGTTGCAGATTGATCTATGTATGCTGGTAATTTAGTTCGAAATTATTACGAGATCAATAGTTTTATGGGTTTAAAATTTAGCCGAATAAAAAACTATTGTTAACCAATTATACATGATTTAAAAAATTGTGTATTCTTTAATTCGATAAAGACACGTGCAACAACTTTATTCTGCATTAATTCATGTGTATAGAGCAGGATTGAGACTCGTTTCGTAAGGGTGGATGCATTTTACAAGGGTTAACTTTAATTAAGTGGATTTTAATTTGCAGTGAGAAATCGGAACTTTCCAATCCACTCGAAAAAAGTCCCTAATGCCGAGAGAGAGTCGAATCCTGGGAAAAGTTGGAGGAAGCGGATGCAATCGTAGATCAATCTTCATTCCGCTTAATGAGACCAATGCTGTTTATTATACCGTTTTTAGAATGGAACTGGATACGATAATCTGCCGGGCATTGTCAGATACACACATTTTGCTGCCTGCCCTCCCCTTCACCAATCTAACACTGATTGTTGCAATGATGACGATGATATAAAGCAGGAAGGGATTCATTGGTGAAAATAAGGGTGGGGTGGTATCCTTGTAAGGATCACTTTACTCTCCACCCCACAATTCCCACCACACACTCGGGTTTTACCCGTCAGCCAGTCATCACTCGAATTGGATTTATGCACGCTTACATAGTCAATTAAGCTCATCATTGCTTTCTACCCATCCGAATTATTCAATTGAGGGACAAGTGACTTTAATTCGGTATCCGTTCTGGTCTGATGGTCGGGTAATTTTCTCTCATTTAATGTCCGAGATTGAGCACTAGTGGGTATTTAATATTTCAAAGGACAATGTTCTTAGATTTCCGGACTTTTTAAATGGAATGTCCGCACCACAGCGGACTAAGAATACTGTTTTATGTGCTTTTTTCATGCTTTCTCAACTTCCCGTCATTCTTCTTGACTGTTTACAGATTTGAATAAATTAAGATTTTGTTCATAATTCTTGTACTGCCGTTTACATCACTTCAATTCATGGGAGTTTAATGATGGTAAAGTCAAATTTGCAATGTTAAAATGATTTTCAAATTTGAGCATAAATAGATATTATCACAAATATGTTAAAATATGAACACCATTCCTGATTATTAGTGATTATTATTCAGCGGATAAATAAACCTACCAAAATTCGGTTATTTTTTTACCGTATTCAATTCTACGTATTTTGTGGAAGGGATGGAAATGAATGGCCGTCTTTCTTTCAATGAAACCGTCGAGTGGTGTCATAAATGCTAAACTTGGGAATAAAATCACATAAACCTCAATATTTCAGTTCTTACAAGGGAACCTTAAGTACTGTCACATCTCGATTTCCTTTCGAATGATCTTAATTGATAGATAATTCAGCGTAACTTTGTAACTAAAACTTTGCCATAGGAATAGGACAAACGGTGGAAAATCACGTTTATTGCAAAATATTTGGTGAAATAAACATAGCAAACAGTTTTGAAAAATGCGTAAAATTAGACCAGCATTGGTCATTATATCTTTTTTCGTGAAAAATTGTGAGTCTAAATTTTTTAAAATGTTCGCCCATTTTATTGTAATAAGAAAGATATTATTTTTGAAAACTTTAATAAAAGAATTTTAACATTAAAATTTTGTTAAAATTTCAAAAAACGACGAAATTCAAATTTAGAAAGTTTTGCAGATTTTCGCAATTTGAAATAAAATTGGTCAATGTTTGCATGTGTTTTATTTTGCATATTGGTGATCAGCATGAAATTGTGGACAGATATATATTTTATACACTTCATTTCATTATTCCGAAGGCTTTTATCTATGTTAAAAGCATTGGAAAAATTGCACGTTTTGGTGCAGATTTCGCAAAAGCGTGATTTTCCACCGTATGTCATATGGCAAAGTTTTAGTTTTACTAAATTATCTAGTAATTAAAACCATCCGAAAGGAAATCGAGAGGTGACAGTACTTAAGGTTCCCTTGTCAGTCTTCTTGTCCGGTCACATAAACGTGCGGTATCTATGCCTGTGTAGTTCAGCTTATCAACCGCCTTAGTGCTTATCACCCTCAGCATAAGAGTGTCATCTTCATGCACTTATGTATGCATACATACATGCATACAGCGTTATGTTGTATGATTTCTCTTGAATCCGTTTCACTTAAGCTGTCTCACTTTATATCGTACATTCAATCCCATTTACTTATTCTATGTCTCAAATTGTCAAAACTTAAGGAAAACTTTTAAAACGAGTCCTCAAAATTATGGAAATGTTATGCAATCACCCAAATAGTTTGACTTACAAGTTATTGACTTTTAACTATATATTTGCCTTCTTATCAACAACAAAACTCGGACATTCATGAATTGCTTTGGTTCTGTTTGTCTCTTGGTCTGAGGGAAATATAAATGAATATGCTTTTTCATCTCATCGTCGTCTTGTTCTTATTTACGATGAAAAGTTCTCAAACCGTTATCATCATTAATATATTGGGTATTCATTAGGTTACTCCTCATTTACTTATTATTGGAGAACGTGATCTTATTTTCCACGTCCATAAAATATTTCATCCTCGCATATACTCAAATTCACTTTCTGTTCTGTCTCGTCGTCTCTTGGCCGTTATATATTTCGTCATGTTGTCGTCGTTAATAAACTAAAAAATTATGGTGGTATAAATCGATGATGAGATTCGTGATGAGAGATGTGTCTCGATTTACTTCTTGATTTTTTCATTTATTTGTTAACGCTGCGTCCAATGTTTGTTTTAATCTCGGGCTGGAAGTAGTAGTACATAATATGTAAGTATGCATACCAGTTTGAAAAATTAGAGGCATACTTTACGGACTAAGTGGAAATACCTCTAATTTGAATACAAGCAATTTAATCCGACAGTAATATTGTAAATTTTTGTTGAATAGGCAAATTCGAAAAAAGGTCGGTTATGCATTTATTTAGTTATTTTTAGCTTGATTTACTTGTCTCAGTAGTTTCAATTTGTTCGGAATAAGATAAATAGTGGTTGGTGTCTCAGTCATTTTTGTGTTCTAGAGAATTAGAGTTGAGGAATTTAACATTTGCAACAATGTTTTCCATGCTCCGGAAAAAGTGAATATTGGAGATTTTTCAGCGCGAGTCTGATTCTGGAGGGTTTTTAGCAAAACTAAATTGACAGAGATACACGTGTGACGAAGAAATCAAGCAAGGAGCTGGTATGTACCTACCTAAAACAACAATTAGCACTAAATATTATACTAATTTATTTTTCACTTTGTTCGTGTACAGCATTATAAAATGCCCAACTCAAATATGTCCAGTCCTGGTACTCCTCGTCCGATGAATTTGATCGTCACGTCTCCCCCACAACTCCAACTTCCTGGCCCATCATCCTCCTCCAGCTCGTCTTCCTCGTCGTCATCATCATGCCGTCCTTCTCAGTCGTGCTTCTCAGAACCTGCCGAGCTCCAAGTCTCCGTCCCCAAGGAGGCGGTTGACCACCTCCTCAAGAGCGGGGAGGCATGGGTGGTCACGGAATCCGAGAAGAAGACCAGGTCCGACGTGTGGAAATACTTTGGTCGGGTGCAACTGGCTGATGGTCGATTCTGTCGGGACGTCGTTGCCTGCATGGGCTGCCTGATGGTGTACATGTACAGGTGAGGAAGAGCTACGTAATAATCATAGATAAGCGTGTATGTAGTTATCTAAAACGAATGCATCTTACAGGTCAAAATCTCAAGGAACTTCGACCCTTCGTCACCACAAGTGTGAGTATGTGTTCCAAGTCCTTCAAACGGAGTTGCAAATGATGAGGACCACTTCAGGATTCGTGACGGGGGGAATCGTCAGCATTGCCGATCATCATCCCGATCAAGACGGAAATGGGAGGGTGGTCGCACTGGCGAAGAAGAGGGCGACAAAAGTGCAAGGTAAGCCATTGTTTTACATTTCCTCTTCTAATAAATCGTCACCTTATCATACATTCGACCTGCCTGGAGATGAGCTTGCAAAAATTCATAAGCCATCCGGGAGGGCAGAATATGTATCACCTCGTCCATCCAGCATCATTCTAATCTAACCACCCACCCACCACCCACGAGAAGCGAACAACAAGTGGTTTATGGTGGCGTGTCAGTAGAGACGAGCACAGAGTGAGATGATTCGAGCAGTTTTTAGTGCGAGCTAAACCGGTCATTGCCTTCTTAAATTCCATTCCATGATGATGAGATTCGTGCAACACACTCCTCCGCCTGCTGCACTCCGAAACGAACCGAGAACCAAATCCAGCAGTACTGCATAAAATAATATTAATATTATAAATCCAGGCAGCAGCATCGCAGTACAATGTGTTATTCCGCATCTCGAATTCTGTGGTCTGGTCTCATCTCATCTCCACTTGAATTTTGTAACTGGAATCCTGAAATGTTTGTTGTTCATTATTTCATCCAATCTGCGCAGCATGCATGTACATACACATTCTGCCATTTCCCGTTTCCGCATAGGAAATAGATTCAGAGAGTGGACACAGGATGGATTTATGCCCAGTTGTTAAATCTGCCCGACAATCCAGAAGAAGAGGGAGGATGGGGGACGGAAAATGAACTCCATCCATTATGATTATCATGATCATTATTTCATTCCACCCGACTCCATTAATTTAGCACAGTTAAAAACGAGTTCCTCCCAGGCAGAGCTGTATCAATACCAAGTCAGGACAGATATGTGGGATTTTCTGCTTTGCTGTGTGTGTGCTTCGACACAACAGGCGTGACGATTCTCTCTGCCCTTCTGTGACAATGTACATGTATGCCGTGCTGTGCGGACTATTATGCAGCACATATACGGCATTAACTCGTCTACAATTCTGCAGACCAGGTTTCACAACTATAAAGAAATGAGACCAACGCACGAATCTGGGCATTAGAAAGTGGCGCATCCGTCCGCCGATGGATGCTGATGATGATGATCATCATCCTTGGTGCCTGTCATGCCATGAAGCTGAACTCTCTCTTCTGGCTTTGCTTGGTTAAAACCAGCCCAGCTACACGACCAAGTAGGAGCTAAACAAGTCTAAAAAACCAAACCAAACCCTGTCCGTCCGTTCCTTGTGACAACACATTGTTCACGCAAATTGTTGCACATTGAATAAAGGGATGAGGAGGAGGGTAGCAGCAGCGAAACGTTGCATATTGCATCTCTCTCTCCCACAATGGTACACTGGTTGGTCTACAAGTGCAGTAGTCATTCTTCTGGTGGGATTGAGGTCGAAACCATGCCTGCAATAAAGAAATAAGCGAAACCGAGACTCTCTCTCTCTCTGATAACGCAGTAATGATGATGGGTGATTAAAGATGTTGAAAAATTGGTCCAGTTTTACGGGCAGGAATAGTGAAAGTGCTTGGAAATGTAAAATTTCGAAAATTTCTATATTCTTTAAAATTGTACGTTTCAAAAGATGCATGTAAAATGATCCATCCCACAGACTGGCATTTCATCTGGAGATGATGAATATTGACTGATTGCCGTGTGCAGTCAACTGTTAACAAGGGAATTCTATGCCCGAATGTGTGTGTGGCGTCGTTTTAGCGTTGGATTTCTCTGCGTGAAATGAAAAATTCGAGTCTACGTAAGTAGAAAAGGGAAATCTCTCCCCGTCTTTTCTCACCTCGCTCACCTTACGCCTCAGAGAATTGTGTGTGTATGCACAGCTCGTTTTTTCCAGTTCTACCCTCCCTTGTTCACATTCTGCTCTCCGGAGGATATAAAGTTGGAAAAAAATGGAGTGGTAAAATCGTCGTAATGGAAGATTGGATTCGCCATGGACGGAGGAGAGGGGAGAGAAAGAGTCACAAGCAACAGGTTGAAGACCATTGTTGGAAAATGTGTTACTTTTACAAGTAACTACCCACCCGATCTGATGGGGTGGTTTGTTGCGGTGATTTCTCATGCCCTATGTGTCCTGCTATTATGCTGCACATTTATTCTTTGTCATGGTTGGTCCCTTGTTGGATGATGTACCTGCGAAATGGTAAAATCCCGAGGTGAGATAAACTCGCTCTCCACGCCGTCTCATCCGGTCGGGGAAGGGGAGAGAGTGGATTTCGTTTGGGTGTGTCCTTGGGAATTTCCGGTGTCATTAAATCACATTCAGGCAGAAATTACGTACGTGGCATTCCTCAGGGACAGGTAGGATACAGGGAGGGAATTAATGGGGTGATGATGACGATAAAATGAGCAACAGGGTCGGGATGAGGAGTTAAAAAAAATTCGGGATGGTTGTTGCTTCCATGAGAAAAAGTTGTTTGAATCGAGCTCTTTGATAAGAATTTTATAATTTAAACGTGCTAAATAAATACATATTCCAATTATTTTGTACATTTCCACCAAAATAGTTGGTGGAAAAGTAGTAAATAAATAAGTATGATGACATCGCGACCCCGGACACTTAACTGTGTTTGTGGTATTTATCGTTAAATAAAACCCGAGCGGAAAAGATACCACCATCATCGCCACCACCATCACCACGAGTAATAATAATAATAATAATTCCACTGGCTAACGATTAAACTGACAAAAATTTATACACGAAATTGTCAGAGTTTGGTTTGGTAATAGTTTGTCGAAGCTTATCTAACCCTCCTCCCTCCTTACCCACCCTGGTTTACTTCTTCTGGCTCATCTTACACTCCTCAGTATTTGGCCAACTTGTTGTAGATGTTGGTTCTGTTGAACTTTGTCTGTTTTCTCAGAGATAATCCCTTCAAATTCTTATCTCTCTTTTCTCTCTCTCTCTCTCTCTCTCTCTTTCGGTGCAGTTTGGTTTGGTTTTAGTGAACGGAATTTTATAGCTCGGCTCGGATGGAGGAGTGTTACGATGCTGGTGGCGATGATGACGAGGGTAGGGTAGCTTCTCTCCATCTCCTTCTTCTTCTGGATGTGATAAGCAGAAGGGCAAACCAGGTCAACCACATGACGACGACGACATTATAAATTTACGTCGTAAATAATATTTCGGTCAATTCGGTCTCTGGCAGTAATCCATCCATTTATTTATCCAGCCCAACGTTACTTACTTACTGCTGCTTTTTAATCATATCATGGCACCAATAAGTAATAATAATAATATCGAATACTGGATGATGCCAAACACCATTTATTTCTATTTAAGCGGATCAGCCATCCGTATGTCTGGCTGGCTCAATAATTCTGGAAGTACATATTCTGGCTACTCTTGGTTTCATGGACATTTACGATTATCCCATCATCAGAACAATCCCCTCTTTCTTTCTTCCCAAGTAAATAGTAGTAGTAGGAGAAGAAGAAGAGAGGAAAATATGGTCCACCAATAAGTTGACAAGTTTTGCTCAGAAAGTGCAATTTAAGAAGAGGAGGACCCACCACTTGTTTACGTACTGACTTGTTGCTCTACTTTTACCATCCTGTGCATTTACAAGTATTTATTTACTTGCTTGATTAACATAAGCGACACGTTTGCATGTACATTCGTCAGTTCAGTATGTAGTCCACTCCGAATTTGTAGAGTCAGGAGTTTTGTAATGTATGCGGTCGGTCAAAACAAGAAATGTGGACTCATTAATAAAAGTCCTTCATGGAATAAAATGGGGTCCGTTCATGGAATTCATATAAATATCTCGTCAAAAATAAGTGATGCGATGTGGGAATTCTTTTTGAGTTGGGATATTATTCGTAAACACGTCCCTTCTTTCATGGCAACACCTGACACTTCCTTTTTCAGGTGGATTTTGTTCACATTTTCAGCGTCACTCTCGAATAGGAACTAGGAACCCTACCCTCGAGAAAGGAAAGGGGACGCGATGGATGGGTAGAAAAGAATCAGAAAAATGAGGGAATAGAGTTGAGACGAAAGGAAGAATTGTGTTAAAAAATCCTTTTCACTTTTCGGGCTTGTGTACACACACACGTTAAAAAATTGGATGAAATACAATATTTGAAATTGGAATCACAGGGATCATTTCCTTCTCCTCGTGAAATGAGGAGGAGAACTCTCATTTTGAACAGAATTTGTTGCAAAACTTGCATGTTTTTAACCCTAAGTAATAATACAATAACGTATGCACTTAATACCTAAAAGGGTGATATTAACAACGTGAAACAAAGATGTTATCATCCGAGAATAAGACGAATAAGTGTGTGGCTGATAAATAAGTACTCATTTTTTCACCTGTAATAAACCAACGCACCCACACCTTATTACCTATATATCTGCGTTCCTAAACCATATAATAGCATGTATTACAGGTAGGTTTGTGAGATTGCATGTCACTTTGTTCACTAGCACCACCACCACACTTCTACTTATCGTATGCCTCCCTGGTTTCATAAAAAGAGAGATTTTTGCTTGGATTTCTACCATAAATTGCGAACCACACTAGGTTATTGTACCACCACCACCATACCAACTTCATCACAACCATGTAAGAAGAGTGCAGTATTTTACAGACAAAAGTACCATGTGGAAATCCGCTAACTGATGCAGTAAGTGTGCAAAGTAAAGCAAGCAACGATGAGGAAATGATGCATAGAATTTTTTAGGATTTCACTGATGGAGTTTCACCACCCAACAAAATCATTGGATTTGTTTCCAATATTTGCTCAAAAGTAGGTACGCACCTTGGGTACATTTCCGGAATCGGAATGTGTGTAAACATTATGCTTATTGTGATTTCGATTTCATTCAATTACTGTTTTATAATTAAACCCGGAAAAATAATAATCACACAGAAGCTTATCGGCCAGTATATAAATACGAACGTATAGATTGGAACATTGATTATAATAAATAGGGAACAATGCTCCCCTTTTATAAACAAATTGTTGTAACTCTGACTCATCTGCGACTCTATGTAGTCGTGGTGGTCGTCAAGTATTACTTGGTTATGACAATGATGATGAGGACTGTGTTGTTATTGTTATTACATATTATTAGTTAGTTAGTTAGTTTGCTGACTCTTGTGTATTAGTTAGTCGAATGCATAATATGAATTAGTGTCGCTATATGTTCGTATACAAATACTATGAAGTAATTCATGAAGGAATGCTTAGGTGAGGCTGGATGAAAAGGAGACGTCTTATGATTTCTACTAAATAATTTTTCTGGCTCAATTCTTTTAGGTTTTGGTAGTAAAATTACTTCCACACAGATGTGTTAATTGTATATTAAAGTCAGTATTTTGTTTGCATTTGTTTTTGAAATTTAGGAAACGGTAGTGTAGGTTGTAATCTCCTCAGTTTGCTCTTTACACCATTTTGAACAAAATGATAGATTTTTCTGTAATCATTTTTGGAGAGGGTTCTACATCCATACTTTTCATAGAAAACCTCGCCTAAGAAAAACGCATAGGAATGGGGCTGGCTACAAAGTGGGCAGCAAAGTAAAAACCAAAATTGGTTCACACGTATGTAACTCGCCACTACTAAATAGTTTGTTCATTCCCACTAAATACTTGCAGCTGGATGATGATAATCTTCTTCCCCGTCTTGAGAAAGTTAGTGGGGGCCAGATAAGGCAAACCAAACCACACACAGAGATAAGCCTCCCTACACACACAATCTTATCGGAATACTGTGAATGAATATGTGGTACACTGTAAATGAATGATATTCACGAGACCTTCATGAGCATTTTATTACACCGTAACTTTTTCGGACTTTGTCTGGTCAAGTGTGAGTCGTTCGTGTTATGTGAGTCGTATTCGTCATTTATTATTTCGTGAATAATATTTCATACTGGTTAAAACGCCCACATTTATGATGCATGCAAACCGAGCTCTGTAGTCTGATCTCTCTCTCTCGGTGGTTCCCGTCAAGTCAACTTGTTGGTTGCTTGTTGTTGGTTCACCTTATCACCTTTTTTTGGTTAGCTCAGGCTAACACTAAAGCAATGAGAGCATGAAAAATATTCGAGAAAAAACAGGATATCATTAGGCCGTACATTCCGATACCTTGATACACAAGGAAATGCCCGACTGAACGGATGGTGGTGGTGGTTACGACCAAAAAACCACCACTAGTTAGTGCGGAGGACCCGGCCCGAATAATCTGTCCCACGTTGCTTGCTACCCACCCGTTTTACCCACTCCTCCTCATTCACTCCAACATTGCGGGTTGTTATCTTTTGTTCTCAGGGGAGAGAAATCAGCAGCATAGGCCCGAATACGGCAACTGGCAAGCAAGCAACAAGTGGTCCGCACAGAAAAGAAGAACCGATTTGTGTACGTACGGCATAGGCAGAATTTTTCCTGACTCCTCGTCCATCGCCTGCCTGCCTCTCTCTCTATCTCTCTTCTCTCTCCTCAGTCTGCATTTACATTCCGTGGCGTAAAGAGGCCTTTGATTCCACCCTCTGTTATTTTCTACACGTTTGTTGGATCCCTCTCGTCGTTAAGTGACCCCGTTCACGTAAAAACCACTCTGTTACACGACCCCTTCATCCTCAGTCTTACCCACGTCGCTGAAGGATACGCAGCAGTCAGTCAGCCAGCCGACCAGCCAGTGTTGATCCACCTGTAGTCTGATCGCGCATTATTATTATTATTATTGCGAGTTTGGTATCGCACCTACTCACTTGTTGGACGCGTCGACTTTCATGAACCACTTGTGGACCTCGTGAACAATAATAATAATCAATAATAATAATAAACTCTGGTGGTTTTTCGTATCGTGGGGGGTTGATTTTTTTCTACAAATAAGTGCGTCTCCCTTCGAGTGTGCCTTTCGAGGGGGTGTGGTTTTTAGACTTATAGCAAGTTTTTTAAAGTACCAGCTTCACCATTGAGCTGTCAGCAACTTCCCCAATGTTTTTGTCCCATGGAGGGCGCCCCACGAAGGGGAATGGTCGCAAGAGGAAGGGGGTGGATGAGTACGCGGCGGAAAATCGGGTAGATTTCACCTCCCGATCTATCATCCGGGATGGTCAGCTCGTTCGAATTCTCGTGTGTCGATTCTGCTGTCAGAGCATTGGGGCGAGAAGTGACCGGATCAAGGAGCATTTGGCGAGTAAACGACATCAGAAGTTAAAGTTGGAAGCGTTTCGTGAAGCAGCGGAGGCTGGGAGAGATTTAAGCCAGGAATATTCAGACGATTCGGTCAGCGGACTGCTGCCCGAACCACCCATCACTATGCTTAAATTCCCTGGGAAAGCTTTGGCACATTTGTTAGGTAAATGAAAGATTTTTTATTTTTACCCTAGTTTTTAAAATCGGTTGAGAAATGTGGGTTTCTTCCTTGCTTTAAGAATAATTATACAAATACATACGTGATCCAGTCAAGTCTTCTCAGTTTGACATATATGCCCCGACCCTAAAAGTCGGGTTTTTACCGTTACCACTTATTCTACCATTTAACCACCGACCATTACCTAAGGTTTACTATATACACGTAGTTATATATGTGCATGAACATGCAAGGGTATGTTCCTTCATTTCCTTGGTTTGTTGTTGTCCCACATTTCGGAGTGTACCTTCCTGCTAAATTTATTTCGGGACTTTGGTGGTCCCTTCTTCTCTTGGTGCCCTTCTTCTTTCTTCACATTTTCCTGTATCATCATCCCGGTGCGTGAATGCAGGGGTACGGACGACGGGTACTGCGATGTTGGCGGAGCTCTTCTTTCCAAGGGACCATCTCAATAATAATAACACAATACCAGCTGCCTCTTTCTTTCCGTTTCTTTTTATTCCGTGGGAATTTCCAGTGAAAGAAAGAAAGGAAAATACCCGGGTTGGGTTTTGGAGGGGATGATTCTTGTCAAAACGAAAAAAACAGAGATACTTGGGTCTGATTTCTCTTATCCGATATTATTAGTGTTAGTATAAGGTCGGCTGGACTTTGTCAGTCATTCACGTCGTCTACATTTCAGAAGGGTTTGAGTATATGCAGAGATAAAGGTTTTTTTCACGATAATATTATTATTATCTTTCATTTCCATGCATATCATATGCATGGCTATATCGAGCTTGAACGATAAGTGATTAATGAATGGGGTCTGAATAACAAAATGGTCATAATGATGCCCGGTTTTCGGAATGCCCTTGGTTAAAAAAATGTTGAAAAGGTTTTAAGAGAGCGGACAGGGTGGAGACCTTTTACACACTATATTTACAAAGGGCTGGAGGATTTAGGGTATTTTCTACCAGGAAGAAGACGACCAAGACAGAAAGAAGGGAGCTTAAGTCCCGTCTCAGGGTTTATTTTATTTCATACTTGGCCCTGCTGCTGGTTGGGAAAAGGGATCAAGTAGTCTCTAGGAAGGAATATATAATAAAATAAAAATGTCGGGTTCCTCCACCACCGCTATTTACTGGTCGGGACAATGGAGCCTCTAGACTTTACACCCAGAATATTATGGGTTTTCTTCGGAGATAAAATACCGTAGTTGCTTGATGGTGGGTTCATTTCAATGAGTTTTCACGTGAGCAGGGCATGCCATCAAAGTCCTCACCCTAGATTTAGATTTGGATACCCTTGTTCATGCGGCACATAAAGAAACACGTTTTTTGAGAATAATTGATGACTCATATTTTCCTATTTTTTAAACGTTTCTCTGTTATGCACAAAGAGACAGGATCATTCGGGTATTTTTTCTGGTTTGGTCCATTGGACATGGCAAATAGGAACTATTCGTCGTCGTCCCTTTTGCGTTTCTGTGTGTATGTATGTGTCGTCCTTCCACTTGACTCTTTCAGTTTGGGTTCACCACGACTTTTCCTGATAATGCTTTAACATCATCCTATATGTGAATAATCTGCTCAATAAATTCACACAAGTCAATCATCCTCTCTCTGGAATAATTTAAAGTTTTTATAAGCTCTATCTATCACCCTGCTATTGACTCTGGTTTGTTTATGGTCTCATCACCTATCATGGCAGTAGTGATGGGCTTATCTTTCTGGCTGTGTCATTTACCTTAATTACCTTACCGGGAAAGCGAATAAGTCTACTCGTTCGTTACTCTCTCATGATGATGATGATGATGCCCATGATAAGATTCTACTCGTACACGGTAATAGTGAATTATGCGAATTTCTATTAGATATTTATAATTACGCGAATTTTCACATTGGTTTCAATTTCAATAAGTTAGTTGGCTCGGTTGCGAATTAGAAATGAAAATGGATGAGTGAAATGATGGTGATGTTCATGTTGCGATTATGAATATCCATTGTGTGCCGTTGTGGATGCCTGTACTTTGTTGAGAGTGTCCCTGTAGAGAACTTTTAGTTGGTTGGTTGGCAAATCATCATCATCGTCATTCATGAATCCATACTGTGTCCAATGCATACTGTGTTTTATTAAAGGAATGATTTTGCAAGTCCACTCCGAGAAGAATCTCGTCATCCTTTCACTTTTTTTTACCATGCGATCAAACACAAGGAGTAATCGTGGCAATGATTTTCATCCTTGGGATGTTTCGTCTTCTCAGATTGACAAATAACTCCTCGTAATTTAAAACGTAATAAAGTGAGGAACGACGAAACTCAAGATGAAATTCCAGGGTGGACTTTTCGTCGTCATAATAAAATAAATAAAATAACATCGCTCTCTGTTCTGTTCTGTTCTTGTATTTCAATTCTCCTGACAATAACAACGCCTGGATTGTGTGACTGGGCTGGACGAGTGACTAATAAATATGTCGTAGCAATATTTGCTTGACCCATGGTTGCAAAAACAAAAAAAAGTTGCAAATAATTTTAACAGTTATTCAATTATTTAATGGCGAGTTACAAAGTAATTAATGTGTGCGAGTTAATGCTGGCTAACAACCAAATTAGTGTGCAAACAAGGAAAAACTGCGTTATTATTATTGCACATGGATGGATTATGTATGACTACGGAGTTTAGTCTAGCCATTGGTTGTCACTAAATTTATTATTAAATGTTTTATTATAGTTTGGCTTAGGTTGCTTGCTCAACTCTGTAAATTTCCGGGTGATTGATATTTCTGCAAATGTGGGTTTATTGACCAGAGGGGCAAAAATCTAATCCAATAAAATGGATCGTAATTTAGGGCAAATTCAGGGATTTAGCCTGTATTATTTTTTAACAAAGAGAAATCTACTCTACTCTTTGTACAGTATAATAATACAATATATACGACTGCAGTACACCGCGTAGGTGGTTGGTTCGTATCGTGAAGGATTTTATAGTTAGTAGGGAAATGGTTTTTCTTATAATTTAGCCTTAGATTAAACCAGATAAAGTTTCCGGTCTGAAAATCTCACCTCACTCAATAACACTCCTCCTCAACAATTCAAGTAAAGTAAAGCAACGGTGTGTTTCGCAGTAGTTTTGACGATGATGGTAATGGTGGTGGTGGTGGTGATGCCAACAATTACACACAGGTTCTTTTTTTTTGCTCAATTTCACAAATTTCACTTTACGCATAAAGAAACCCGTTCGTTCGTTCCTTCATTTCCTTCAGTCTTCTTGTCGACTCTTATGTACGTTTCTGGTGGATGGATGGATGGATGGATGTAGGTCTGAAAATACGGAGGGCAAACTTCATTCTCATATTATTCTGTGATTCTGTGTGACTCGTTGTTCATGATGATTCTCTGTGTCTCACCTCTAAAATTCACCTTCTTCTTTTACACCACGTAATAAAATGTGACCTTCTTCCATCGCATCGGTGTCCTCCGTTAAAAAAATGTGCGGACGTTAAACACTAGATTTTTTGCTTGATATGCTTTGTTTTCATTTCAAGAAGTGTGTAAGAAGAGACGGAGCAAGAAGGTCAATCTTCTTGAATGGATGGTGGATAGAGAAGTCGAGCCTTGCAGTATTATTATTATTATTGGTTCCGACATATCAATCATGCATGTTTGAGTCTGGTTGGCTGGTGGATTGGAGTCCGAAATATTTTTGGATGGAATTATATTCGAGGGATGGATGAATTGCCACGTGTATTTTTTCATTCGTCGTCGCCTTCTTGCTCATCTTCTTCTTCTTCTTTTGCTCCTGCTTATCTCAGTTAACGTTCGGAGCTGGGATGGATATGTCATTCAGAATGTCATCATCATCATCCGCATTCGATTTGCTCCCTCCCATGTGATGTAGGTTGAAGCTCTCTGGCCTGGTCTGTCGTCTGGTCATCCAATTCTGCGAATTTGTGACTTCCCTATACACAAGTGGCAGGAGGAGGGCGGATGGATATGGATGGTTACACACATTTTTTTCTCCTAAACAAGTAGAAATAAGAGCAGAACAACCCTGTGAACTGAATTCGCATCCGGGTATAACCCGTCTCTTGTGGGTCGTGGTGGTGCGGTTGGTTGGTGATTATTATAGGGCGATGATGTTGCTGGTTCTCAATCTCAACCCACTTTAGCACACTTTTTTTGACTTGAACCCCTTCTTTTTAACTAACCCTGATTTTGAGTCTTTGACGTTTTAGAGAAAATAAAAGGTGGGTGATTTCTTGTTAGTGAGCCTACACAACTTTTTTTTAAAGTGATAAAAAATGAAACGCATACTACCCGACGACCCTGCCAATATTTTTCATCTCGGCATCATCATTATTTATATTATTATTATATTCTTCGTCTTTTATATACATACTTACGTACGTACGTACGTACTCGTACATGCTCACGTAGTTGGGACCGACCCTGGTAGTAATATTTTGCATTCATTGTCGTCGTCTTCGCTCTGCCGTTAAGAAGGAAAGGAATGAAACCTTGGCTGACTAACTGACTGATTGTGATTAAAGACTCCCTTTAATTCCTTTGGCATTACGTTTCATTACGGCACGATTACAACCACCACCACCACGACAACAAACAACAAGAGACACAAGGTTGTTCTTCTCTTATTACGTAGAGAGAGAGAGAGACTTACTTGAAGAAGAAAGAGAATGAGGCAACACCACTACTGCTAAAACATGCACAAAGATCTTTGTAGGCCCGCAGTGGTGGGTGGGACCGTTATCACTTTGGTAGATATATATATTGCTCCTAGAGATGTGTGTATGCAAGCAACATTTTATTTCACGACGAGGCGATTTTTGCGATCCATCCCTGCCTGGCAATGGATAAATTTTTGCTGTATTGCTTGTTTAGTCGTCGATGCGTCCATCTCATCGTGTTTGATTCTCATCTCCATCCCGTCTTTCTTGATCCACTCCACTCGTTTCGTTGGCCTGGCCTAAATTGGAATCTGCAGAAAATGAAGCAAACCTTGGTAAAGATTCTAGCATGATAGGAGGGAGAGAGAAAAAAAGAAGGAATTATGACCATCACGTCACGAGAGGAGCATTATTATTATTACACACACACATTTTCTGCAATCCGGGTCAAGTAGTACTTATTTTTTTCGACGGCATCACCACATCCACCAAGTATCTACACAACTGCATAAGAGAGAGAGAGAGAGAGCATGAGTTAGTTGGTAATAGAAATATCATACCGTGATGATGACCACCACCACTCCGAATTTTAGAAAGTGACCATGCAATAATGGAACGATGATGGCTTTTTATGTACGAATACACTGTGCCATTTGGCAGCGTTGTCTCATTCATTCGCCTCATGATACGGCATGAAGGCCTGGGAGTAAACGGAGCGCATCCCTTAAAGAAGAAGAAATTTCTTAGTAATTCTTCAGTTCGTAGCTTTTTTTGGGGTTGAAGACCTTTGACATGTTGGCCTTACAGACACACATAACATGCAGCAGAGTCAGATACTATGTAGGCATAGGCACGAGAACGAAGGGAGGGAGTTAGTTAGTTAGTTAGTTACTTGGTTAGTTAAGCTTTTTTAACGCAAAGAGCGAGCTGACTGGGTTATCCGCATCATGAGTTGCTTTACTTTAGTTACTTACTTACTTGGTTAGCTGGTTCTGGTTTCTTATTCCCATCAGTCCTCGTCGTCGTTGTCGTCGTTTTGTGATGATGATCGTTCATGGTGTGGTAGATAGTTGGATTGAAATATATACAGTGCAGTGCACCATCGCCAAGTCTAATTCATCCACTTGTTGAGAAATTTACTTGGCCTCCTTAAAACCCGATGGGGTTGTGATTGTGATGAAACAGATTGCTCAACCAGATTCATTTCTTCATGAGGCGAACAAAATTGTGGGCATGATTGTAAGCCTTCGTTTCCGAAGACTACGAAAAATAACTCGTTTTTGGAGAGTTAGTTGCTTATAATCTCTTGTGCATAGCTTATTCATTTCACGGATCGGATCCAACCTCTTTTTTCTCAATAATAATTATGACGACGAGAAGAAGAACAAGAATTGGTATATGAGAACGAGTTGTGTCACTTGGACCTTGCAGTCTCTGTCTCTCCCTTTCAATGCGAAATGCCTGCGGGAGAATGGATCCCTTGCAAGTTTGGTAGGAATGAGCAGCATGTATTTATTTGCATACAAATTCAGGCAGGACACGCAGGCATCATTGTTGGTTGGTATCATGGTATTATCATCATTGCGACTCTGGCCTGTTCTCTTTGGTGGGAGTGCGATTGAGTGAAATCTCTCCTTGAGCAGCAGCGTTTGTTGTACACTTGAGTGAGTGAGACTGTGTGCGAATGATTACCACCACCACTTTGCAAATCATTTAGAGAAAGGCCAACATCCCATCGTGGTATGTTGTTGTTTGGTGAGCCTTGGGAAGGTAGGGTGGCTGGCAGGCAGGGCATAAATAAGCAGCAGCAACAATTTTTTAAGGAAAGGAAATTACCTATACTGCACTATACCACCGATGATCATCCCATCAGCATGATGCTACATACCCGACGACCGAGTTGCTTGTCATTATCTATTTTTTGGCAAGGCAAGGACTTTAGTGGTGGTTGGTTTGCTTGGTATTGTTGCTGCCTGCCATAAAAAATGAAGGGACGACGACGACGATGACGATGAAAATGTTTTATAACCAGGTGAGCCAGTATTGGACTCGTTACCCAAATCCATCGCGTTGAGAAGAATCAAGAAAACCTGATTTTTTTGAACTTTGTGAGTATGTCTGTGTGCAAATAAGTATGCAAAGTCCTACCAGATTTTACTGCAATATTATGCTGCTCCTCATCGCGAGGCTGGTTTCTTTCGGCCCACTTATTTCGAGTGGGATTTATTTAAGTGTATCCCCATTTATTGGAAGGAACAGGGTCAAATGACGAGAGAGGAAAAGGTGAGACGAGGTGGTGGTGGTCATCATGGTATTTAGATGCAAACACGGGGTGAGATTGGGTGTGGTTGGCCAGATATTGCTGGACGGTACTGGATGCCCAATAAGTTCAGACGCCTCATTTATTATGTTCCTTTTTCTTCTTCTTTCTCAGTGTCCGGAGGAGTTGGTTGGTTAGTTGGTAAAGTTTTAAAACTCGAAATATTCACCTTTCATGGATGACGATGGAATGGGAAAAAAGAGGGCAAGAAGAAGTTGAGCAAACTGTTAAGGATGAGACAGGGTTGGTTTTTGGTGGGTTGCTTTATCATCACCACCACCAAACCACCATGAACCATGGCTGGCTGCAATTGCCTCCCGGGTCTTGGCGTGCATCCCTTCACTTTAGTCTTGGCATTCTCTTGTTATGTTCAGCCATCTTTTTCTACCTGGTTTCTCCTTCCTCCTACCTTCTTCTCCTTCTCGGTCGGTCGGTCGGTTGAGCTCTTGGGCTTGGTCTTGATGATGATGGTGATTTGAGAAGAAGGTGGAAAAAGCGAGACAGGTAAAACGGGGAGAGAGCGAGCGAGATGGAGCCGAGCCACGAACGAAACTATACCCATGACATTTTTGACATAATCTTTTTCCGAGGTGAAGTGGGCAACAGCATCGCATCACATACAATTCCAATCCACCCACCTGGAGCAACATTTTACATTTGGTAGGTAAGCACAGGATGTTGTACTTACCCACCAGTCTCTCCACGCTTATAGCCATCCACCACTTTTGCCAACTCTTCATCACCACCACGACCATCATCTCTCTCTCTCCGACTTTACCTACCTGGTGGCTCATTTTGTGAGAGATAGAGATTCTACACGCCCGGGATGATGATGATGGTGGTTCGAGATTCCATCAGCTCCCTCCCTCCCTCCCCAGTAACCAACTAACTCACCTGTTGCTTCCTTTCTTCTCCTTTTTCCTTCTCCGGTCTATGACGAACCACCCTCTCGAATCGTGTGGTATTCTACCTGCCTGATATTGCATGCTACCCTGGCAATTGGTGCATGGCTGTATGGCTGGCAATAAACTGGCAGGAGCAACAAGTGTGGTTCTTGGGAAAAGAGGTGCATCACCAATATCATCACATGTACAATTCCTGGGACGCCATTTTGTAGGAAAATGTGTAATGCCCGACTACAGGAAAAGTCAGGCTCGTAATAAAACCAAGAGAAGAAGAAGAAGAATAGCATAAAAGACAGTTCCACTAATCCAGCAGGAGCAGGAGCATGACTAATAAGACAAAATAATTTAACCAGCAGTAGTAAATAGTTAAGTTGACGCGTCACACGACTTTATGCCGATGACACAATTCGGCATCATTAATATTACATACACATGCATTCATTCCTACCCATACTATTCGCCTTACCTCAGCCAGTCAGGCAGTACGAGTGACTTAGGTTGTGGGTATTTTATAACTTTGCGAATTGGTGGGTGTAATTGTGGATGGATGTTATTTAGCATATGGATAGACGGCCACACCGCCACACTCTTCTTCTTTACGTCTCTTTAAGTGTGCATAAAATGAAATAAGAAACGAGCAAAGTATAAAATTAAAGGTGGTCTGGTCTTCCTTCACAAACTACTCTCCGTTTATTAGGGCCCATCTCTCTCTCTATCAAGGAGAAATTTGGTGATGAGAGTCTCATAAACTTCTCAGGCATACGTACGCAAACAGGGTGATGATTTTTCTCAACTTTCGAGTCCAAATATTTATTGTCCAACTGATTACATGTGCCACCACCGATGACGGTATGGTTTCGTTTTCATTCTCAGTAGTTTTTGCAAGTCGCATTCAATTCTTCCAGTCAACAAGACGAAAACAAAGTTTTTTTTATTTACATAGTTTCATGACGTAGTCGTTCACTCATTCCCAGTGGAAATTTTCAAGCCTTTTTGTATTTCTTAATTCGGTATGATGATGATGGTTAACGAAATTTGAAGAAATCTTACATCGCACCATCTCCTTTTGCATTTTTTAAAAGGCAAGGTGATTTTTTTTCGAGTGTAGGTGAAAGATGTTTGCTTACTCGCTTTGATACAGATCTACACCTTGACTTCATTTCATCGCGTCTGCCGCATATGAAATTGAATCTTTATTAAGACGGAAGAAATTCGTCAGTACCCAGCAGAACTTGGTGGAGGGCTAAAAACACTTGAAAAATTGCGCAAACCCACCCAACCCAGTCCATCAAACCAACCACACATGTACATAATATGCAACGACGCAGTTAGTCAGTTATCCTTCTCGCCAGCTTAGTTATTTAGTTTTCCAGAGAGGAATTCCAGTTTAGTAACTTGGTTTGGTTTTGTGGTGCGGTGCGGTGTTGGAGATACAGGATTTGGTAGTAAATACAATGCAACCCGGGGTCTGGTCTCCTCTCTCTCTGGTGCCTGGGTTGTTTGGAGGAGTCTCAAGGTTGCGCAATCAAATCAAGCCAAACCATCGCCATGATTTACCAGGCAAGCTTTTCATTCAATGGCAACACAACTATAGCCGTCGTACATTCGGGAAGTTTTGTGCTCTTGAAAGGTGGATGGATCAAGTCTTATTATTTTTTTCCCTGGGTAGCTAGCTGGATTTTTACCACTCAGATTCCTCGTCATTCATCAATATCTATATCGACGATGCTATGAAATCTATTTACTTGGAACGAGTTGAGAAATGAATGAAAGTGTGTTGTTTGTTGGGTGACCATAATAATAATCCGCACATCTTTGATGATGAAATTCATGGTCACAACTGAAACTGCGTCGTCTCGGTCGAGTCGGAGAAGGAAGAAAGAACGTGGCAGGAGGAGAGAGTGCCCGATGATGATGGATGATATTGCCTAATAATATGCATACGTACGTCTTAGTTATGTACAAGTAGTACCCGGAGGAATAGTACCAGCAGTCCAGCAGAAGTATGACGATGATGAACAACACGTACTTGTTGTTCATGCCTTTTTACGAGAAGATACCTCTCCGACTCACCTTGATATTTCCTTCTCATTCTCATCAACATCCATCGTCCTCTTTAAGTCTTGGAAGCTGCTATGTTATTTGAACACTTTTTGGCCAAACTGCGTCGTCGTCTCTCTTTTCTGCCCGGCATCGGCGTCTTCGTCATTCCGTGAATCACCTACCTTTTGTTGTTTGGATGATGCTGGGATGGCATCATGGCACGGCACGGATGGCTTCTTGCACTCTTATTCTGGAAGACCAAGAATTGCGTAATTTCATTCCACACTCGCTACCTCCATTTCTGGCACACACATGCATATGGCGTATTTTTCTCCCTCTTCTTCGTCTTTGCTTCCCTCAGCACTCCAAATTGCTTATTATTCCACCTCCGGCATAAATTCAGAGTGACGTTGAGCCAGCCAGCAGAGATGTTGAAACTGTTGGTTGTGGATTCATTTTTCGGGCAACACACACCTCCGCCACCACTTGTGTGCCATCATATTCTGCTGCTGACGATGATGACAGGACCACCTTTATTTGTCCACATGCATGCAACCCCTAATTTGCTATTCATATTTTACTATTATTATTACCAAGTCTACTCAGCCTGGGTCTGGCATTCACACATGTTTTTGTCCCGAATCGGATTATGACATGAAATAAATGCAAAAAATACTTAGCGATTGCCTAATTTTTTAATCTAACGTTGTAATTGTTTTGTTTTTTTTACAGACGGTGGAAGTGGTGGAGGGACAACGCCCGACGGGAGACGCGAAATGACACCGGAGGCGGATAACATGGACAGAAAGCCCGTCATGCCAACCCCACCCCCGCTTAAAGGTGAGCCAGAGATAGAAATTAGTTATTTTGTGTGAAATAGTTTTCACGTACAGCTTTCGTTCGACCGAGTCTTCTTCTCGTCAGTACACATTCTCCGCCTGCCTGTTTTATGCTCCACTTTCATAAAATTCCATCCGTGTCAGCGGTGCCACAACCACTAGTTGATGATTGCAGTATTGACGACGAGGTTGATGATGATGATGATATTTCCTCTTCTCTCGAGTTAGATTGGATTGGAGGAGCCGAGCTTCATGCAAACATTATTTTACTTTACTTTGTTAGCGAGAGAATATATAAGCAAACGGGTTTTTCCTCTGGTCTGGTCGCGTCTATGGCGAATGTACTTGCATCGGAAAGTAGGACATTCATCAAACAAAACAGAGTGTGCCTACTGCCTGCCGTTGCGTTATGCGGAGAGTGGAGAGAAATTGCTCTAATGGCAAAATTTCACTTGGTGGATTCGTTGTTAAGAGTTGGCTTCCCTGTAGAATTTTGTGGTGGTGGTGCAATAATGTCGAACCCGAGAGTCAGTCAGCTTTGCATAAAGTATTCGTATATGTACATATGTACCATATTCCTTTGTTCAGATTCGCATGTACGTACGTATAATCGCTCCACTCTGGTAAAAGGCACGATGTGCATGGAAATTAAGAGTTTATTTTGAGAATAATGTAAATGGAGACTCGGATTATAGTGGTTTTTGGTCACCCCGATATTAGGATTTTATTTACTACGGGATGAATCGAAACAATAAGTGGACACATTGTTGTCGTCTTCTCTGGGTTGATGCTTTCCTGATAAATCAGATCCCATCCATCCATCCACCACCCTTTGTTTATGCATTGTTCCTCTTTTTACCTGCCTCTCTGCCAAATGGAATAGAGAGCGGAAGTGCGGATGTGAGTCTGGCTGAGTAATAAGTAAGTAATTAAGAGGGGAAAGAGAGTCGACATCACCACCACCACCACCACTAGCAAAACATCACGAACAGGTATCCTGAATAATGTGGAAGTAATCAGCAGAGGAGAGGACAGGATAAAAAACAGGACATGTAGTAATAGTAATGGCAACAATAATATTCTGGCAAAAAAAAAGTATTGAGCATCACACCACGGCGGAGAACGGACGGACGGACGGATGGACGGTGGTGGGTCGGTGGGTCGTCGGTACAGACGACAACAAATAATAAGTCATTCAGTTAGCAGGTCTGCAATGGCATGCATGCATGTTCATCTACCTGTGGTGATTCTACCCACTGCTTGGTTATTACATATGAGATATGGCGATGATGATGAGACGGCGACGAAATAGATTGTTGGAGGTGCACGAGCAACGTTGGGATATGGATGAGATTTCTCTTTAAATCCGTCGTCGTCGTCGTCTTTCTGCCAGTTGAAGCTGTACGTGACTTATATATTTTCTTGGCATAAAACAAAGTGGAGTCAATAATGGTGCAACAAGAGTTTCACTCAAACTATTTCCCATGTTCCGCTATACATCGAGTAGGAGTCTTGACGTTATTATGCGAATGAATGAGGAAGGAATTATCGGAGTGAAGTCTGCATTTTACTTTACTGCGTTTTGCATATATTTGAGAAATGAAAAATGACGGTTACTCGATGATTATGCCAAAGAATTTGCGTATCGCCCGTCCGTCCGTCCTTGGCTGTTAGATTCGACAAATGACGGATGGTGTTTGCATAAGAGAGAGAGAGAGAGTTAGTACGGATTAGTTTTCCAGGACGCAGTTTTAGTGTATCTCTAAAATTATTCTCTAAAAAAATGTTGACGGGAGTATCGGGACTGAGGCCGATCTCGTGTCTGGGTGTAGTCCAGAATAAAAGGAAGCACCCCTTGCTCGTCTATGCGAATCACACGTACGAGAGGAATAACGGGAACTGCCAGAATGGGACTTATTACTACATTTGCACACAGTGGAGGTCGGGGTGCGGGGTCAGGTTGATAGTTTACTGGAAAAAGGGCGTGTTTCGATTCACGGGTGATCATCATAGTGAGTCGGAGGAAAAGTGTCGGTTTATTTTGTGCATGAGTGATTATTTGGAATATTATTTGAACAATTATGATGACATGACGCCTTTCTTATCTATTTGCAGAACACCTCATGAGCTCGCCCCCACCGCAACATCACCCTCCCGGTCATATGCCTCAGCTAAGTGGTAGCGGAGGACGTGGTGGAATTCACAATCATCTCGGCACCCCACCCCCGCCTGTCTCCTCCTCATCTTCGCAACACCACCAGAACCATCACAACCACCATCCATCTTCCCTGGGAGGAGGAGGGGGTGGTGGTGGGAGTAACGGCGGAGGACGTTCATCCACACCCATCAATAATCACTCACACTCTTCCGCGTCCTCTGCATCTCCACCACAGCAACTCCTCTGCGTCCGATGGGGCAATTTCGACTCCAACATCGTCTCAATGTTCACCAAGCTCCGGACGGCCGAACACTTCGTGGATGCCACACTTTGGTGTGAGGGGAAGACGATTAAATGTCACAAAATGATATTGTCGGCGTGCTCCACCTACTTTGAGAAGCTCCTCACCGAGAACCCCAACCCACATCCCATCATCTTCCTGAAAGATATGCGCTTTTGGGAAATCACTGCACTTGTCGAGTTTATGTACAAGGGGGAGGTGAGCATTCATCAGGAGAAGCTGCAGAGTTTGCTACGAGCAGCCGAGTCGTTACAGATCAAAGGATTGGGATCTCCATCGGCCAATGATGGACCGGGTGGAATTGGAAGTAAGTCGATAGTTACATATTGTTTGCATAAAAGTATGAATATTTTCTACTCTCTTGCTCCTTCGTAATCATTTTATTTACTTATCATCCTATTTCCTCTATCTCTTCAGATGCAACGGAACCGATGGACCGCTCCCGTCACCACTCTGGCGTTGACGCAGACGACTCGATGGACATGTCCACGACGACCGCCACACCAAACAACAATTCGTCCTTAGCGACCAGTCATCTCCAATCAAACCCTTTCTCTAATCAAATTCTCAATTCGTTCAGCACATCACGTGGCTCCCCCTCCCTCCTCCACATGAACATGGGCATGGACCTGTCGTCTCGCTCTTCCACCGGGGACCACCCGTCCCCCCTTTCACTCTCCCTCTCTTCCAATAACAACAACAACAATAACACCTCCAACCCAGCTAAGAGGAGGAAGAAGGAAAACCCACGCCGACTCGACATTCTCCCCACACGCACATCCATGCCAATCCCGGTCTTCAATTCGACCATCATGTCCATGCCCGTCGACCATCATCACCAACATCACCACAATGACGACGAGTATGACGCCGAGCCACCATCGGATGATGAGATGACCATCCATGAGAATGATGGACCGCCCCATCCGCAGCAGCAGCAACAACAACGTCCTCATATCATCGAGGTAAGAAAATAACGGAGCGACAATTTGACTCGCGAATCTTTTTTTTATATAAAAAAACATTATCCTTTGTCACAACTTTCACATTTTCTTCTTTTGATTATATTTTCCTTCTTCTTCCCACAGAACTTTAAACAAGAACCAGACTCGCTTTTGCAACACCACCAACACATCGGGAAACTGGGGGGATTGCCGCAACATCAACATCCTTCGTCCTATGAGGAGGACGAGGATGAGGGTGACGGACAAGAAAATTACGGCGATCATCATCAGGACGGTGGCGTTGGTGCTGGTGGGTTACAGGTATGTAAAAAAGTGTGTGTGTATGTGTTAATGTATATAAAAATTATTCTGCATTATTCGCATGGTGGTTCGTTCGTTCGTTCGTTCGTTCCCTGCGGTATTGCGAATAATAATATTAAGAAACCACCCCGTGTGCTGTACGTACTTCTACGACTACGACTACTACTCGTACTAGCGTGGAAACTAGGACATGGTAAAATAGAAAGTTTTCTTCTCCTCGTGTTGTTGGGCAATAATAATCCACCACCAACTACCAGTCCCACCACTTTGTCGTCGTCGTTGTTGAAACTTGTGCTGTGTAGTCAGTCAACCAGTCAGTCAGTTAGTTAGTTGTTGTTGGCGTTTGCATGCACTTTTTAGGAAGACTTTGTTATTATTATTTAGGCAGGGAGGGATTTACATTGTGCACAAACCATGAATGCATGATGAATCCATCCCCCGATCCGTCCGTGGCCTAGTCTCTCGCTCAGGAAAAAACAGACTTTACAATGCACAATCACAGCAGACTACATTCTCTCTCTTTCAACTATCTCGATCTCTACCCACTAATTCAATCATTTTGACTTATTCTTTAGTACTTTTTTCACTATGACCTCGTCGTACCACTCCACATACGCCAAGCCAGTCCAATAAATAATCACATTTCTATCTAACCCACGTCAGGCCACAGAACCACCGATCGAAAAATGTATCTATTAGCTTGTAGTGACTCTTCAAAAAAACAATGCCATGAAATGGTCTCCACAGTTTCTTTCTCACTATTTTGCAGATGGATGAAACCAAATCTGATTCGGAAGGTGAGGCCGACGGTGAAGAACCATCACCTGAGGACGAGGAGAATTCGACCATTGACCACCAACAAATACAATCACAACAGGGTTACGATGAAGAAACGGATGAATCTGGTGCATTATCTTTACGCGTCGCCTCGGCTGCAGAGCGAGAACGGCTCGAGAGGGAACAACGGTCCAGGAAAGGAAATCCCATCAAGAAAATCCTCGTGGGCAACATTAACAATAATAATAACAACAATAATAACGAGAGTGGATCAATCTTTCACAGTCCCACGTCTGCAGCAGAGTAATTAATATGACTATGTATCAAAACAAACCACATTTAAATAATGACTTCAAAATCCTTAGTAGTAATGTATTTGTTATTATCGATAAGCAATCAATAAGTTTTAACACTTTGTAAAAATAGAAAATTGGGTAGTTAAGATTCCACATTTATGACGAAGATGCGAAACCAAAACATTCTCTTACTGCTCCATTCCATAAACAATAATGTACAGGACATTGACATGGCTGCATAACAATTCGTAAGATGAAGATATGCATCCATGTAATGTCGTAAGATTAAGATACCGATGAAAATGTATGTATATAAGTTTGACGTATAATAAGTATGACAATAATTACTCGTCCCGTCCGTTTTTACACACTTTTCTATCACCACACACGTACCATTCCCCACAATCATTACTTGATATTTAGAGGATTTTCCATGTAAATAGTAATTCAGGGATCAAAAATTGGGAATCATCCATTCCAACATCTATTCCAATAGCTATACAATATGTACAAAGGGACGTTTTCCATATTTTCCCGTCACATTGTGTAATTTTGAAACGATATTCTATACTTTTCTGTTTAAAGTAGACAAAATACAAGCCTTATCGTGCTGTTGTGCCTTGATAAGCAGGTTGATAATGTAAAAGCGGTAATAATGAGGACAAGAATATGTGCTTATTTGTAATGTAACCTAACGAATAATGACTTTGTTGTCTCGACGAGTAGAATGAGTACCCTTAGTTGCTTTAGTTAGTTCGTCGACGGCTTAATTAGCCTTTGTTTTTTTTGTACATAAACTTAATAAGAAATGTCGTCATCGGCCGCATAATAATAATCACGTAATAATATTTGGAGTAGAAAATGATATTTTTCTAAAAGAAACCCGTCTTGCACTCACTTTAATTGAAGTTAGATAATTTTATCCGACAAGATTTTTTTTTGCTATTTTGTACGTTTCAACACACACACGCAGTAATCTTCTCACCGATTGTCACTGTAGATACAACATATGAATCGTAATACATAATAATACGTTTAAGTAGAGTTCAGTTATTCATTAAATAAATACATAATATATTAATGCTAAATATATAAAAAGGTTTATGAAACCCTTCAAGATATTATTAACAAATGTGCTAGTTTTTTTTTGTCGAGATTACACTTTTTCTACTATCTTGTTCTTTAAAAAATTCTTCATGTAAAATTATCATAATAAATCATCGACATTAGTGAGCAGCAAAATACCTCGTCAACGTATTTAGTTAATGTTTTAAAATTATATTTTACGTTATGTTGCTCACACGAACAGGCTACTTTAATAACCCTTTTGAGCAAGTAACAAGTACTCTTGAAACACTTTAAAAAATTGAGTATCATGTAATTTTATGTTTTGTTTTGTGTTGTTGCCTAAAATTCATGCTAACTTTGTCCGTGTTCGTTCGTAAAGGTTTGGTTTGTGTTGTGCTCTTTATATAATAATAATATATATTTTTGAAGTAGGTCGTCTTTTACTGGTCCAAGAACCAAATATCTTAAACCCATGGAAGAAATGATTAGAGGATCGCGGTGATTCTTAAAATACTAAATAAATCCATAGTTTTACTTTATATTGAATATTATATGGTTATATATACATGAATAATAACGTGTTTAATAAATTTCAATCATTATTGATGCGTAAATCGAGTCGTGGTCAGAATATTTATTTTTCATCCACTTTTTGGTCAAAAAATGCACACGTCTCATTAGTTTCCATGGAAACAAAGATCATGCGAAATGAGGAGATGTACTCATCCTCAGATGCAGGCTGAGCGAGGCAGAGAGAGGACTGAACTTTGGCTGGTTTGTTATTTCTGGAATTAATTTTCGCGATTTAGAGTCTAAATTTTAGACCATTTTGTCCACTTTTCGTCCCCCGTCCCCCCTGCGACCTTATCATCATCATGATCCGTCCCACATCCCAATTGAAGTGGGAAAGAACCCTGCGAGTCAATAACGTTCTGTGGCCAAGGGTTGGCCATTGGCGTCTGATCTTCCTGGTCTGTCTTGCCCTTTGCGCCCTCCTCCACTGGGCCATCGGGTCCTTCTGTGGGATGATGTGGGCGAAGGACGAATTCTTGGAGGTGGAATCCGTCACTTTGGGCTCTCCAATTCAAACTATACCCGGTAATTGGATAATATAGAATTAATTTGAAATTAATTAATTAATACTAGTGCTTTGATTAATTAACTAGTAGTGCACCTATCCTCGGGTCTGGTCAATGGTAATTTTGTGGAGACAAGTAAACTAAGAAAGAAGCCTATTTTATTGTCCATTTTTTGTTATAGGATGGAAAAACGCGTCTTTGGAAAACTTGACTCAATCAAGTCCCGAACTACAGGCATACATTTTGAAAAATTATATTATTCCACCGTCGCCATTTAGAGATAGTCGTAATGGTGTTGATTGGACTCCGCTTTACCCCACGGACACATCCAAACAGCAGGAAGTGGTCAAGTTTGTATTGGCTCTGTTCTCTCGAAAGGTAAACATTGTAAACAAAGAAAAGTACTAATAGCAAAGTGTGTCTATACTATTTTTGAAATTTGAATTGTTCAGAAAAATGGAACTTTTATCGAGGCGGGTGCAAATGATGGAGAATTTTATTCTAACACGATGCTGCTCGAGAGATATTTTGCCTGGAGTGGGGTTCTGATTGAGGGGGATCCACGACCGTTGAAAAAATTGACTGATCGAAACAGGGCCGCATTCATTGCAAAATGCTGCCTCTCGACGACAATCCGCCCAAAAGTGGTACATGATCTCAAAGTAAAATATAATAAAACTGTTCCATTGAGTTTGACTAGTGATTCTCCATCACAGATGACATTTCTCAGACATCAGACGGGCGAAGGGCTCACTTTCATCCGGGGCAAAAGACATTTTATTGGTGGAGAGGACAAATATCAACCTTTCGAATCGCAATGTTTCCCCATCTACGCCATCCTCTCGGCCTTGAATTTGACCACTGTCGACTACTTTAGCTTGGACATTGAAGGGGCTGAGTTGGATGTTTTGAAAACCATCCCATGGAACAAAGTATTGATCAAGGTAAAGTTCAAAAACATATATTGAACTAAATGTATAGACTAGGCGCTGTTCGTAAACTTCGTAACGCTGGCTAACCATGGGAAGATAGGGAAAAATCCCTATCTTCCTATGGTTAGCCAGCGTTACGAAGTTTACGAACAGCGCCCTACATAATTTATTTATTGGAATATATTTATGTTTTGCTGCAGGTCTTTTCCATTGAGGTTCATGCTGCCTATGTCACCCCGTGAGGATGTACATGATTGGTGAGGCTGGCTACAAATACATCACATTTATAAAAAACGGATATTCTCATGATCAGATCTACGCTCACAAGTCCATCATAGAGGAACTGGACCAGAGAGTTGTGGCTGGATAACTTTTTGAGCTACGTGTAATTAGGAATGCGGCTATAAAATAGTTAATTACTAAAAATAGTCAATTACATAAAATAGGTAATTTACTTGTTTTTACTCATTTTTCGTTATTGTAACTTATTTCTCTGTATCTACAACGTCAAGCTTAAAAGAGCACGGGAGAAATTCTGGTGACTCCCTTCCACATTCTGATGTGTAATGTCTGTATTTAAATGGGCAAATTGCTTTAAAATTCACTGTCTCCGTTTAACAATTCTAGTCGAGTCTAGTACTTGTTTCAACCCTGTATACATTTGTTAATATTATATCATGAAAATGTCTATGAAATTGTAATTTAAATGTTTAGTGATTGTGAATTAGTAAAGTTGAATTTCCGTGGGTTTTACATATGCTCAATATTTTTTTTATCAACATAAGGAGAACAAATTTAAATTTGTATTTTATTAGCACTACGATTTTTGACTACGAAACCATCCCGAAACCATCCTGAAATCAAACGCAATGAAATTAATAAAGCTTAATCCTGCAAAATAAAACAAACTCTAATAAACTGCTATGAAATGAATTTTCAATAATTTTGTAAAAAAAATCAGCGGTCAGTTTCTTTCCTCCACCCGAACAACGATGGCCTTAGGTCCCAGAAGTGGTCGTCCCGTTGGGAAAAATTCCAACGGCACCTTGGTCGTTGGGGAACGGACAAATTTGAACTTTAACAAAATCTTCGCAAGTGCAATTCGACTTTCCAGGAGAGCGAAACGACTCCCGATGCAGTTTCTCGGCCCATCGCCGAAGGGCAGATAAGTTCCAGGCACGATGTTCCCCGTGAGAAACCTTTCTGGGTCGAAGGCCCAAGGGTCTGGGTAGAACTCCTCCGAGTGATGCATCGCCCAAACAGGGATGCCAACAATCATGCCCTTCGGGATGATGATGTTAGTATCGCCCAGTTGAAAGTCGGATGATGCCCGTCGTTCCATCCTCAGTACGGGATTGTAGAGACGAAGGGTCTCGTCCAGCACGGCGTTGAGATACTTGATCTTGGTCAACTCTTCGGGGTCAATTTCTTCCGGAATTTCTGTCCCATACTTCTTTTGGAGAGCTTCGATAATTTTTTCATAAGCCGTATCTTGCACGTCTGGGTTGAGGGCGAGGCAGTATCCGGCATAGGCGAGGAGCTGAGACGAGGTCTCAAAACCAACAGAAAAGAAAAGAACCGATTGCGCCAGGATTTCTTCCTCGGTGAGCTTCTTCTTAACATCCGAACCGGTCTCCTCCGTCTCCTCTGCATCCATCAGAAGTTGAAGAAAATCTTGGTGGTGCATCTCCCCTGTGGCTCGACGATGGCGAATTATTCGGATGGTGACCTCTCTAAAGAAGGTCATGGGGTCCTTTGGGAGGACGGTGAAGCTGAATTTCTCCAACACAGCCATGGGAACGATGTAGTCGAGAAATTTCCTCCAGAACGGGAAAGTGAAGAGGAGGGAGGCCTGTTGAACGAAAACGTCGTCGGGTGTGGTGGCAAAGGCGGAATGGGCGATGACGTCCATGGTATACGCTCCGAAGAGGGCTTTGAGGTCAAGATCAGAGGCGTTGGCAGCAGCGGCGGCCAGGTTGGCGAGGAGGGGACCGGAAGCAGCCGTCATGCAGGGGATGATTCTCTTGAGCTTGCCCGAAGTGAATGTGGGGGCCGTGATGGAGCGGACGCGTTTCCAGGTGTCGTCCTCCAGGGAAGAGAGGAATTTGGCCATCACGGGGTGCGTGGTCTTCACGGCACGACGGTTTCGGAATACATCGAGGGCGAGTTGGCCGACCATGATTTGTCGAACGAGGTCGGGCCGACCAACGATGAGACCGGGTTGAGTGCCGTCGTAAATTCTAAGGAAAATCACGTTACTTTTTAAGGCTGTGATTTTCATTTTTTGCATTGAAGATGATTATCATGTCATTCTCTTACCCGTAAATCTTCCCATATTTTTCGTATCGTTCCAGTTCGCTGTCTTGGAATGGGGTGAAGAATTGACACAGGTAGGTCCCAAAGATTGGGAGTGGTTGAGGTCCGGCAACACCACGGGAGGCCCAGTATTTATGATTTTTAGTGAGGTACCTGCAAAGTTCAAAGTAAATAAGAAAATACATTTTTCACATGTACATACTCGAGATTGTTGCCATTTCGATTTAAATAAATCCTCAGGACAATTTAGGACATCTTAATTTGAAATTCTCGTAAGCCAGCAAAGTTAATGTAAATTATTTTCACTTACCAATACCAGAGAAAGCCACACGCAAGGACTAAACCCACACACAATATCATCGTGAGATTTTTTAACTTTCTTTTCTTCACGACAATTCCAGGAACTCTTCACTCGTTGATCTCCTATTTTGCACCTTGTATTCTTCTGTACTGCCCAAATTGGTTGCTTAACTTCAGTTTCTATTCAGTTATCCGGGTAAAGACGCGTCTGATTTTTTAACGCTGGGTTCTCGTCCTTTTATGTCGTGTCCGTATCAATGCTTTGAGGGGTCGAATTACTTTCCCAGATAAATCATTCACCGATATGCACCAGACGCAACTGGATAGCTTTGGCGACCCCGATATTTTCATTCTCAGACGTTTCGCATCGAAATTATGTATTACGAGTGGCATTTGTTTAGATTCGTCAAATGTGTGATTACAGACATGCATCACTCGTAAAACCTCAATTATGGTCACACTCACAATTGTGGTCTGAATCATGTGAATTTATTGAAAAACGACTCCGATTTCCGTCCCTCATCTACCCGAACTACAATTCATATAATAAACCACAAGAACGTTTCACATGGTCACATTCTTCAGTTGTAATTCTATCGGAGCGCATGCAGACTGGATATCATGGCTATTTTGGCAGTAGAAATTAATAGATTTGGAGGCGACGAATTCGCAAAAAACATTCCTTTATTTATTACCTAAACAACGATGACTGCACAATCATTTTACAGCATTGCGAATTAGATTCCATGCAAAATCTCACCAATGCATGCATAACTCATTTTTACAAGAGACACGTTAAGAACCAAATGCCATTGTCGGACGGCATATGTAAAATGGGAGTAAAATAAACAGAAAACGTAACTGATCAATAATAATTATCGTGGCGTGATCATTAATTTTTGGAGCTATTAAATTTCAAAGAAATGTATCAACATAAGCGTCGAATCTCATGATTCGTAGATAGATTGCATTGCAAGATTACTCTGATTAGATGAGAAACCCAACAGCCACTCATTTTTGCATAAATTGATAACCAGCTCTTCACAACGTTTTCATGAAATAACAGAATGCACTAGTTGAATGCTGTGAAATATATTATTTCGATAAGCAGCTTTTATCATCATTTTCATCATTTTATCATTTTATCACCATAAAAATCAGTTGCACCTTGACATTCATCGGAACGTAAGCTATTTTAAATGCAACCATTCCGAATTGGGAATTTGGAATCCCCATTGTTTTGAATTCTTATCCTCCGAATCGTAAAAACTCAGTACATCGTAATTCCCAAAATAAACATGAAATACAGACGACAAAATACTGACATCATGAAATTGGTTGCTCCAAATATTTTATGTATTAGATAATTATACTGTGATTATTATACATTTGAGCCAAAGCAAATTAGCATCGGGACTGGATTGACCTTTGCATAATTTTTGATACGTGTCATCATATTCAGTATAGATTTGGACCAATTTTGTCTACAATAAGTCACAAGGTCGCATTGTTCTTACAGAAGTATTGCTAACTTAATTAATGGCCAGATTAATTATCAAATAAAATTATGCTTGACTAATATCTCAAGAATGTGCATCTGCGAACTTAATCCACTACTCGATAAAGTATGAATTTAACAGGGACATGGCCAGTGAAAATGTTGATGTTTGAAATACGTCATGCAGGACATTTCGTAAAAGGGGATGCATCTTGGCAGTGTGGCACAGTTATCTTTTTGTCGACGAATAGTAACGAGTTTAAAACTGGAACAGATTCACGTCAAAATTATGAAACTAAAATTGTACATCTTTTTTCTTCTGGTTGGGTTTGTGACAAGTGGTGAGTGGTGGATTATTGTAAATAAATATCTTTTAATTTCAACTTCCATCCTACACGCACTAAAAATTAACAAATTTATACACATTTTATTTTATTACAAAAAGTTCCCATGCCGGAACTTGTTTACGAGGACAAAGGTGATACATCAGCCCCACAAATAGTCGAGCCATCATACTCGCCGGAACCGTCCCCCCAAATCGTCGACACGCCATCATATTCGCCGGAACCGTCCCCCCAAATCGTCGACACGCCATCATATTCGCCGGAACCGTCCCCCCAAATCGTCGACACGCCATCATATTCGCCGGAACCGTCCCCCCAAATCGTCGACACGCCATCATATTCGCCGGAACCGTCCCCCCAAATCGTCGACACGCCATCATATTCGCCGGAACCGTCCCCCCAAATCGTCGACACGCCATCATATTCGCCGGAACCGTCCCCCCAAATCGTCGACGCGCCATCATATTCTCCAGAACCGTCCCCTCAACAAGACTACGTGGCTGCTTCTCCAGTAAACGGTATTAGAGTTAAAACAAAATTTTTCTTCTTTCAAATACCATACGAATTGTGGGAGAGTAGATTTTTGTGTAACGAGATGGTCTCAAAGTCTCAAATAGCCCACTTTTCACACAGTAGTTGAAGTTTCTGCTGCTTACTATGAATTCTGAGTTGTAGATATTTGTCTGTGAGGCATTTTGAGAATTGCATTAATAAGCAACTCCGTGATTCACTACTTGAAATAGATTACGCCGAGTCCTCTGCTCACTCATCGTCAGATCCACTCCCACCCGTTTACACACCAGCAGCCTACCCCACTACCGACCCCACAGTTTATACGGCTCCTCCCCCTTATGAGGGTCAAAACGTGACATACCTCTATCCCAAGGAGACTCGCTCTTACAATGAAGAAGAGCCAGAAAGTAATTCATCCCACACCCATTCTCCACAATTTCATAACGTATTGAATAATTTGTAAATATTTGTATCTTTAGTTGAAGAGAGAGCCCATTCAGTTCACTCCACGTACAAAAAGGAACAGCCCCACGAATTTGAACGGCCAATTGAACCAAGTACGTTCACCGGCGAAGGTCATGTGCACAATCTCTTTAGCATTTTGACATCTTCCATATTCGTCTTTCTTTGTGTATTCCAGTGGAAGTAGAAGTTTTCGACCCGTACAGTTTCGCAGCTTCCGGTGGAAGCGGGACAACGGGTGAGTCAGAATATGAAATTTTTAACTATTGGCTGCATGAAAAAGATGAAAAAAAACAATGAAATCTAAAAAAAATTGATGCCCCCTGCAGATGCGCCCTACGTTTCTGAGGAAGAAATTTACGTGGTGCAAAGTCCTGCAGAGGACAAGAAGCAAACTCCATACCCAGAAGAAGAAAAGGTTGAGGAGCCATATCCACAAGAAGCTTATCCAAACCCCCCGTCCCAGACAAATTACGATCAAAAGGAGGTATTTGACGGCTTATCATCCGAATCAGAAGTCTACCCAGCACCACCCCAACAACCCTCCGCATACATTTCCGAAGAAAAAATATATTCCCCACCAGCCAAAAAACCCTCCACATACATTTCCGAAGAAATATATTCCCCACCAGCCAAAAAACCCTCCGCATACATTTCCGAAGAAAAAATATATTCCCCACCAGCCAAAAAACCCTCCACATACATTTCCGAAGAAATATATTCCCCACCAGCCAAAAAACCCTCCACATACATTTCCGAAGAAATATATTCCCCACCAGCCAAAAAACCCTCCACATACATTTCCGAAGAAATAATATATTCCCCACCAGCCAAAAAACCCTCCACATACATTTCCGAAGAAGAAATATATTCCCAACCAGCCACAAAAACTGACGAGGAATCCTTCAGCAGCTCATTTCTCCAAGCGTTTGATCAAATTTTGATTGCAAGCGACCGTTACCGAACGTCTCTCACTAAACCGCTCCATGTCCTCGTAGAAGACGCTTCCGGCCGGAGAGGTGTGGTCACCTGCAAACTACAACGAACCCGAATTGTCGTGACAAGGGGGGTGAAAGCCCTCTTGGAGTCGTACCCCCACTGGGTCAAGTTGGGGACCACGATTGAGGAGTCTCACTGCAGACAGGATTCGGTATGATGCACAATTGATAACATTATTTACGTGCAAATCTACTATTGCCGTTAGTACTTAAAAAGTTCAATTTTCAACAAACAGAAAATGGCCCTCGTCGCCTACTCGTCGCAACTGGCGAAGGTGGCGCAGGATTTGGCAGGAATGGAGGACATGGACTTGGACGACATCCTAGACGCTCCAAATGCAGCTTTCAAACGATTGGAACAGATTGTCCTTCAAACTCTCGCCTTATTTGGACCTCTCACTAATTTAGACGACCATCATTCGCACAATAACGGACATCACGAAGTATATTCCCCGTCCTAGTTGCCAATTTCGCGTTTTAAAAACATTCAATCATTCTCTTAAATAAAATACATAAAAATACTTTATTATTCAAATTCATATTCAGTCCTAATTCACCTCCTCTATTTTATCACGTTTTGCTGTACTTTTGGCTTCTCCTCTCTAACTTTGCATTGATTGATCACGACACTTTTAAGAAAGTTCATCTCGAACAGAACTCAATCTCGGCATTTTTCGTAGTCATTACGGGCAAGAAGTTTTGTGTGCATGAATAAATGCTCTCTTTGCAATGAACAATGAACGAAGTATTAAACCCATTTTCATCCATTAATTTATTGAACCATGATTCATTGAGCGTTTCAAGTCACATTTAAATAATAATAACAATACCGTTTGATCTGATAATATTGGATATTGTTAATTTACATTTCCACTTTCCACGCAATCACGGATTACAGATAAATTTACATTTCACATTTAACCACCACTGACCGCGGTGTGACGTAAAATACACCAATTTTACAACAACTTTTGATTTATATACATATTCTGCATGTATAGGAAAAAGAGAGAAAATTTAAATAGACTGTTTCTTCCATGACTCCACGATTCCAGAGCTTTTGTAAACGTCCAAATTGTAAAAATAGACGGATCACCATTAACGTCGTTATCTCAATGAATTTTTGATATCAATAATTTTCATCTAGATATTAATAATTGTTATACATTTAATTTGTAAATATCGATCGATACACATCATCTCAAAGATTATGCTTACAAATGGCAAAAAAATGTACATTTAATATTTTTCACTTCAAATCCAATACTACGACGAACGATATACTGTCCCAATGATTCTGACATTAATTACCACTCCACTTTCGGATACAAACGTAAGAAAAACGACTAGTTTTGTTTTTAAATTTACATAAAATGGGCAAGTCGTGTAACGGATGGTAAAAGTATAAAATCGAAATTTTAAGCTGATCATGCGCAATTTTGAAGTCAATTAATAAAATTAGTAATGATACGTCAATTGTACATAAAATCGAAATTTTAAGCTGATCATGCGCAATTTTGAAGTCAATTAATAAAATTAGTAATGATACGTCAATTGTACAAAATAACCTTCATTTTTCTTTTTCGTTTTTTAAAATTAATTATGCATGGGTTCATTTCCTGGAAAAAATATCTATTCACAACTTAAAAAAATAACTAAAAGACATTCACATGTATCAGTTCATCTGCTATTTCTAACAAGTGGTAGAGAAAGCGGTGACTTATTAAGTAACAACTTATTTCGTATATAAACCGTGCAGCAGCGGCAGCAAATAATAATAATAATAATCTTGGTGTAACAGTACAAATTGTGTATTCCTCGCACGGCGTGGCGTGAAAATGACTAGAGAAAGGGTTGCATGCCGCGGCGTTTGACTCTTTGTTACAATAGAAATTATAATATATTTAGCGGTGATAAGCTGAATATCAAGCTGAATTGATAAGGACTTGTCATCATTATCTAATGATATGACCAATATTTAGATTTTTTAAGTACTTGTAAGCCTTAAGAGGTAGTAATAACAGTGTTACACAGTCTTAAATTAGAAATTCGTGTCGTAATCTGATCTCCGACGTGACGGCGCGTATCCCGAGTCGCCGTAATAATTTCCACTGTGGAAGTAACCGTTCCACTCGGTTTTCCAACTGTCGTAAATGTTATAGTTGGCTCCGCCTGATCCTTTTGTGGACCCACCGTGAGATCGCTGAGATAAAAAAAGAAGAAGATCAAGTGTGATTAAGTTGAGAAAATTGGGGTTGCGTAATGCATGACTTTTGTGCCATACCTTCGTGGGTCGTCGATCGAATGTGCGATCCATTTGTTTGGTGTTATCATTCCAAACATCGTCCATGTTATATAGATCATCCGCCCCGAAGTTATCGACCCCGCCGCCAGCACCACCCACGGCCATGTGACTCTTGTTAAACTCGTTAAGCATTTCTTGCGTGAGGGAGACGGTGTTCTTCTTCTTGGAGTTCTTGTAACGGGAGACCAACTGGAATTTTTAGAGGGGAAAAGTATATAGCAAATGGGTAAATGCGATATGGAATATTTCGAATTGTTACATCATTTAGTGAGCAAAACTTACCACGATAACACCCAAAATGAGGAGAAACAAGAGTGACACCATCCCAATCACGATGACGGCAATTCCCCACTGCGGGATGAGTTGTTCTGGATTGACGGAACCCTTGCCCGTCTTGAGTGTGACGACTTGAAATAAAATATGGACAGGTTAACAAACATAAAAAGTCTGAATGTTAGTTGAAGGGAAATTGGGACTACCTTTAAAGTCGGTGTATCTCGGGTCGATGTTATACCTCCCGAACCGCAGTGAAACGGGAGCGTCTTCTGGCAACTCGTCGACAGGATCGGAGTCGAGTAAACTTTTATGGAACACTTTTACCACGTCGGTCGTCGTGAGTTCTCTGTCGACACCTTCCAGCTCCACAAAGTAGTCGACTAGCACGCTCCCTTGGCTAAAATATGGATTAGTAGTTACCATTCGGTATATGCAGATCAATAAGAGAAGGACAACATTCAGCCGAAATACTTACTTAAATCCTTCAATAGTGACTCGTTTGTACCAAGGGGCGAGTCCTGATGCCCGATAAGCTCCATCCAATTCTCGCTTCACGGTAACTTCTAAATGCTTATACTCTTCCGTGTTGATATCTGCGAACTCTGGTTTCCACTTGACTCCGCCCGTTATTCGGATGGTGGCTTTAATTGATAAATATACACTGATTAATTAAGGGGCATTGTGCACAATGATAAATAAATTGAAATTAGTCTTACCCTCCATTCGGCACACCTCTTGTGGACAGATTCCCAATGGTGACCTCTTTGGTGGAGGCGGTGTCGTGGTCGTGGTTGGTTTTGTGGTCGTTGATGGCGTTGTGACTGGCTCGACCGTGGTGGTTGACGGGGTCGGGCTTGTTGGCGGGGGTCGAGTCGTTGATGGCGTTGGCCATCCAGTGAACTCGGTCGTTTTTCGAGTTGGCCAACCACCCGCTGCTATTGTGACTCTGGGTGGTGGCGGGGTGTCCGCTTTAGGACCTTCGGTTGTGGTTGGTCGTGTATTTCGGAAGCCACCTGGTTTCGTGGGGAATACGGGGCCAACAACTCCGGGACGAGTGGGGAAGACGGGGCCGCCCGGTTTCTTGGTGGGTGGGGAGAAAGATGCGGGTTTCTTGTACCCTGGGGGAAGAAGATTGGCTGGGATTTCTGGGGGTGGAATTTCTTCTTGGTGGGTTATTGTTGGGGTCAATTTGAACCCAGGTGGGAGAAGGTTGGCTGGAATGACGGCGGAGTCGGTCGGTTTTGTTGATGGGGATAGATTATAATCTTTCGGAATTAGGGACGAGATGTCGATCTCTTGGAATTTCACCTTGCTCAAGATAGCCGCCAAAGGGTCGGGCAAGCCAGTTGTGCTGCTTGGAGGTGGAGATGGTTCAGTAGTGGAGGGAAGTTTGTATCCCTTGGGGAGAAGGTTGAGGGGAATTGAGTATTCTGGGATTATCTCAGGTTGAGGAGTAGTACTGGTCGTCGTGGTCGTGGTCGTCGAGGTAGTGGTCGTGGTACTACTGGGAGACGATGTCACTTGAGAGGCTAGTGGCTTGTATCCCTTTGGAAGAAGGAAACTCGGTACGGACTCGAAACTGATGGGACCGTCTGTGACAGGTTTGGGAGTCGGGGTGGTGGTCGTAGTAGTAGTCGTAGTGGAAGTAGAAGTGGTGAGGGCAGGTGTGGTACTCTTGACCGTGGTGCTTGGAGGAAATGTGAATCCTGGTGGGAGCAAATCTGGCGAAATATCAGCAACAAATTTAATTCCTCCGTAGATCTTGGGTGCTTCCGTGGTCAGAGAGAATGTTGGCTTTTCCGTAGTAGACGGAGGTTGAGGACTCTGCACCACCACTTTTTGTTCCTCCTCCTCCTCATGCCCATTGTCGTGGCCGTGATCATTGCTGTCTCCGCGGAGGGAGATTACTCTCCCGTCAGAGTTGAGATCTCCAATGTCGACGAGGGTCTGGAAAGGTGAGTGTGGAATGATTTCACCCTTCTTGGATGGAAGTTTTCGTGGCGTGGGGTGTCGCAGGGCTTCAGGCTCGTGCTCGTGCTCTTCGTGTCGTTCCTCCGTCACGTCATCCTCCTCTTCCGTCTCTCTTACTGGGGACGATTTGGTGGATTTGGGGGGTTGTGGCTGCTTTTGCTCGTGATACGAATACTCTTCTTCGTAGTATTCGGGCGACGTCTCAGCTCCGGCTGGAATAGAGTCCTTGTGTCCTGGCTCAGTTGTGGGTCGAGGCGTCGTTGTGGTAGAAGAAGTTGCAAACGATGGTGGGTTTGTCGTGGTCGTTGAAGTTGTCGAAAGTGGCGCTGGAGTGACCTACAGCACATGGAAAATATTGTTTTAAAGAAATACTACATACTTTAAAATTGTGCACTTTTTCTAACCTTCGCCGACTTTGAAACTGATCCAGAAACCGTTTTTGAGCTGGAAACAGAAACCACGACCTTTGCCTTTTTCTCCGCTGGTGGAGGTGGTGCGGGTGTAGTGGAGGAGATGACACTCGTCGTACTGGTGGCCACACTGCTAGAACTGCTTTTCGACACGACAGTCGAACTTGTCAATTTATGGTCTGACTTGGGCTTTGGAGACTGTAAGAATTATGACGTGACATGAATAAGTTATGCAAATCTGACTCATGAATATTTAAATACTAATGTATTATCTAAAACCCGTCTTTCTCACCGTTTTGCTGTTCCTCTCCTTCAAAATTGCCTTGGCTGTCTCTTCACTGACTTCATAATAGTCAAAGCCACCTTTGCCCCCTCCTGCAGAACTTGCATCCTCCGGCGAACCAGACTCGGGGTACTCGATATACTCCACTGTATAGTCGTCCCCCTCATACTTGCTGCTACTGCTGCTCTCCTTATTTTTGTGGCCCTGCTTGTGATGACCTCCTCTCCCCACTTCCGGTCGGGATGAGGACGACGGCGTTAGAACAAATCTCCCCGGAAGCTCCTTACTCCGAACTGTTGTCGTTGTCGTCTTCGTGGTACTGGTCGTACCCGGATTGAATCTGCTTCTCCCCGGATTTGGCACAGGTCTTCGTGTCGTCGCGGTCACGAGCCTTCCTCTGCTCCGTTCCGTCGTTGAAGTTCCGGCCGTCGTGGTGGTCGTGGTACTTCCCGGCGTGTTGGGTTGTGCAGATTGCCTCAAGAGTGAGGGGGGTGGACGAATGTTGTTCCCACCCGTGGTCCGACTCGGTGCTGGAACACTTCTCCCGTTGAGGGAAAGCAGTGGCTGTTCTGGTTCCTCGAGGGGGATGAACTGCTGGTTGGATGGGGCCGTTGGGGGAGATCCTCTCCCTCTGTTAGTGGAAGGTCGGCTTGGTCCGAGTTGTGCCGTGGTGAATGTTTGCTGTGGAAATCGGGTGTGGTGATGCTGTTGCTGATGATGATTCGGTTCAAGGACAGCGATACCCTTTCCCACCACGGTGGACGAAGGTTTGTTGTTATTCTTGCCATTGTTCAAACCCAGATCGGTGGGATACTGGTAGATCACCTCGTCCTCAGGCTCGTCGTAATACTCGTACTGAATGTTGTCCTTGTGCTGGGCCTGGTTCTGCTGATTGTTGCCATTGATTGAGCCCAGCTCAACGAATGAGGGGGGTGGGGGTTGCTTCAGGCTGGATGGCCCGGAGGAGGGGAAGAATCCAAAGTGCGTATTTTGTACGGAAGTCGCACCCCCACCGGATCTTGCTGTGGAGACGCCTCGAGGCGGCGTGAAAAAATTGGGGTTCTGACCAAACGCTTGAAACCCTCCGGGGAGGATGGACGATTGTCCGGGAGATGTAAAAAGTCCACGGTTTCCTAAGAAAAATAAGAATTGTTAGAAATAATTGAAACTGAAATTGTCAATTTTGTTCATTTTTGATATATTTTGACAAAATAAACTTGTACACTTTGCAGCGCACGATGAAAATCATCATCAATCATCATCAACAATTTATCATCTCATACGCGATGCACGACCTACTTAAAATTCTGATGGAATCCTAAACTCCAATTTTTATGCACAAACAAAGCTACTTATTCCCAAAAGCTTATTTCTTCTTTACTTGGGAAATTGACTTAGCTTTCGTCCTCTTTTTTCCACACTACTCACTTTGTCCTCCGATCCTTCTTAGCTTCTCAGCGCACCACCCGCTCAAATTTCCGGAGTCTAAAAAGGACGCCTTTGTCCTCCTAAATCTCGAGCTTCTCTTTAAATCCTGATATGCGAATACTCTCGTTTTTTGTCTCCTTCATGCTGGCCAAATTTCTTTCTTGTCCACAATATTACAAAGTCCTTGTTGACTTGATTCGCCTTCTAACGTCGCCTTGTTTACGTACTACAAACGACTTACCCACCAAAGATTTCACTCTTTCAACTTTGTCTTCCTTTTTTGAATGAATTGCTAAAACCTTCAGTGCAGACTTGACACAGCCCAAGCCAGGCTTGGGTTTCATCTCTTACTTAATTTCAAAAATCGGTATGAGTCTCACTGTTGGTCCCTCTGGTAAAACTTCAGATTTCTACCCACATCCACCTCAATTTATGATTCCCAATGGTCAACCCTGGGTCTGTTTGGCGTATCAAGTATCTCACCCTCACTTGGACGGACAGACAAACGTAGCGTTTTTTAATAAGCCTTGACTCGGACAAAAAATTGAACGTTTTTTTCCTACTCAAATATTTGAAATGTTAAACACTCATTCTTTCATGTTTGGACGATGCCGGAGAAGGAAATGAACTTCCACAAGAGCCTGACCTTTTTTATTGCGTGCTCATATGTAAATTGAAATTCTGTTTCCGTTACCTACAATAATAAATCTTGGGCAATTATGGAGTATCTGTCTGTATTGTGTTGTAAAGTCAATGGCAATATCGCCCCTTAAACGAGCAATAAATCAGTAAACAAACGACCGATAACATCTCACCGCCTCCTTCCGTACATTATTCTTCTTTTAATGTTATTGTATGCTCAAGGCAAAAAAAATTCACCATTCTGGAAATTTAAAGCCAATCTCTCGCCATTCATTTAACTCCATGAAACTTTTGCATCACATAAATTTGTCATAAATTTTGAAACTATATTTTGAACGAAAACCACATCCACGCTATTCATCCATCTACTTACCGTCCCCCTTCTCACGTTCCACTACCATGCAAGTCAGTCAAATTCTTACGAATTTTCTGCGGTTTTCTCCCCACAAATACTTCCTTTTCATTCTGGTACGTACGAATAAGTAATGAAATACGTACCTCATACGCGACTGAATGAAGGATGAAACCAAACAGAACCAAAGTAAACCACAAGATGAAAAGATTTTCAAAATATTTCTGAACAAGGAAAATATCTACTTAATTCCATTAAATTTGGATCTTTATTTCATCGCGCAAAATCATGCGGCGTTAAATATCATTCGATTCATTTCATATTCTTTGTTTGCCTGTGTTTACATAGGCATCAGACTTGCAGAGTATTTCTTAAATCTGCTGTTTTTTTAATTCTTTTAACCCAACACGTTTCGTTTTGGTCTATTTCCCCTGAAACTTGCTGAGAACTGAACCTTACTTGATTTCTTGCACATAGAGAAAAAAAACCTTAATTACACATCATGCCCCCACCACCACCACCACTACCCCGTCCTACGTACGTATGCACATAAATACTTAATATTAGCAATCCTTGCAATAAAAAAATTTAGAGCAATAAAATACAAACACACATTTGTTCACGAAAAAAAGTGACGTGCATCACAAATTTTTTCCTCGTATCATCACGACGATGATTTGTCTTAAAAATCGTCACCGTTCGTTTCGCCCCCTCACTTATTCGCGGATGGTAATATTTTTCTATTCGTTATCAGCCTCTTTGTCGTCGTGCATGCATATGTCATCCGTCTCCTCCATCCGTCATCTTTCTTTCGCAACTTTATTTCCCTCTGAAAGTACAGCATCACAGACGAAACGTCGAGTCTCTCGTCACCACCACCAAAGAAAAAAGCATGCCAACAATGAAAATGACACTGTGCAAGCAAAGATCCTATTTTATTTTACCTAAAAAACTACTTTTGGCATTAAGCAACAAACACGCTGTTTCATCTTCCTTCGCTCGTCGTGAATCTTGATTGTGTGGTCATGAGCATTTTACTATTTCGCAAAATCAATTCTTTCTGTTGCGAAAAACGAAACAGGCGTCGTAGCCAAAACAGCAGTGCAGATCATGATGAATGATTTGCATAAAGTGTAAAAATGTTAAAATAATTGGCGTATGTACGTCTCTCTCACTGATAAAAGTGATGGTGGTGGTGGCTCGCTGAAATGTATTTAAAGTGTTGTGAACGTATGCATTTTTACGTAGAAAATGAAAGTATATGCAGAATATAAAAGTGGTGGTGGACGTGATTCGTTTTACTAGACGGGGTCAGTAATAGTATCCTTAATTCTTTTTCTTGAAATTGCAACAACTAATTCTTAACAGCGTTACACGCCACTCTTTGTTGTGGACTGGGCTGTAGATGCCAATTTAACGAGTCACGGACTGATGCACCAACCACCAATGACCTCCACACCGCTAACTAAAGGCTGAAAACAAACAATGCACCATTTATAACTAACTCTTGGTTTTAATTCGAGCTAAATTGTTGCTTGTCATTAATTAACTGAAAGCTTTTCTATTTCATTTATTAGGTTTTGTTTATGTACGACCACCACCAAGCAAGTTCAACGCTAAGCAATCCAAGTTCTGAGTGTGTAAATACCTAAGTAAAAGTGAGATTTGCTTATTGAAGGGAATGTCAATCCAGTCGGGTGACGGGAAATTTGGGTATGACAAGTTGGAGTACGGTGTATATTGCTTTTAGGAAAGTGCAAAAAAAATGTTCGGAAATTATGCACCTTTAGAATTTCGCAAACTTGAAATTTCGAAAATCGAAAGTTCTCGAAACCTGGTAGTTTAAAATTAATGACATATATTTCTTATACCCATATTTCCTCATACTATACCAAAACTTCCGTATACACATCCATCTGAGACACAAATTCCCGTCCCCGTCATCCCGTCGTTTGGATTACTGTGGATGGAATGGATGGATGTGTACTTTAGTATCACATTTATTATTTATTTATATCTCTGGATCACGAAGTAGTGAAACCTTGGTCCAGGTAGGCAAGCGAGGCCAATAAGTGGACCACTTTATAAAGTCGGTGACATTTTCCGTGCACTTGAGCCATTCATACCATTTCAGCCTTAATATTTTAGTAGGTTAGCTTCTTCTTCCCGTTCCCTTTGAGGATGCTTCCTTTGAGGTGCAAGCAATCTATATATACCTCGAGAGACTTGGTCCTGGTCCTTCATCTTCTCTCTCTCTCTCCAATCCATGACACTCACAGAAATAAATCAAGACGGTTGAGCAGACTACAAAGCCAACTCGGTGAGCCCTTTACGACTAACTTCTATTTCCGACCTGAAAGGAATTTAGGTCGTGTCACGGAAAGTGGAAGTGTGGGCCCAGGTAGAAATGTAGGTGGGAGCAGAAGAGGATCTATTTACTCCAATAACAATTCGGACCTCTCTGAAGGAAGATTCGGCAAAATCCATCATCTCGCTTTATTTACCGATTCGCATTTACATATCGACCGAGTAAATAAGAAGTTCTGCTCTGGGTGCTCGATCCATATAATTCCTTGAACGATTTGATTTCCCATTCAGTAAATCGAGTCAAATCAGACAATAATTTAGACTAGAGATAAATAATGAGAATTTTATCCCATCGTAAAAAGGGAACTCTTAGGAGAGAGAGAGAGAGAGGAAGGAAGGCGGACGGGTTCAGCCCCACGAATTCTGCGAGCATTGAGGAGAGCAATTCCCATAAAATGAAAAATCCATTAAGTAGAAGAGGAACAGCTTGTCCTAATTCGCCATAAAATGCAAACACTACTACTTTCCACGAATAAAGAAACGAATTAAACGAGGGATCGAGAGAAATGTTCTCGAAACACACGACTCTCTAAGAATCTGCTAAAGTTTGGACTCCAATCCGCATAAATCCAGTAATAGCTTAACTTTCCCATTGACTCTCAACCTTCCTCCTCTTCTTTTGTAAATAAAAATAAAAACCAAGAATCCCAACAAAACCAGCCGTCAAATCCTTTATTTATTTTTTTTCTGAATCATAAATCTATCGGTATGTCACCACAACGCCGCGACGACGACGACCTGTGTGTACATATGTATGTTTTCATGTGTGGACACGTTTATTCTCCTCTCAACCAACACGCACGACCACCCCATTAAATTAAGACGGGAACAAACTAAAGTTTTGAAACAGGAGTAGAGCAAAGAAAGGTTCAAAGTAAAGAAGAAGAAAAAAACGGTCTTTTTTATCTTCCTGGTGACAGAAGCGAGAAGAATACGAAGGCTGCAAGTCCATTTTTATATCTTTCCATTATTCTTCATTCTGCGGAAAACAAAGCGAGATAAGACACGAAGAGGAGAAACCGAACTCTTGTTTTCTCTTTTTTCTCCTCCAGCTTAACTTTCTCCTGGAGAAATATTTCCATTAATTTCCTCGTTTTTATTGTACTGGCGGTGGTGGTGTCTCGTAGTCGTCGTCGCCCTCATTTTTTTTCGCCATCATCCCATCGCCCGTCCGTCCGCCTCCCCGCCCGCCCGAGCAGTAAAGTGGAGCTGATTGAATGGAATTGAGCACTGACGATTTATTACTTCAGGTAGCACATAGTCCTAGTTGTCTGTCCATCTCTTTAGCTATCTGGATACGATGGTCGGACCGTAATTTTGCTCCGGATAGAGTAGCAGCGGGAT